CATTCACTACACTGCTTTCAAAAAAAACTGACGGATATTTGCAATAAAATTGCGGACTCCGAGTTTTTCTACGGCAAGGAACGGGTGCACGAGAGGAATGTTTCGCGACTGACCAGTATGAATATTTTTCCCACGAGAAACATGACTTCATAAACCTTCCGAAAAGTCTATTGACATTTTGTCCGTGAAGTGGGAAAAGTCGCATTTTCCGTTAAACGTACTTCTATGAATTGCATCACAGCTTTGTGTGGCCGGCGTGGCCTTTAAAATCCCGCAACCCTTAAAACTGTTCATTCTCAACAGGATACTTTGAAGGTACTCCGAGCTTCCAGGTGGCGAGAAATGGGGAATAAAAAAGAGATTGAAATGGGGGTTTTGGATCAGTGGAGCAGCCAAATATTTTCTGGAAAACAGAAAAGTAGTCGTAAAACTATTTTCTGGTGAAGGGAAGGCCTTCAACAAAGCCGGGATCGAATCGGATTGCAGATCGGATCCAATCCGGACTGGTATGTTCGCTTTTGGTGCAGAAGAATTATTTTGAGAAACGCTGTTTTTAATAATCCGAGTTCTGACAACAGGATTCTAACCTATGACTAGGTCAGACACGTTTGGTCTAGTAACCGGTTCGACTTGGATTTTTTCTTCCGAGCCGCCTGTGTTACTAATTAAAAAAAAAATAATCGTTTGTCATGTATCACCAGGCTTAAAATTCACCATCAGCTTGAAAATCATCGCAAAGAATTATTTTCAACTGAATTGCACTGGGAAATTTTCTGTGGCATAACTTCATACGATTACAATTCCAGGAGGCTTGGTCACGTGACATCGCCCGAATTGAAGATGGCGGAGAGAGATGTAAGTATCTCTCTGAGGAGACGATTAAGAAATTCACGGGAATGAGTAAGGCTGCTCGGAAGAAAAAATGCGAGTCGAACCGGTTACTATAGTCCAAACGAGTCTGGACTAGTCGTAGGTTAGACTCCAGTTTTAAGAACTCGGATTTCGTATTCCGAGCCACCTGTGTCATATTGAAAAACAGCTTTTCTCAAAATAATTCTTCTGCACTAAAAGCGAAAATACCAGTCCGATCCGATCCGATCCAATCCGGGGTCCGATTCGATCCGCAGTCCAAATCGCGATCCAAGCCATCCGATCCGGTTGTTGTTGACGGCCTGAAGGGCCGCAAATTGTAAGAACGTGGAAAAGGAAGCGAAAATGCTGGAAAGGGTAAGGCACCCTAAAATAGCCGAATTTCTACGTGTTTGTTCTAAGCGACTTGCCATTAAGATGGAATATGAATGCTTTGATTAAATTTTACGCCATTTGGCATGGTTTTGACCATCAAGTGTCATTACATGAACAAGACCGTCAATCTGAATGAAAAGTGAACCTGTGATTACCGGTAATTCGGAAAAACTGATATTTATGAAAAAGAAATTAAAAATAAAACTTAAAGAAAAATAAACGAAAAAAAAAAACAAGTTGCAAAAAGAGAAACGCTATCCTGGCATACTTCCCAATCGAACGCACCCTATGTGTTTTGAGTAAAATTAGGCTACTTATATGTTACACATTCGTTTTCCAATCAGTGACTCACATTCTCGGCGAAATTGATAAAATAGACATAAAGTTTACTCTACGTACGTTCATGATCTAGCGTTCCTGGACTGCCTTAATGTTATGACGGATTGAGAAGTCTAGAGCACTATCTAAACTAAAAAAAAAAAAAATCACGTTTATTTTTGTTTCGTTGTTGTTTTTTTTTTTTCATAAAAGGGAACAATTTCTCACCAACCAAAAGTTACCAACTTCATAAGGAGCAAGTCAAAGAAAAAAGGAACCTGACCTTCTGATAGCATGAAATATTCCGAAAAAACGGAAGATACTATTTTATCTGAAATCACGCCATGCATAAAAAGCAGCTACCAAAACAGTTCCATTATATCTTTCCTTCATTTTCTGACGTACCAGCAGTTATACAAGCATTTCTCCTTTTATATTTGAGCACAGCTACTTGGAATATAATCCGATATGTTACAGTGGTCATTCGATTCGCATCTTTGATTTTTATTATGCTGCTCCCCTTCCCTATTTATCTACAAAACCGTGAAAGGAATGCTATGTTTAACCTAAATACAGGTAAATCAGCCACTGTGATCCTTATTTTATTACATATACAGTGCTGTATATTATACTGCTTTTTATATTACATTATTTTACCAAAATGGAGCAAAGTGTCTCCGGCATCTTTGTTTTAACAATTTAATTTGCGCATATCACTGATCCAAGACAAGCTAAGCGTGGTGCGCAAGCGTGTTGTGAGCAAGCTTTCACCTTTAGCATCACATTTAGTCTCGTTATGTTAATGTATTGTAAAACACAAGTGGAAAAAATATGTATACATATGTATATAACAAATGTTGTAAACATTGGACGTAACATTAGATTTCAGACTAAGTAGGCATGCTTCTCGGGAATGATTATAACTGATCAGTTTATAAAGAATATTTTTACAGAGTTTGTAAGACCAGTGGTAGGTCCAAGGAATCACTATAAATATTATATTTAATGTTTAGTTTGATTTACATTTTAGATGTTTTTTTTTTGTTTGTTTGTTTTGAAAAATAAAGATAATAATAATAAAACCTTATAGGGCTTTGTATTTTTCGAGTAAATTATGAGAAGTGTTAAAACCTTTGATTTACATTTGGTTACATTGTGAACGAGTTGCAGCTTATACGAAACACAATTCCATTCTGTTCCGTTCCATCCCATTAATCCCAGCCCATCCCGTCCCATTCCATTCTACTCTATTTTTACTTTTCTTTTCTATTCTATTCTATTCTATTCTTGTCTAGTCTATTCTTTGATTGGTAAAAATCATTATTGTCCAACCAAGCATCTCAAAGTTACAAAGAACAGTTATGCAGACTAGCTATGCCCGTGGAAATCGTCAAGCTGCTGTCATCTTATACATCTGTTGTAGTTCTTTTTTTTTTTTCTCGGTTAATTTTTTTTTCCATTCTCTTTGGGTATGATAACGTACATGTATGCTAATGACTTTGAAACAAAGGAGAAATAAAAATTAACTGAAATAATAATAATAATAATAATAATAATAATAATAATAATAATAATAATAATGATAATGATAATAATAATAATAATAATAAATGAACGGCAACTCATCCATTAGTTAAAAAGTACTCTGTAAGAGCACATTTTTTTTACCAGATTAGTCAGAAATTTATGTCTAGACTTCATCTTATCCCTTTCACTGCTGCACTGTGAAAATTAACTTACTGTCAGACATTCCAAAGCATTTTCTGTTACCTTCAGGAAAAAAAGTAAGGCTTAAAACAGCGAGAACTTTCTATGAGACTTTGCTGACTTTGTTTGTGGAGCTAATAGAAATTAAAAATAAATGTTTCCATGTGAAAAAGAACTGCTCGTTTATTATAACGAATTGTCCGTAACAAGCGGGAATCCATAGACCTGGTTTAATCTGTAAATTGTTTCTGTGACGCACAGGCTGCGTTAAGAAAGAAAAATGATAATTATTATAATAGATATGCGTCAATGCGACAACAGCGTCTTATGCCCTCTTACCATTTTCCCTTCCTTTTTCGACCTTACCTCTAATAAGCAAGGTATCAACGCAGTAAACTTTTAATTATTTCCGAGTGCGAAAAAAAAGCTATTTATTTAACACATAATTTTTCGGAAGTTTTTCATTTCAGTAAACTGCTCCCCGTTTGTTAGTTGGATTAGCTGTGGTCTTGAGTGATGACTTCTCGAGCTTCTGTAAACATGACAAGGTGGTTTCAAAATGGAAGTATATGCCGCAAACGAGAAATGTACACTAATATGAACCTTTGTTGGTTTTCAAGATATCTAACTTTATAAATACTGCCTCCTGCACAAACATATGGTCATGTCGCTTTGTTTTCGCATCCCAAAATTTAGCAATAAATTCTCAAAAATGTACTCGTGATGTTACGGATAAAATGAGGATGTGTAACTTCGGGTTAATCGTAATATTACAGCAATAAACCCTCTGGTCTTCTGAATAAACACAACAGATATTATTTGGATATCAGTATACATATATAATTTTTTTAAGATCTACAAAATAGGGGAATTGAGAGGAATTCGGGTGTTTGTAAGCTTATACAAGCTGCACAATGCAGAAAAAATATATAAACATAAAAAAAAGACAACAACAACAACGAATGTGAAATAGTCCAAAGAGCGCTTTTTTTTTCGGAATCTTAACCTTAATCACTTCCAATAGTTTTAACGCTTATGAGCTACAGCGTCCCTTAAGAGCAAGTTTTGTTAGCTGTTTCACTCTTGGTCTTCTGAATAAACGAAAAGAGTATGACCGTAATATCAGCTGAGACGAGAAGTACACATCAGAGGATATATAACTGGGTTGATTACGGCTCTTCATTGTACGTCTGTGCTAATACTGTGAACATTTCGTGCTCTACGGCGGAACATTATGAAGTGCTCAGTAATTTTCATCCTGCTTGGGTTATTGGCCCTAACTCAAGCCGAAGATGACGAAACGATGGCGTTGGTAAGGTCATGTAAGACTATACAAGATTGTCATTTAGACAAATTTTTGAGCTTTTTTTTTCGTCCCATGTCAGTTGTTGCTGGCTCTCATTTGTATCTCAATTGTCTTAAAAAAAGGCCAAATGACCAATGATCGAAGGGTTAAGTTGTAGTATCCCTTAAGTAACATAAATTGTCTTAAGAAAGTTATTTCAGCACACTGAACAGCCACAAAAATTATGGTCGGTTCTTGTTGTTATTTTTCTTCTTTTATTTTAATAAGTGAGATCACTACACAGTCTATCTGTACTTTAGGTTAATAAATTAACATAATCAGCGGTAAATATGTCAACCAAGTTGGCCATTTCTTTTGACCAATTTATTTATTTTGCCCTTTTCGCCTACTGAATTTACTCCAACTTCATAATTATCTTTTCATAATGCAGAAATTTCTCAACCAGTACCACTACATCTCGACATCGAGGTCTGGCAATCACAATGTTGATTTAGCAATCAGACGTTTTCAGCGATTCGCTGGTCTCAAGGTAACTGGAAAACTTGATCTTGCCACCATCGACCAGATGAAAAAACCGCGATGTGGATTGCCAGATGACGTGGCAGGAGGTGGTCGCGTGCGACGATACAAAACAGGTGATAGTTTCTGGTTAATTATTGCAATTGACTTTATGTGTTTGCATATTGCAACTCTTAACCGATACTCTATTCTTTAAAGGGAAAGATGAGTGTAAGACAAGGAAAGAACCTAAATACGTATGAGAAATACATGAAGTGTCAAGTATTTGCCCCTTTTACCTTCAAAAAACGATATCAAAATAAAATAAAGAAAATGTAAAAAACAAATGAATAGAAATAATCATCTAACAACAGGGAAATGTAACCATCTAGCGAATTTTTGCTTTGTATGAAAATATGCACATTTTTTTAAATAACAGACAGGGAAATTTTATTAAATACTAAATACATTTATTTTTTCATCCCCATCATGCAGGCCCCAAGTGGAGCAAAAAAAGCTTGACTTATTTTGTCGAGTATGGTGAAGACCTGAGTCAATACCAACAGGACATTATTTTTCAAAAGGCTTTGCAGTTTTGGTCTGATGTGTCTGGATTGTCATTTAGCAGGGCTAGCAGTTCCTCTGCTGCCGACATCAAAATAAGGTAGCAATTACTTTTACAAACACATTTTTTATTTTGGATGATGGTGTTTCTATGTCTTAAAACCTATAAAGACAACAAATGTAGTCAGTTGTGATGTAGTTCGTTATCTACGTTCCGTTTCATATTGCCAGCTTCATCAGGCGTTGAGGTCGACTTTCGGTTCTCCTTACAAGGCAGGCGACGATGCTACGCTATGATTGGTTAATTTTTAAGAGCTGTATTCGTGAGGCACACAAGTGTATTATTATTTTTATTATTAATATTATTATTATTATTATTATCGTTATTATTATTATTATAAGTGATACCAGTAAAAGTAAATTATAATTGTTTTACACTATATAAAGCTTCGAGTTTAAACCTTAAAATAATTTGATCAAAATGAATTAGCTGTTCCGTCTTTCTTCAGTGGCGCATTTTTATACGACGAATCACGGATCGAGGTTGTCCGCTATAGTGAGAAGTGGTTCCATTTGATTTTATTGAAATGAATGGATAAAAACTGATCGGTCTTTTTGATATGCAAATCATGTCAAAGAGAGCTAAAGAGAAAGGAAAATAAACTATTACAGCTGATTCTTAAGTCGCGGCACAATGCGATTGATAAAATGGACTTACAAAGAGAGATACGAATTGCCCTTACTGAAAAGAAAACACCAACTTAATAACAGCCTGCAAACCACTAAGTTGAAGCTTATGTCATGTTAGGCCCCATTTAAACGTGGAATTTCTCAGCAGTGCCGAACACTTATTTTAGTCGATGAAAGTAATTAAATACGGCAGTTGATTCGGACGTCGGATATAAACGTCAAGTAACTCTCTTAAGTTTAATTTTTCTTGTTAAATGCTTCAAAAAGCAACTGACTATCGGATCTCGCACTGCTTATTATTGTGATTTGCTATAATGCAGTTTTGGCGCTGCTACTCATGGCGGTTCAAGTGAAAGAACGTGCGCATACCCTTTCGATGGTCAAGGTGGAGTTCTGGCGCATGCGTTCTTTCCATCGGATGGCCGTGCCCACTTTGACGAAGACGAAGAGTTTACTGACAACACCCCAAAAGGAACTAACTTGCTTTGGGTTGCCACTCACGAATTTGGTCACTCACTCGGTATTGATCATTCTGATGTTCAAGGTGCTATCATGTACCCTTACTACACAGGGTACGTGGAAGGCATGAAGCTCCACTCTGATGACATTGCTGCAATCCAGTCTCTTTATGGTAATGTACTGGAGTTTGTTGGTTTGTTTGTTTTTGTGTTTTTTTCCTTGCTCTTGTTCTTGTTTTTTACCACAACCTTCATGCCTTGCGACAGCTGTTCTATTATTAGACCATACATGCTATCCACAGGGTAAAGAACCCAACAATGAATTCCTCGGTATAACAAACGGTTTTCTTTACCCTAGTGTTAGTATTAAGGGAAAGAATCTCCATATAAGGAAAGCTGGTTATATAGCAAACACATTTGCCAGTCTCTTGGGCATTCGTTATATCTAGGTTCCACTTCTGCACCACGGTCATTGGTGTGTATATACATCCCTGTTCGGGACCTGATTTAACGAGAGAGACGTCGGATATATAGTTCTTCTTCTTGTAAATGGGTAAATTGATTTGAAATGACAGTGCGCTTGCTTCAAGGGTACAAGCTTTTAAGTTTCCAACAATTCAACAGAAATACCTTTCAAAAACTACACGTTTAATAAATCGACATCAAAATTAAGCGTCACTTCTAGAAAAAAATAATAAAAAAAATAATAATAATAATCTCCAACAGTTGTGTTAAATCATCCCTTAGTAGCTAAAAGAGGTACTAAGCATTTTTGTTGTATTCAAGTAAAAATAAGGTCATTTCTTCCAACAATGTTATGAAACAATACGATTCTACTCGCCAACAGAACGATACTCGAATTATCGAGACAAACATCACATCTTACAAAATGTAAGAGGAAGAAATGTAACACATGTCTACCTTAAGTTTTGTTTCCTATAAAAAGTAACTTCTAACGATACGCGGTTCTGTAACACCAAGTTAACATCTACATTTAGTATAGCTTTTAATAACAATACTATTTTTTTCAAGGTGAAAGCAATGGTGGTGGTGGAGGAGGTGAGAATTTGGGATGAAATCTGAAATGCTTTTAAGTAAAAATACATGCAAATACAGCTGTTTCGAGAAAGGTTGTCGGATTTGCACGCGACAATCCCGAAAGGTAATACAGGATAAGAGCAATACAGTGTTCCTGGCACTGTAGTGTCAAATCCACCTTTGTTACTTTCCTTTAGTTTAGCACTCGCAAGCATACGTTCACGGGTTTTTGTGCCAATATTGTTGTTTTTGTTTGAAAAACAGTACACTCAAAACTACCGACAATACCTTTGGGAATTGTCGCGTGTACTTTTTCCGACAACCTTTCTCGAAACAGCTGTATGCATAAGTCACATCCTCAAAAGTTACTACGAGGTGTGGACTTTTACTTTTCATTACTTCTCGCGAGTATATATCTCTTTTCTTTTTCGTTTCTTCTCTTTTAGGCCTTTAGTTTATTGTTTAATGAGGCCTACTCCAATTCATAACTAAAATACCTTATAAATAAATGCTTTAAAAATCCCTCCAAAACGAAAGAAGCATAAGTTACAAAGCATCATGTAAGCCCTCGGACGTACGGGGAAAGGGTGTTTGCCACCCTCTCGAAGTTTTTTTTTTGGGGGGGGGGGGAATTTTTTTTTCTTCGAGACGATAAAACAGCAGCATCTGACGTTTTCAGTGGCTGTTCGATTACCCCGCGCGCGCGTTTTCAGACAAGTTAAGTGATAAACAGTTACTATATGGTTACGAGATCTGACGTCATAAGTAGCAGATGGTCAAGCCATTTTTGATTGAAAATGCGTTTTTTTCAACTTTTTTTAACATTTAAAGTACAAACTGTGGATGAAATAATACAAAGTGCCTATTTATATATTATTTTACACGTCAAGCCAAAAAAAAGAAAAAAACATTTATCGCGATATTAATCTGATTTCTAATTCTTGGTAAAATCCAAGGTAGCGACCATTGTTGGTGACGCCACGGGCCTCCAGCAGCGCCACCACCCATAACATATACCTCACCTTCTTGAAAAGATCAAAGGGTTTCCACTAAAGGCAACATCGTGGGGAGCGGTTCCATCAACCCACTCCCCTTTGTATCACGGTGGGGTATGGATTTGCGTGTACGTCCAAGGGTTAACAATGTGTTTAGAAGCGACGCGATTGATATTAACAATCGCTAATGCCACTGCTTGCGTTTTGAAGCTTGCGTTGACAAGGATGACGGATGCCCTGGCTGGAAGGCGCACTGTGGCCAGCATGGCTACGTTGATAAAAACTGTTTGAAGACTTGTGGCTATTGTTGAGGGCTTCTGAAGGTGAGTGCGATTCTAAGTTAAACGTTACACATAGTTTGAAAGGTTATTTTAGACCCTTCAAGACAAGAGGTGTTGTTCAACAATAAGACTACAGTTTCCAGTTTAAAAACATTTTAACCCTTAAAGACATACATAAAAGTCTGGAGTACTTGTATTTAAATTTCGACCCTGCTGCTTAGAGTTCCAGTAGCTTAATGGTTAGGTCGTCCGAAGTGGAACTCGGAGGGTCCGTGAGTTCCATTCTCACCTAGAGCTCGGAAAGCTTCTGGTGTTTGAACTCTCCTTCTTCTTTTAAACATATGCCTAAATACTATGTAAACTTTAAGATGTTAATTGCACCTCATAATCAGTACAATATTAATTTAACGTGTCAGTTTATAAAGTTATGGGTCATTAATAAAGTCAACCCAGTTTGGCGGAGGCATTTGGGAATTTGAGAGCATCATTAAGTTTGTTTATAACTTTGCTTGGTCTGTTTGTTTGTAATGTAGTTTCGTTTGCTCAAGTCGTTTGCTTGTAGTTGTCGATTCGTTAGGGTCCTGTTTCTTGTTTTGACTATCAGTTGTCATGGGCTACGTGACATCACAGTGATGTATTTTACATATTGGCAGAACTGCTATTCATAGTCGATTATCATCTTTGATCTATTTGCAGTGCAATATTCGAAGGAATTTACAAATGACCACAGTTTCCTGAAGCTGCAAGGAATATCGTTCTTTTGCATTATGTAGATTGCAGATTAGACCAAATAAAGAATGCATTGAAAACCAAATACTCGTTGTTTTCCTCTGCTACGCTGATATTAGAGACCTTAAGATATAACGTTTCTGAAATACTAGTAGATGGCCTTCTACCCCGGAGAAACTGGTAGGCCAGCGGGTAGAGCGGTGCTGCTATTGTCATATCTGGGAAGTCATCGTGTCACCTTTCGTATAACTGCGTAGCATACATGTCCACCCACCCTACCCGTAGGCAGGAACGGTTTACCTTAAAGTCCCCTTTTTCCTTGGTAAACGACGGGAGGATCTCGTGTTGAAAAGCTTTTTATCAAAGGAAGTCAGAAATACAATGTCATGAAAACATGTATCGTCATCATCATCATCATCATCATCATATCGCCGTCGTGGTCGCCGTCGTTGTCGTTATCGATGTCGTTGTCGCCATGATTATCATCATTATCGTCATCATCATCCTAACATAACTACCATAAATACTAGTCATCTTCCTCTCTAAGTTGACGTTTTTTTTAACCGCACACTACAACAATTGTTTGTTCCTTCTTACTAAAAATTGAGCTGAATAACAACAACGAAGTTTACTCTTGATGTGATAGCTACAATCGACTACAAAATTAATGGAGGCACTTTGCTCTAAAGGGCGTTTCTGATGATTGACCGACTTTAAAAGGGGAAAAAAAATCTTTCCCCTCCACATCTCCTCCATGCAATGTTGTACCGGTGCTCAAACTAGGGACCTTAAGATCCGACGACGGCGACGGCAACGGGAACGCCACAAAAGCAATAGGTTTAATTAGCGAAACAACAATTTTGCACGTGCATCACGCTTTTTTGTACATTTCTGTGCCGTCACTACACGACTACGACGTGAAAATGCCTAATTTCACGATGTACAGAGGAAGTTCACAAGCGACGACGAAATTTCCTATCTCTTTCTCAACTTGGATGTGATTCTTAGGAATTCTCTGCAGTCGCCGTCCTCGGATCCTAAGGTCCTTACTTTGAATGGAGGGAAAAGAGGAGGAGGTGTAGATTGTTTACCTGTAATTTATTTCTGATTAATGCTGAGGTCAACTAGCCGCCTGGCTCCGCTAGCCCCTATGGTTATTCCAAGTAGCCAGTACTCTAATTTTTCTTTCAATATTTCTGTTGTTTTAATTTATTGTAGAACAAGACTGAGTAAAAATAAGTATTGTTGTTGTTCTCTCGCTCAACAATTTTTATTTGTCGATCGTCTATTGTAGATGATTGTAGCTTGAACGTTCTTCGTCCACCCTTTCGTCATATTTTCATGTTCGATTCACTTTTGTTAAAAAAAATGTAATCAAATCATGCCCAGACTAATACATGTCACTGTTCTTGATATGATCTTCAATCCAAGTAATAAAAGAACTTATTCGCGTGAACACAGAGAATGTATCCCCGCCTGGACACTTGGGGATACCCCAGCTTACGGCACCTCTTAGGACATATCTCCCGCTTTCTTCACAAACTAGGGGTCCGCCACTGTCTCCATTGCACCCACTTGCTTTCGGATCCCCGGCGCAAAGCATCGACTCATCATCGATCGGCTGGAAATGCGAGTTTCCAGTTGAACATGTCGAGTGGTTCGCCGTTAGCAGTTGAGCTTGTTGCAAAATGACCGCCATAGATCCTCCGTAAACTTGTACCCCCCAACCTGCAAAACGAGTTTTTGTCTTTTATTTTCGTTTCTTTTCATTTATTTCTGTCTTTATTGATTTGACTTAGTCAAAGTTACCTTCAGAATCTTTATACTTTTGCAGTTAAAAGTTTGTTGAACTGATATAACTAGATTTAATAAGTAAGTGAATTTTTGAAGTCGTATATGAAACACGTCCCAGTGAAAATGTATTCTTTAATCACAGAAAATAATTAGCCTTCCCCGGGTATCAGAAGCCCTTTTCAAGATCGAAGATCTGTGCTCGCTGCAGCATGATTACACGCATCCTCAAACTTTTCTTTTCGCCTCTCTTTGAGTCTTGAAGGCAGCCAAGAAATATAAGAATGGACAATCTGCCAAACTAAGCACTTTTTTTCTCCAATTTTACTTGTTAGTCGGGTGAGAATTAAGCCTCGCGCCGCGTAAGGACGGGATGGTAGTTAATTTCAGTTAGGCGTTACCAGCGTTGATAGATGGATAGATAGATATTCTGTTCATTTCACCCACTTGCAGCAATAACTGAATTGTTGGGGAAGGTCATTGTCCCATACAATTAACCATTTGCACACATTCACTGAAATTTATAAGTTACAAAGTCATTAATTCTTCTGGTGTGACCATGTTGACGTCTTGGAAGTCGGACCCTTATACTGTAATGAGACTCAATAGCGGCATGATGTTCTTAAGGGGGGGCATTTGGCGCGCAGTAGCCGTAAACCGCTTACAAGCTCTTACTCTCCTGTCACTAAGAGACTCCAGGCCGGCCAAGACCAAGGCTTCCGTATAGTCTACCCGGCCAAATATTATTTTGAGAGGTTTCCGCTGGACAGACTCAATTAACTCGTCCAGATATAAAGGGATCGCAGCCCAAACTGGCGAGGCGTACTCAACAATGGATCTAACAATACTACACTAGACTAACACGAGATCGTTAGTGCCCAGTCCAACTCTCTTGAGGTTCCGCAGCACAAACAATCGCTTAGTAGCTTTTTTAAGGATACTGTCACAATGTCCTTTCCAAGAGATGTCATCAGAGATAATAACCCCCGAGGGTTTATAACTAGATATTCTATCAATGACTATACCATTAAGCTGAATCGGTGTTATAACAGTGGGTTGATACTTCAAAAAATTGATAACCAGATCTTTACATTTTTTCTCATTAAGCCGCATGTTACACATGGAAGCGTAGGTGTTAATATTTGCGGCGATAAATGGAAGGTAGCTAGGGGAACATCGAGGAATAGATTCAAATACCGAGGTGTCATCAACGTATTTAATCCTATATCTCCAGTCCCTACACAGATCGTTCACTAATATGGCGAACAGCAATGGCGCGAGTATTGTTCCTTGTGGTATTCCCCCATTCGGTGTAACTGGATGCGAATAAACCTGACCGATTGGCACTCTTTGTGAACAGTCCGTTAATAAAGAGCCGATCCATCTGATAGTGGCCTAATGCACGCCTAGCAGCTCCATTTCTTGGATAAAGATATTGTGATCGACTAAATCAAAACTTCAAAACCTTTATACTGAAATCAGTAAAGAAGATGCGTGCATAAGTGTCACCTTGGCCGAGGGCCTCAAGGATGACTTGGAGAAAGAAAACAAGAGCGTGAGTTGTGGACTTCGCGGCCAGGGCAAACTGGTGTGTGTCGATCGAGCTTGTCACAGACTTGCTTGAAGAGGGAATCCAGCGTAAGCCCTTCCATGACCTTTGCAATATGGGGCGTGAGAGAAATAGGCCGAAGATCGTGTTCAACTACTTTGGGTGGCGAACATTTTGGTACAGGAACAACTTCGGATTGGTTAAGAAACACATTGACGTATCCTTGTACCATCGAGGCATTATAGATATTAGTGATGACTGGTGCAAGTTCAAAAGCAAACTCTTTCCAGACTTTTCCCGGGATGGGATCAGACCCCCCTGACTTGTTCGATTTAATGCCTCCCAGGGCCTTGTATACCATATGTGTTGAAACTACTTAAGAATGGGGTAAACATATTTTTTTAGAGATTTTTTTTCCCATCGTGTCAATAAGTAAGTTATCAAGCCATCTAAGTGATGTGTGACCCAACTTAAAGAAATCTTAAGCCAAGAAATCACCATTACAACCTTTAAATGTGCCTTACCTGTAAGATAACATAACTTGCCAGTAGCCACTCTTTCGTTCTGCCTCGGAAGGCAAGCAAGGCTAACGTATCGGTTTAGTATCGCCGGCCTGGAGAGTCTGATAAGAGCGATGTCGTGACCGTAACCACTGTACGTTTGGAAATGTTTATTAAGGTATAGCTGTGATACATCGAAATATTGCTCCGTTCCCTCATCCTTAGTGCGATCGTGCTCACCTGTTTAAAAAAAAAAGCAAAGTTAAGTTAAAAGGCAAACGTGCAAAACTGCATTCTTCTTTAAGGAAGTTTGTAAATAAACTTTTGTAATTTAGAAAAAAAAAATGGAGGAGCTTTATGGTACACAGGAGGCAATTGCGAGGGGCGGAATTCGTAAATGCAGCTTTGTGGGAAAATGTGATAAAAGTATAGGCGTTAGAACTGGATAGCAAGCAAATAGCATATTCCTAAATTTACCTTTGCAAACATAATACCACGCCCTTGCTTAGGTCCGGTCCTTGAATTGAGTCGACCGAGGGGCGCATACCAAATTAGAAAAGCACTGAGTCATGTTTTTACATGTACATGGTAAATCGGGACTCAGTAACACCCTTTCTCCACCCACTAAACCTCAAAGGTCCTAAATCTTATACAAACCTAGCACAATCTTGTAAATCCTTGGATCTGGTGTAAATAAGCAATGAGCTGCTGTAACGATCCACTCCGGGTGAATCAAGGACGCTCCACACTTGTGGATCCACTTTCCGTCACGGATTTCCAGAATCTCAGCTTGCCAAGGCCATGAATTCGGTCGGGCGTCACGTCCGCCGATGACTCGTGATAAAGGAGGTCTTACACCACACCCTAAACAAAAAAAATACTTCGTGTAATCACAACACCCAAACTGAAACGAAAGTTATACCCATCACGTCATAATTCACGGCGTGGCTCGCCATTGCGTAGAGGCGGTGTGCATAATTATTGCATAATTTATGCAACAATTACGTACACTCGCTTCTAAATGGAAATATGAATCTTAAACATCTATAAATCATCAGAAGGCTAAGGAAGGCTCTATTTTTTCCTCAACATAAAGGTTTCTTTCAAAACGCAACCTTATTTAAGAGGCTGTCCGCGTAAGAACCGATAAGGCAAATTTCGGTCTATCACGGATTGCCCTGATTTTTTCAGTGGAAGATGACTATCCTATCCCATGAAGAAATATCACATTTATTTGGACCAACTCAATTTTTTCTCTATTTTACAGGAAGATTTTCTCGGTCACCTAAAACTAGTCAGTTTGCCGTCGGAAGTAGTGCGATTTTGGTGAAACTTTAGGGCTCTGTCAAACCTACCTTACATAGCCGAATAATCTGATTATTTTACACACAAAAGTTTTAACTCTCATTAATAGTTTCAATGTTTAATGGCTACATTCTGTGGAAAGTTGGCTGAGATACGATTTTTTGAAAATGACCTTTAATTTGCTCAGCAGGAAAAGTAATTTGCATAACTAGAGCTGAACGGTAATTTCGCAAAAGTGGCACCTGACCCAGACTCAAGTCTATGATAAATCAGAAGTACTAAGACCAGTCTACTTCTTAACGCAATAAAATTTGTGGGCACTCTTCTTTGCGTGCCGTGCAAAGTTCCGTTTATGTTCCAAAATTCGCCATTTTGACAGCAAAGCTGGAATTGTAACGGGTCCGCATCTGATCGACTAATTTCCACAGCTTTAACGTTTCCAGTTATCACTAAATATCATTAGACCCTTTAAATGTTGGACGTTTGAAAACATGTGGAGAAAACTTAGTAATCGCTTTTTCTTGGGTCTTTTTCTTGTCGACGATGAACGTGACTTCGTTCTCGGTATGCAAATTAGCCTTAGATCCGTTGTTTCAACAAATTGACAGGAAATATAATCGTTACATTCACATTTCTAAGGGGAAAAATAATTCTCCTTTCCACAGAAAAACACAAACCATGACTTAGAATCCCCTTAAGGTCTGTTTTTTTTTTTTTTTAACGAGGAAGAAGCAGCTGAATAATATATCATGATACATGTTTGCGGCTTAAAATAATTCAATTACTGTGGCCTGTCACGCATTCCTGAAGACGGGTGGTCGATTAGAAAACAATAGCGTTGTGTCGATCAATTCGATAATATTATCATCTTTTTTTTAAATGATAGTTATTGATAATAATAAAAAATAAGAGTTCACTTGCAAGGTAATTCCTCCTGTCAGCACACGAAAATGTTTGGGCACTCTTTTTTGCGTGCCTTTATAAAAAATAGCGTTAACGTCGAAAGCTTTATTATGATATTTGCTTATCGGGAGAAGGCAGATCTTTGTACATGGCACTATGATAAAAAAAAAAAAAAGGCCCCACACTTTTTCTATCTTAAATTAGCGGTAAATTTCAGTTTCATTCAAAGATCTTTAAAGTGTTTATCGGTAGCTTATCGGTAGCAGAATGAAAAGGGAAAAATAGTTCCTTTTTTCAGTGAATAAACGCAAAAGGGAGTATTTTTTCAGTTTTTGTTAGGGTATAACATCCGAATTCCAACGATGATCTTGTTTTGGTTTCAATCTGATTGAATTATAATGCAACAGGTGCCAGTTTCAAATTAAATATAACTATGTCACTGAAATCGCCGAAGAGATCAATTGTGAAAAATGGCTTTTTCGGCTATTTCATCAAGCAGTTCTTCCGCGAGATCGTAGACAGAGTGAGGTCCCGGAAGGGGTGTGGAGGAAAATGTGTTGGTCACAGAGTGCATGGATGATATTACCTCGCACTTAGCCAGCTGTCACTTGTCTAAGTGTAGCAAGTGTAGCAAAGACAATGAAAATGAATTCATTTTAGCGAGAGTACGTATTCGAGGCTTGGTGGGTATTCGGAACTGAAATGACAATCTGCCCAAGGCACAGACACTAAATAGCCTGTGTACAGACCCCCTCCTCTCAGGAAAAATCGGGGAAGGGGCTGCTTCTCCCAAGGGGGGAAGGGTAGTGTGCAAACAGGCTAACACTAAAATGACAATCGGCTTTAGGCGCAGGTTTTTGCGAGCGCCAAGGTCTTGTTAGGCTCGATTGTAAGCCGCTGTTCTGGAAAACGAGCCCCCAACGGACGGGGAGAGGGCGGAAATCGAGCCTAAGGTCTTGTCAATACCCCGGTCACACTCTGGATCATAATGGCAAAATAACTTCTGTGGCAGGAAGACACGTCGTAAATTTCCACATAGCCAGCGAAATAAGTCAAAGTTTTGTTCCATCATTCTTTTTTCTTCTTCATGCAAACAGTTGTCTTAACGTACAGAGATATTTTAATTTCTCTATTTAACATTTTATCTTGCGATGTTTCCTGAAGCTCGTTTCCAGTTTATTTGAGCTTGCAAAGATAGTTTTTGTTATTTCTATTTTTTTGACAGCCGTGTATCTTGCCCTAATCAATTCTTACCTTTAAAATACTATACATACCGGTTAATCCGTGTGTTGTGAAAGATTGTTTTCTGATGATTGTTTGAAGAGCATTATAAATGGGGAAAAAAAACTTTCTACACGGAGTCAGGATTCAACCTCGTCTCCAGGGCTTTCCCGCCGCTGTCATTTTCTAAGAAGAATGTCCTGGGGACGAGGCTAGGAGTGATTGTGGTCGAGGTGTCGTTCACGTGTATGAAAAGTATTTCATTCTTGCAATAAAAATAACTTTTTTGAACTTAAACAGTGTTTAAAACATGTCTCTGGGTTTTGTAAAAATTAGTGATACTTAAAAGTACCTTAGTGTTCAGTTCAACTTTATATAGCCGATTTGCTCCTCCTGTCGCAAGAAACTTGAAAAAACTTGACGCCGAAGGGTCGAGAAGAGCACGATTGAACAGTCTGCAACCATGTCCACACATTTGCCGGAGAGGTTTATTGGACAAGATTTCTCTGTTTTTCTTGTTTGATAACGTTTTCATTAAGTCTTCAAAAATGCCTCCAGATTGCTGTTTTTTTTTTTTTTTTTGTATTTATACCCTCTTGAACAATGTGCTTCATCTCACCTCTCCATTTTTAACCTACTTTACCATGCACCCTCTCTCCCCACTGTTCCACCTCTACTTTAATAAGCATTTGTATTTAAGAGGGTGAAATTTCTCCCGTGTATATTAATTTCAGAAAAAATAAGTCCTTCTACTTTTCCTTAAGTTCTTCAACTTAATTCTTTTTTCTTTAAGAACCACCAAAGATGCTGCCAAGGCTGCAATAAGCGCACTCGCCCTTTTATATACTTCATCTAGCGAAATGCCCGCCCTTTCATATACCTGAAGCCTGAAAAAGATACTCCTTTCGGGCGGAACCTCCCCGTATAGGCCATCATAGGGAGTTCCCCCCAATCCCGTTCCAATTCCGTGCTCACCTATTGCCAGCCCATGTTGGACTCTAGGCCCGTTTGAGTCAACACGTAAACATAATCCTAAGTGTATACAAGTTGAACTTGACCATAGAGATCTGTTGCAAGAAGACGAGGAGTTCGAAAGGCAAAAGCTTGTTGCAGAAATCGCTGAAGAATTGAGACCACAACACCCTCAACCTGAAGCTTTCAACCTATGTGTATGTCAAAGGAAGAACAACACCTAGTCAGTTCAACGTGGTAATGCTAAAAAAATTTTTGTCACTTCAAAATACCATTCAAATCCAGGGAAAGAAAAGGAGACCTAGTTGACAAACTTTCGTCTTTCATACAAGATTGCATGTGCTTTTCTCCAACAGCTCAGGAGTGAACATATGGATCCTTAATTTAGTGTGATTAACAGCCGGCAAAACTTTTGGGATTTAACACTGAGAAGGACCTTAAACAATAACTATGCCTTTTTCTGCATGCCATTCCTCATTTTTACTGAAATGTTGTTAATTGGCGATAAACACAATGCTCTGTTAATACCACCCTAATGTTTGTATAGCCTATGGTTAGCAAGGGATCTAGGAAATGAAAGTACTTTGCAGGTGTGGTCCTATGCTGTCGCACGGTATCTCTGAAGTTGTTTGCGAGCTATTTCCAAAATATTAATTTTTGATTCTGTAATTGAAAATATTGTGCTAGTGCTCGTGAATAAGAGTGGCCGTGTCCAAGTGACTACTTTGTAGCTAATTGTCGTGTATTACACCATGGGCTGTCATATTAAACCCTATCCTCACGGTAACTCCCGGGGATACTGACTCAGTGAAAACGGTCGTAGAATGAATAAATACAACAGCATGGTATTTCCCACCCAGTAAAGAATCGGAATTAACAGTGATTAAATTGTATGATTATCAATAACTATCACTTCAAAAAAAATATAATCAGATAAAAGAACTGATCGATACACGGCCACTCTCGGGGAATGCGTGACGGGCCACAGTAATTAAATTATTTTAATTCGCGTAAACATATCTTCTTCTACTACTTCTTCCTCGTGAAACAGACCTAAGGGGATTCTAAGTCATATATCGTTCGTGTTTTTCCGTGGAAAGTTCTAAGAGATATTTTCCCTTAAAAATGTGAAATATAAGCAGTTATGTTCCCTGTCAATTCAATTTGTTGAAACGACGCATCTAAGGCTAATTTGCATACGGAGAATGAAGTCGCGTTGTGATCGTCGACCAGGAAAAAAACCAAGAAAAAGCGATTACCAAGTTTTCTCCTCATGTTTTCAAAAGTCCAACATTTAAAGGGTCTAATGACATTTGGTGATAACTAGAAACGTTAAAACTGTGGAAATTAGTCGATCAAATGCGGACCGTTACAATTCCAGCTTTGCTGTCAAAGTGGCGAATTTGTAACATTAACGGAACTTTGTACAGCGCGCAGAGAAGAGTGCCCACAAATTTTATTGCATTAAGAAGTAGACTGGTCTTAGTACTTCTGATTCATCACAGACTTGAGTCTGGGTCAGGTGCCACTTTCGCGAAATTACCGTTCAGCTCTAGTTATGCAAATTACTTTTCCTGCTGAGCAAATTAACGGTCATTTAAAAAAAATCATATCTCAGCCAAATTTCGACAGAATGCAACCATTAAACTTTGACACTGTTAATGACAGTTAAAACATTTGTGTGTAAAATAATCAGCTTATTCGGCTATGTAAGGTAGGTTTGACAGAGCCCTAAAAATTCACCAAAATCGCACCACTTCTGAAGGCAAACGGGCCAGTTTTAGGTGACCGAGAAAATCTTCCTGTAATATAGAGAAAAAATTGAGTTGGTCCAAATAAATGTGATATTTCTTCATGGGATAGGATAGTTATCTTCCACTGAAAAAATCAGGGCAATCCGTGATACAACGAAATTTGCCTTATCGGTTCTTACGCGGACAGCCTCTTAAGCATGCAAGCTATTTCTGTGTTCCTCGGCCCTGTATTGCTAGCCTTCAGTGGCAGGAAGGGGCATTCAAGTCCACTTTCAAGACTACATGTACCAGACTAGATTATACTCACCTACACTAGACTACAGTCTAGACTAGACTGGACTATACCGGACTAGACTAGACTAGACTAGAGATTAGACTCCCCAGACTAGACTGGATTACCAGACTAAACTCCCGGGGGGGGGGGGGGTTACTGCCATATATGGGCTATATAGGTATGTGCCGCTGTGAAGGGTATGGTTTTCAAGCAGTTTACTCTAGGATAGGGTGTATAAATCAGAGCGTTTGGGTCTAGAATAGGGTATCATTTTTCAGGAAACTGATCAGTTGGTTGAAGATTTTGTCTAGACAAGGTAAACAGCTACTCTAGGATAGGGGAATTTGGGGAATTTACTCTAGTATAGGGTAGCAAAATTCAGCTGAACTAGCTCTGGTATAGGTTAAGGGTTCCAGGGTCCCAGCGGCACATCCCCACCCAGAAATTCCTAAAGTACCCCCCCCCCCGGGACTAAACTACCGTAGATATGTCAGCCGGCAATAGTTTTCAAGGTGCAAACGGCCCAAATGACTTTTCTACAACGACTATTTATGAAGAAGAGTACAGCGTGCAAACTGATGCATACAGACTTCCGCTTCTCGTATTTACTTTATTTGTTTTCAGTTTTCTCAGTACACCACATTCAGCATTTCTTCTACGCAAAATTGACCTTCCGATAACTGCTTCCTCTCTACAACGAGCACTTACATTGTACCTTTGTCTCTGATGGGGCTAGCCACCTCCCTTATACTGCACGTACGTGGGATCAATACCCAATATCTCCTTGAGAAGTCAAAGTTTGGATCTATCGCTCGAAGGAGAGGCGTTAGAAATTATGAGCTAAGGAATGAGCAGGGGCACGCAACGTCAGTTTTCGGAAAATATCTGTTGGGAAGACGATTTGAGATCTAGAATTTTCGGAACAATTGTTGTAAAATTTCCTGCTTGCCTGCCTCTCCTATTATTTTCGAACATCTAAAAAATGGTATAATTGCCCATTATTAACGGATTTTTACCGTAAAAAGGTCATCGGGAGCCTTTTTTCTGGCTGAAATTTTCGAAAACGTAAGTTTTGAACCCTATAATTTTCGGATCACTAGACTTTCAGCTAGGAAATCCGAACGGATCAAAAATTTTTAGGGGATAAAAATATTCCAACCTATATCTACCGTTTAAATACTAAAATACGTTTAACAATGCTATGTTTAAGTGGTTTTGAACTATATTCTCGTTGAGTGTCCCTGATTGAGGGAACATAATTAAAAGAATAATGTTTTTAGGCCGTTAAATGCAAGGCCCGGACGCCAGTCTTTCAGACTTTGCGAATTTTTAGAAGGAGCAATTTCAATCGTAGCTGGTAGGTAAGCTCAACCAGATGGCAGATGATCATATGACACTAAGTAAATATTTAGTTTTCAAAATGGCATTTTTTTCACTTACAGAATAAGAGACTAATTAGCGACGAATAATGTACGGGTTTAATTGTGAGAAAAACATTATGCTGCCCGCTTTACATGTTTTTAAAATTTATACCATAGAAACCAATAAATAAAAGAATTGCTGCAGGACAGGTAATATGAGTGGTCTAGCAATAAAATGGGTAAGATGTTAGATTTGGAGCGAGGGGTAAGAATCAATTAGCAAATTCAGGAGCCCATCACCTGATGGGCTCTGGCGAACTTTCTCTGCCGATTTATCTTTGGTTTAACCTTTCTAGCCCACATAGAGATCTGTTTGTTATAATTCCCTATTGCTGGGCCACTCAAGAAACACTGTTCGCGTTCCATGTGGCGATGTTGAGTTGCAATTATGGTAATCTCGCTCTTGATAGTTGATTGACTTGGTTCTTTTAAGCGTTGCTTATCTCTACAGTTTGAAAGATCATAAACAGTTACTTAAACCTTGGGGTTCTGCGATATAAACGCATGAACGACTGTTTGCTTTATTCACAAACATACTCGCTTTAGTCACGTAGCATGCAGTTAACAGTAAAGAAATAAAGTACGGCTTACCTGAGGCAAGGCATAACAATCGACTCAGAAAAGCGAGTAAAATGTAACATTGAACTGGAACCTGAGCCATGAAGAGCTGAATAAACGTTAACCTCAGTAAACTGGCGCTCTTGCAAGAAAACTGGAATTTATAAAGTGAAAGCATTCATGAATTATGTTGCTGGTATGCGTGAATTGCCCGGCTTGTGTCAACATTAATTTTTGCGTGACAAAAAAACAACACTGCAGGGAGGAAATATCACGTGTGATAAATGGCTTCTGTACCTCGATGACAAGTGTCATGAAATAGCCCCCCCCCTTTCCCTCTTCAACCCCCTTTACAAGTCTTAAGTTTTTTTCTTTTTTCTTTTTCTTTTTTTTTTTTTTTCGCTGTTGTTTATTTACTAAAAGGAGCTTACCAATGGGGTTGAACCAAGTTTTAAAATAAAATTTCTCCTGTCCGTTCTTAATTTTCTTTTTCTTTCTTCCTTGCAGTAGCTATAGTGTTCTTTGAAAAGCAATAGATCGCAATATCGACTAGCCTGCGAACCGCAGACGCATTTCCGGTCGTCGCTTCTCTCCCTCCGAAAAATAGCAGCAGCTTGCTTTGTCCCTAAGGGATGTTGCCCTAAAGTTTTCTGTACGGACACCCCGTCAATACACTGTCAATACAGATACTGTTTATGCCCTCCATCAGTGTTCATATTCAAAAAAGGCGTTTGACTGGATTAATTATATATTTCACAATAGCAGGGTTTTATCTAGGGTATTTGAGGGGAAGAATCTTCCCCCCGTATGCACAGACCCCCCCTGCCCCTAAAAAAAAAAAATTATTGTTATCATTACAGTAACTGTATCGGAAAAATCATCCAGACGTGACGAGGTCAGTGCACACACTGTAACAGTTCTCAAAATTTTATCTCAAAATTCACCAGTTGCATCTCAGCACATATTCAAATCCGGAGGGGGCATGTCCCCGGACCTCCCTAGGAAATTCGTGCCCTTAGGCCACTAGGGCTGGGGGGACTTCCCCCCAAACGATAAATCCTAGATGCAACCCTGAAAAGGAAAAGTCCTGGGGATAAGATTGCGCAGGAGGTGTGTAAAGCGTCGTGTCGATGTTTAATATTTCCAATAAACATTTGTCATTTTTTTTTCTTTTTGAAAAGCTAATTGAAATGCGAGGGGATTATGTATTAACATGCAAGGGGAATAAGTCACTTATCCCCTTGCATATTAATACATAATCCCCTCGCATTTTAATTAGCTGTTCATTAGCTCCGCTTTTCCCTTCAAACAATCAAAGTCGCGCCCAGCTTTTGAGACAGTTGATTCGGTGGTTATATAATATATTCCCCACCCCCCCCCCAAAAAAAAAAAAAAAAAAAATAAAATAAAACAATCCGAGCTTATGTAGAAATTAATTAGTGATACACATGCCCATCTCATCCTCAGTCCAAAGAGGACAATGTAAACTTTGACTTCAGACGTGCTTGTTTTAAATCTGTTTAGGTTGCACCCCTGTGATTAAAAAATAAAATGAAATAAAATAAAAAATACTGCTTCTAAATTAAGTTAAAGTGTAGCTTGTTAAAACTTTGTTAACGGTTTGGCAAACCGTTGGGAATTTTTTTGGCTTAACCTCGATCTCCCAGACGCTCATTACTTATTTGTTTATTAACTTTATCAACTTTTTGTACAAGCACCACAAGACAAACTAAAAACAAGATTCAACCTTAATTCCCATTTTGTGCTCATTCATTGAAGTATGGTAAACATGGTTCGATCCCTTTTCCCGTGCCTAACAAGAACCAATCATAAAGCTCGCTTTGCTGGAGGGCGTCATATTCAAATTGAAAATACCGTGATAATTACTCATTTTAAAGGAAGACGCGAAAACGCCGCCGTTGCGAACGATTCTGGGATCTCTAGCGAGTTACTATATACTCCTTCCGCTGCCGTTCAGTTCGTTTTGCCATTGCACTGTATTCTTGGCATACTGGCAAACATTGCGGACCCGTAGCACGAAAAAATAACAAACCAGAGAGGTAGGTGTAAGATTATTTTACCTTGAGGCACTTTGACGCTTCAGTTTGTAATTTGTGTTCTGAAATTAGCCCTTGTAAGGTGACCTTCACCAGATAATTTTGGTCTTTATGAAACCTTTGACAGTGATAGTCGTATACTTACTAAGAATTAAATTTCTGTTGCAGAAAATACTACATAAGGTTGAAAAATTAACTCCTGATTAAAGATGTCGACCACATGGCGAACGGCCCACTCGAATTTATTATACGCGTGACAGAAATGGAATTCAGCAGCTCTACTTTAAAAAAAGGTAGCATTTTTTTTTTAAATAAAATAATTTACAGAATTCCATCAAGTCTCTATAGCTAGCAATTTATTTATTATATGTCTTCAGTTAATTGTATTTTAGAGGTGTTGTAATGTAATGTATAAAATATAATATAATAAACTTTCTCAGTTAAAATCCGGTCAACTTATCCTGGCTGAACGATTTAGAAACCACATTCAATAAAATGAATTGAGCGCTCTACGAAATACTTTACGTTCTACCCAGAATACAAGTATTTACATAGCTCCTGCCCTACAGTTGAGCGCTGTCAAGAACGGTCAATCGTTGAAGTTGCCTGATGCGTGTGGTCCTACAATTTCGGACCATACAAACAGCATTGTCGCAATAAACGATCAATGATTACTCCTGAAGCCTGAACTCCTGTGATTATTAATAGAACATATGGTTTCCATATAAATGTTAGTTGACATGGCTACCAATGCTTATTTAGTATAACTGGCTCTGGACTTCATCTTCGTGAGTTGACATGGAAGCATCATCTGGACGAGGCATGGGACTACACCTTATCAAACAGCATTGGAGCCTAGGTTACCGTGGAGGGGTGGGCCCCACCATGTACTCCGTGGTGACAAAACATGACGGAGTGCAGCAACCCATATAAGGTAGGGCTGATTTAAATGGTTCTACGCCTGCGTAAAGCTGTCATTTATTTACGTCTTCTAGAAAGCTGTTCATAAGGTAGTTTTCATAGTAACGTTTCTCGCACGATATGTTGAAAGTTATGCAAACGTTGAACCATATTTATCAGCCCAAGTATACACGGGGACAACAGGTTAGTGGATTTTTTTTTTTACTTATTTATAATCTAATGATTTAAGTCGGAACTCGGCTTCCAATTCGATTCGGCTTTTTTTTCGGTTTTTCGGTGTATGCATTCTGTCTGTCTCCGAACTGAAACATTGCAAGGCTTGGTATCAACAATGTGTCGATAGCCAGCCGCCAATGATCCCTGCGTATATGGTTTGAGGAACCCTGGGGTGTCCATTCGATGTGTTGGTGTGATGTGACTTTTTTTTCTAATATAAAAAACGAATCATCAAAGTAAAATAGGTAACTAATTAGTTTATTTACTCTTTTTTCGGCTTCTCAGAGCACTTTGCATTATTTGAGTAAAAATTTAATTGTAACTGGTGCAAGGAATTTAACAAAATATACGAACGCTTCTGTTGTTGGTGTGTATTTTATTCCTACTTATATATGTTAAACAGTTATAAAATAAGTAACTAAAAAGATTATTTAATATTTTTTCGGCTTCTCTGGATTATATAAATTAAATATTTAACTGTAACTGGTGCAAGAAATGTAATAAAATATACAAACCCTGCTATGTTCAGCTGTATGTTTTCGGTGTGTATTGTATTCCTATTTGATCAATATATACTTTAAACTGTTATAGGAGTATACTCAAACAGCTTTACAAATTAGGATTCATCGAAATTATTTAAATTGAATAAAGTTTAAACAGCAAAGCACGTGGCTGTCAGTGTGGTTTCTTAAACTGTCTTAAGTACCTTCTAAATAATTTACTAATAATGTTTATTTCAGCTACGTCGAACGTCGGCGGACTTTTCTTTTTCGCATATTCCGTCATGATTTTTTCATCAGAACAATTTAATGAAGATCACAGTTTTGGGCGCGCCCTGTTAGCTCGCCAATACCGCCGTCAACGAGATTTTTTCCTTTTTTCTGCACATCCGGGCATCTCAAGAGTTGACATCACTTACAAAACAAAAATTTCCAGTCCTATTTTCTCAAGATACTTCTCTTTTTTGTCGTCGTTTAAGAAACTGTCAAGGCATCCAATTCTGGCTGTACCAAGATTCATCTTCGCCAGATAAATTAATTTAAATTGATTGTAATTTAGTTGCAATTAAAAGATCAATAAAGCTTTGCAAACATGAAATATTAAATGAGAGGGTGTCATTTTCCTTGTACAAACATTAATACCGAAAGGACATTACATAGATCATACTAATAGCTTGTAATTATTGTAATTAGCTTTACCTTGATGATCAATAAAGTTACAAACACACAGTGCAGGTCAAAAGTTTTATATTTTGTTTCTTCTAACGTTTTATAACAGCTTAAACATTTCCTTTTAGAAACGTCGAACGCGATTTTTTTCAATTCTACTATTTTCAACGCTTATCGGAGAAGAAGCGGAAAATGAACTTTTGGGGCGAGCCCTGTCGGCAAGATGAACACCACCAAGTTTTGTCTTTTTATGGCAAGAAACCGCATTTTTTTCCTTCATCTTTTTTTTTTTTTTTTTTTTCTGAGAGAAGTCAGAGGCTAATACTTTTGGCGGAAAGCACCTTTAAGAGTGAAGGAGCAAGATTTCATCTTGGCACTAGATTCAAGATGAGTCCCATATTGGCCACATTTCTGTTTTTTGGATGAGTTCCTCCAGGAAATTCGCATGTCGTTTATTTTGACTGAAACAAGAGTTGCGAACTGAAGGTGAGCAAGTAAGGTATTTTAAAATCCATGTTGGCCTTGTTGCTTTCAGACCAAACGCAAGAAGCCACAGCAGACCGCACCCTTTCCACTATAAATAGAGACGGGAGGATGGTAGCTGAGATATCACGTGACCGTAATTATAGGGTTTACACTCTTAACAACGTTTTGTGAAACAAACACATCAATGATAGAGGACCCAATGCATGATGATTTTATGATACACGCAAAGACATCAACAGGTTGTTCCACCTTGAACACACGTATAAAAGAATTTCACATATACTGATGATCTGTTGATCTGCATAGAGTACTTGGACATGAGCTAGAGATATCAATTTGAACCCACACTGATCGTAATTTACAGTCCCATTAAGTCAATTTTCGTTGTAATTTTAATTGATACTAATTTCCTTGCAAGTTTTTTTATTTTATTATTATTATTTTTTTTACAGCCAGAAGTCTCTCGAAGAAGGAGGAACTGATTCGAAATTCAATGAGGTGGTTTTAATCACGTGACTCAAGGCTAACGCCTTTGCTTATAGTCTGTGGTAAGTCTACTAAAAGAAGCTGTGTCACCTTTTTTTACTAATTACAGCCCTTCGAAACTGGCCATCTTACTTAGCAAATCCCCCCCCCATATTGTGTCTTCTTAACGTAGTAGACAAGAGATGATTCAAAGGAAGACAAGTATAAACACAAAGGAAGGAGTTTATGACAACGGATTGCAGTTGGAGTATTTCAGTGATAAGTCCTAGCTTAAAATACATTGCTAAGGTTTTGTTTTTGTTTTTGTTTTTGTTTTTTTTTAATTCCTTTAACATTGGCCATCATTAAGCTAAAGTTAAGATAAAGTTCCAGAGTAATTAGCTGGCAAAGCCCATAGTTGGCGTCCCTGTGACATGGTTTTTTGAATTAGTACACGTTGAAAGAAAAGACTTTGAGTCCTAGCCAAAATGATAAATCTCGCTACGCTACTGAGTCTTTGTGAAAAGCATTTCATTATAGGTCGCGAGAGACTGTCAAAGCCAGGACTGTTAAATACAATGATCATCTCAAAGCTGATACACTGAATGAACCAACCTCTCTCAGTACAAAGGTAAGTTAAAGACTTGATTTTTCAAGTTTTTTCAAAGGCGAACGAGTTCATCCAAAGCGTGAACTAAAGAAGAAAAAAAAAACACTGTCGATTATACTATTTCTGGATGCAAGTTTATGGTATTCGCCCCAAGCCGTAGATAACCTGATTGAAGGTTTCAGTGGGATTCAAACTAATCCCTGCGAAAACATAACGGAGTGGGCTATGACTGAAAAAAGAAATAAAATAGTTTAGCCAGTTTTTTAGACACTAGAAACACAATCTCAAGGACAATTATCAACAAAGGAAAATCCCTGGCTTTAGAGAGGGTGAGTTACATTCAAAAGACAACATTTTTTTGTTGCAGAATTAAAGGATTAAAGCTCTTGTTCTAATAAGAAACAATTTATTTAGACAGGGAATATTGGGCGTCATAACAGTTATCATCAAGTGTCAGCTACTTGTGGAACTCTTTTAAGGGATCGAAAGGACGTGCCAAGCAGAGGTATGTCAGTGTCACGGTACTAATATTGAAAGCCAGTCAGAACCAAAACGATAAGCGACTCTACTTGGAAGCACTGATGAAAATCAAGTGTTCATGGAATTCGTGAGACCGGCCTTAGCTCTAAACAGGCGATGAACAACAACGGCGAAATAAGAAGACGTCAAAAGGTGAACTTAAAGTAATGATCGATTTAAACTGGTATGGGCATGTTTTCTTGGCTCAGTGAAAAATTGTTGCTTTGCAAGCGCATAAAATTTAGATAAGTAGGAGAGAAGGGGCACCCAAACCTGCTCTTTCAATTATAGTCTTTTTTGCATACTTTTCCAAAATGTTTGCCGCAGATTTCTCGTCATAAATTAACTGCCAAATTTCTCAGAAACATTTTGAAAAGGAAATGTTGACCATTGATTCTTAGTACCGTCTTGGAAAATGTCCTCTCTCCCTTGGTTTTTTTTTTTTCTTGTAATTTACCTTGCTGTAGACGAACGCTACGAAAAGCAACAAAATTTAATTTATCTATGTACTTTAGCGCGCAGCTGATCAGTAATTTCGATTTTTTAAAACATTCATATAATTTAAACAAAGAAAGAACAACTTGTTGCAGTTTATTCCGCCTTTTATATGAAGATAAGCTGTGGGGCGAATTTTTTCGACGACACTTCAAGTAAGCCCTTCGTTAAAACATACAAAAACATCCCGAGGCTGAAAGTCTCGGAAAGTTACCAAATCTCTTTTTCCTTTCCATTTCTAATATTTGTACAATTAGCCTAGACCAAGCATTATATGCAATCTGCGCTAATTATAAAAGACCACAATAAGGAAAAAATTATAATTCACTGTAAAACGCACCCAAAATTGTACTTGTCTGTCTCTGCCAGTACCATTCATGAGGTCATGACTGTCTAAGATCATCCCATGACTTGAGGAGACGCGGTTCTTAGCACTTTTTCATTTTAAACGCAGATTTTTCAGTGATATCCCGGTAGGTAACTAGTGGAGGGGTAGTGGTGGATGGGCGTACGCATGCCCCGTACCCCTTACCCTCATACGAAAAAAGAAAACAAAAACTATCACTATTTTCTTGAGCGACAAAGGTTGCGGAGAGGGGTAGTGGTGGATGGGCGTATGCCTGCCCCCCACCACTCACCCCTCCTATAAATTTATTCCAATTTTCTCATCATTATTTCCAATAGTGTCTCGTTGCAAATACAGTTGAAGAGTAGAGTGCAGAATTTTCCTTGATATATACTAAGGGACATGCATTAATATAGGGAATGTACATGCAATAATTACTGGTCATGAACTCATGAACTGGGCTAACGAATGTTTACTCCAAGGAAGTTCTAAAGACAGCAAGTCAAGTTTATCTGATAAAGGAAAAGTTTGGTATATTCCTCATCACGGCATATATCATCCCAAAAAGCCAAACAAGATCCGGTGGTTTTCGATTGCTCCATGGAATTCAAGAACGAGACCTTAAATAAACATTTGTTACAAGGACCAGATTTAACAAACAATTTGGTGGGAGTCCTCTGTCGGTTCAGGCAAGAAACAGTAGCATTCATGTGCGACATAGAATCGATGTTTCTTCAAGTAAGAGTATCAGAAGAATGCAGAGACTTCTTGAGATTCCTGTGGTGGGAGAACGGAAACACGACCAAGGACCCGATAGAATTTAGAATGACCGTCCATCTCTTTGGAGCGACATCATCGCCTGGATGTGCGAACTACGCCTTGAAGTCCACTGCTAACGATAATGAAGAAGAACTTGGTTCAATGTCAGCGAACTTTGTACGAAGAAATTTTTACGTGGACGATGGCCTCAAATCCGTCGCCTCATCAGAAGAAGCAGTGAACCTTATTAAAGACGCTAAAGAGATGTGCCGCAGAGGGGGTTTCCGCCTGCACAAGTTTGCTTCAAACAAGAAAGAAGTTATAGAAGCCATCCCAGCCGAAGATAGAGCTGAAGAGATAAGGAACATTTTGGATACTGAAGCCCTACTGATAGAACGTACCCTTGGTGTTGAGTGGTGCGTCGAGAAAGATTCATTCCAGTTTAGAATCACGTTGAAGGACCGTCCATGTACCAGAAGGGGATACTCTCCACAGTCAGCTCCATATACGATCCCTTAGGTTTCGTGGCTCCACTCCTCCTTGAAGGAAAGAAGATCCTACAGGACCTGTGCCGAGAAAAAACAGATTGGGGATGACCCAGTCTCTGAAGTAGTCAAGATGAAGTGGGAAAGGTGGAGAAGTGAGCTGTTCACTTTGGATCAGTTATCAGTTCCGAGATGCTTCAAACCATCAGATTTTGGACACATCAGCAGTGTAGAGTTGCATCACTTCTCTGACGCCAGTACCCAGGGTACGGCTAATGCTCATACCTCCGCTTAAAGGACGATGAAGGCCATCTCCATTGCTCGTTGGTAATGGGCAAAGCAAGAGTTACACCACTCAAACAAGTAACGGTGCCTCGTTTGGAGCTTACAGCTGCTGTGGTTTCTGTAAGAACAAGTAGTCAACTACAAAGAGAATTAGACTATGAAGAAATAACAGAAATCTTCTGGACCGATAGCAAGGTTGTTCTCGGGTACATCGCTAATGAAAGTAGACGTTTTCACATCTTTGTTGCAAACAGGGTGCAACAAATTCAAGACCAAACCTCTCCGGATCAATGGCATTATGTGGACACCAAACTTAACCCTGCAGATCACGCCTCTCGCGGTCTCAGTGCACAACAGCTCATCAAGTCAAATTGGATAACCGGACCAGCCTTCCTGTGGAATGATAGAAGTCAGTGGTCGACATCCCAACTACCAGGAGTACAAGATACTCGACAGTTATCACCTGATGATCCTGAAGTAAAGAAGTCTGTGAGCCTCGCTACGAACGTAGAACATATATATATCTTAGCTTAATGAACAAGGAGTTTTCTGTACTTTACTCCGTCAACTGGCTTTATCGCGTCAATCTTGTGAAACAGCGTGTCCTTTAGTCCTTCATGTACCTATGCAATTCACTAAATGTTACCCGTTCATATCATTAAAATCCCTACCTTTAAGTCTCCTGCAGCACAGTCTCAGTATTTTTTTGGGTGGCTTGGAAATTGTCAAAACTTTAGGGCCGACAAAGGTTGTCCTCTCCCCCTGGAAAAATTGACCTTACACCAAGAAACGATATGCCGGATTTTGATAACGACGTCGTGGTTCAAGGACGATACCCTTGTGTGTAATCATACCATTTTCCAATGACTGATTTCAATTTGGTCCTGAGATGCTAATAACAAGTAGGGGTCCTGGGGGGGCGGTAACGCTTTAACTGTTTTTTGGATAGCGCAAGATGCTAGAGGATGATCTAAATATCATGGAATAAATGTGGAGAGGAGGGATCAACGCCCATAAGCCTGTGACGAGGTCCTGTCGTCATATTACATTTTCACTGGAATTTAGCTTCTTTTAATCAACATTGATATTTGTGATGAATTTTCGAAATTGACATGAAAACTTAAGTTTAATAAACCAATATTTTGCTGCTTTTGGAAGCGTTTTGTACGTTTTGAGGCAGGATTTATCCAGGGCCTTCGTTGTTTAAAGTGATTTGGACGAGGAAGGAAAGATCGACATTGTTCAAAAATCTATTTCCAAAATTTTAATCCGCTTGCCAAGAACCTTCACTAAAATCAGAAGAATAAAAACATTTTACGTCAGGTTTCCTAACCAGCTAAATGGCTTGCGGAGCTTACATCATGCAACGAAAATACAGATACTTGTACCTAGGCCTCTGCGGGATTTAATGACGTCGAAGAAGGTAAATTGGGCAAAGTAAAATCACCGCTCTGCTCTTGATTCAACTCTCCACTAGTACATTGAACCAAATCAGCTTTACTCGCGCCAGATAAGACAATTTATGTGTCATTCTTTAAAAAGGAAATGGCTTCCGCCAAGACTTGTGCTCGTGTTACTAATTTTTCTTCTTAGGGGTAGTTCTATTTAGGTCGCAGGGATTCACAAGACAGTCGTCACAGCCATCCTTACCTGTCCGGCATACAAAATCGTCTGGCTATATATCAAACTCGCTCCAGAGGTATGTACTGGTATAAGATTAAATAGTTTTTGTTGTTGTTGTTGTTTTTGGCTGTAAACTATATTAATTCACTCAAACCTTTAAGATTTATCTCAATAAACAGAAACAGTGAGGAGTAACTAACGCGAAAAAATTTACGCCTAAACTTTTATTTTTTGCAAGGATGAGTTGAGTTTTTCGCAGGTCCTATGCCTAAGGCTTCCGTCTTATAATGCGCTCATTGATCTAAGGGCCTTGCCAAGGCTGCATATCTCGCCCAAAGAGACGTTTTTGTTTTTTGATTATTATATTTTAAATTTCTCGTCCTGTGTTTTAATCATTTTCCTTTATGAATTTTTGCTTTCCATGAAACCGAACAGTTTCCTTTGCAGATCACTCCACATCAGACCGAGTTGTTTAGGCATATTGAATATAATTGGCCAGTTGAACTTGATCTTCGAAAGTAGTCGACCCATCATCTGGACAGCGCAGATCCCCACGGAGGATCCGGAGTGCAATCAATCATGAACCCAGTGATGACAAAACGTGAAGGAGTGCAGCAACCCATATAAGGTAGAGCTGATTCAAATGGTTCTGCGCCTGCGTAAAGCCGTCGTTTATTAGGGCATCATCGTCTGTTTAGAATTGTCGTTTACTACGCCCTCAAAATGTGCACATAGTAGGTTTCCACAGTAACGTTTCTCGTACGTTACATTTAATTTTATGCAAACGTTGAACCATTTTATCAGCTTAAGTATACACAGAGAATCCAGGTTAGTGAAATTCTTTACGTATATATGTGATATGTTTAATATGCTTCGGCTTTTGTTCGGTTATTCAATCTACGCTTCCTGTCCGTCTCCGAACTGACTTGCACGGCTTGGTATCGACAATTTGTCGATAGCAAACAACCAAATTAATGATAACTGTGTACAGTCTGGAGAATCGCGGGGTGTCCATTCGATGAGTCAAAATTTATGGGCGTATGAACACTTCTATAGGAGATCTTTTCGTTATTTAATTAGATATTTTCGAGTTGGACCTAACATAAGGCGTAGCACAGGCCAAGGACAGGGACACAAAAGCGACGTTTGATATCGGCCTCAAATACTACCGTCAGATAAAAGGAGAAGTTGAGTGAGTGAATGAGTCTCTGTAACTGGAGTATGAAATTAATAAAAACGATAATGCTGCTGTTTTGTTGTGGTGTGACATTTTTTTATTGTAAAATATATTCATTTAGACGACTTAAGTAAATAAACAAATATATATATATTTTTTCTTATTCCATTCTATGAAGTTGTTTTATGACTTTTAATAAAAGATACGAACGTTGTTGTGCTGTTGGTGTGTATTTTCCCTCATATTTATTAAACTACCTTGGTAATAAAGTTTTAGTTACAAACACCTTTAAAAATTAGGAATTACCTCTTAAACATATGGAATTTTTTTTATTCAATACAATTAAAGCATACAAAAATGTAGTATCCTCTAAAACGAATTTACTAATGCTCTTTTATTTCAGCTACATCGAATGTCAGCATTTTGTGATCTTGCTTTCCTTTTTCTCGCATTCCGCCTTTACTTTTTTATCCGAAGAATGGAGGAAGAACGCATTGTTGAGCGCGTTCTGTATAGATCGCCTCGAAAGTGAACAGTTTTCTTTTTTCTTTTTCCTAAGAAAGGACACCACATACGACATCATCTTTTGTCTTCTCTTTTTTTCGACTGTTTGGCTGCAATCGTCCATGGATACCAAGATGTTGAATTCTGACTGATCCATGATTTATCCAAATCATAAATCATCATAAATAAAGTAGTTAGACATTCCAAGATCAATAAAGCTTTGCAAATTTTTTAAATTAGCTCTGTGTGAAAGGTTGTCATTTTCTTTGCTCTAGCACTTGAAATCTTGTGTATAACATTTTTATAATTAATTATTGTAATTATTGCACTTAAAGAGTCAAATGAATAAAGAAAACATTGCTAGTCAATGTATATTTTTTTCTTTTAACACATAAAAGCAGTTTAAACTTGAAGTTTCTTTTCAGGAACTTCGAACGCATTTTTTTTTCTTCCGCTACTTTTTCCAACGGTTTTCGGAGAAGAAGCGGAAAATGGACCTTTGGGGCACGCCCTGTCAAGATGAACATGAACATTTCCAGATGTCATTTTTACTTTCTTTTGACAATTTTTCTCCAAGTAACGCATGAGTTTAATGCTTCTGACTGAAACCATTTAACGAGTTCAGAACAAGACTTAACGAGCAAGATTCCATGCCGAGTTTCAAGATTACTCTTCTCCTTGGCCTGTATCTAATTTTGTTGGGGATGAGTTCCTGCTGGAAAAAAACCTGTCAGTCATTTTGACTGAAACAGGATTTACGCACTGAAGAAATATCAAATAAGGTATGGAAAAGTTAAAGTTAGTTTTGCAGTTGTTTTCAGATTAAAGACAGGTATTCAGAGTAGACAGATGAGAGATGAGATATCATGTGACCGCAAGTATGTATTATAACCTGACCTCGTGATGGTTTACAACAAAATTTCAAATTACACATATTATTTAACATGCTCCACACTAAGACATTGGCGTGTCGTTACATCTCACATGCTTAACATAGATTTACCTGATACCGATGATTTGGACTGCGCATGCAGCAAGAAATTGCAGACTGAATACATACTGATCTTAAAGTTGAGTCACTTAGCGAGAGTTATCTTCATGATTTTCGCTGATACTAATTTTCTTGTAAGCTTTTTGTATTTTTTTTTTTTCAGGAGAAGAAAGGACTGGTACGAAATTCAATGAGCTGGTCTTACTCACGTGATTTAAGCCCAACACCTTCGTTTATGGGGTAAGTTTGCTAAAAGAAGGTACGTCACGCCTTTTAACCAAATTATATCCGTTAGGAACTGGCCTCCAATATATTAGAGCTTGAAGCAGCAGAAATCAAATGAAGAAAATAATAATATTAATTAAGAAAATTGGTGCGAGCAGATAATCCTTAGAATTTTCAGTGACAATTGTCAGCCTTAACAATTTTTCAAGAGTTTTTCCTATAAAGTGGTGTTTTGCCATTGACAAGAAATGTTTTCACTAAAGATAAAATTTCATAGTAAGTAATTGGCAGTTGTCAATGTAATATTGACCCCCAGGGATACCATTCACTATGAGAGAGTGAGGAGAGGAAGAGAAGTAGGTATTAACTAATTATTCATTGTGTGGACTTTAGTTGACTTTTATATATTGTTGATAAATTTTCTTAGAGCCACTATTTGCAGATCAGAAAAATTCTGATTGCTGCCGGGTTTAATTAAAGATACTGCAGGTTAGTAAGCTCTTTTAGAGAGGAGAATGGTGAACATGCTTGTCAGCTTCAAGGAAAGATGAATAGGCTTAAGAAAGTATGGCTTGCCCTTCAAGCTGTAGAACCTCACTGTAAATTCCCTCAGGATTCAATCCCTTAATTATTTTTGGCAGAATTCAGACAAAACATAATGACTCACTAGTAAAGAACAGCTTAAATAGATGATAAAACAAGTGGAAAGGAGCCAGGTTGTCCAGAATTATGAAGAAAATGTAATGTCAATTTCCACAAACTAAAGCAAAACCGTGGCTTTAAAGAGAGCGAAGTACATTCATTAGACCCTTTTCCTTTTTTGAGGCTAATATTTCTTGCTCTTGAGACGTATTACATTTATTCAGGCAGGCGAGGACACCATAGCAGTCACCAAAAGAACGTGCCAAATGAACAGAGGTAGCCGTTAAGACAGTGTGTTGACTTCCAATATTGAAAGCTGGTGACCCAAAACGATGAGCGACTACACTCGGAACTGAAAGGAAAGGATTGATGATAGTGAAGTTTTCATTCAATCCACGCGGATGCATGGCGATAAGCAGGGATCAATAAAAATGCTTCACACTTCAAAAGCAACCTTGTTCCCAGAGTCCTCTCTTAAGGGCAAGAAGGAGAGGACCCTGAGAACGAGAGTGTTTCATAATAAGACTAAAATAATATTAAAGTTTTAAAACAATTTCGAGTGAAGTTTGCTTCTTGTTTAAATTATACTAAGAAAAATATAGTTTCTCTGCAAGTGCTCTGGTATATAGTTTATTCTCCAACATAAGGAAAGGAGCTGGGTAACAAAATAAAGTAGCCCTTTTTCGCGTTTTGTTGCAGAATACCTACTACAATTGTAACTGATTCATTTCTCAAACAAACTTGTAGATCATTGGTCGCCCTCACCATCGTTTAAGTGAAGATCGAGTGGTTTTCATGAAAAAACTTTTTCTTTCGTACTACCCATAGATGATTGCTACTAAAAGCAGCAAAATTTTGAGAACGGCTTCACTTCAACGCAATGTTCACTGGACTTAACTTTTCCACCTTTAAGATATCAACTACATAAGCCGTGATTTGCCGACAATAGTTTAAGCAAGTTCTGTGTTGAAACGATAACAAACGGCAGTCGAAAGCCACTGTTAGCTGCCGAATTTCGTTTTTATTATTACTTTTTTTCCCTACGATTAGCCCATGGCATTCTTTGCAGTCTGCTTCTTTTATATACCGCAATTAGGCAGAAAAAAAAAATCGCCTTAAAATGCCCTCAAATCTATACTTGACTGTTGCAGATTACCGTTCATGAGGTCATTATTTCCCAAACATCTGATATCCAAACCTTAACCGAGATAGCTGGAGATACGCAGTTTCTTCTGCTTATTTTTTTAGCATCTTTTTTTTGAAAATGAAATTCTGGAGGTAACAATTGAATTTTAAGGGTTGTTGGAAAGGGTAATGGCGGACGGGCGCATGCCTGCTTCCCGCACCTACCGCCTCCTAAGACAAAAGACAAATTTCTTTTCATTTTCTTATTGATTTTTTATTAAAAAGAGTGTCTTGTTACAAATGCAGTTGAAGGTTATAGTGCAGAGGGTTCCTTTATGTATAGGAAACGTTTATTAATTACTGGTCATGAGCATATAGCCTAATAAGGATTTTCTGCGTTTTAGAAACTCTTCAACTGTTTCATCTCGAGACCGTTTATATCGTGAAACTGCGTGTCCAGAGTTCATTTGATCGTTTATGTATGTAATTTATTAGAGCTCATTTATGTTACCCATTCATAAGTTTATAGCCGAATCCCTATCCCAATTCCTATTAGACTCCCTGCTGCACAGATTCAGTATATTTTTGAGTGGCCTGAAAATTGTCGAAACATTTTACGCCGGATTGTGGTAATATTTTTAATTGGCTGCTTTTATGAACTGGGCTAATTATGATTTACCGTGTTTTAATCACCGAGATTAGGATGCTCTAAATAACAAATATATGAGCTTCAAGATTTTTTTATTTTATTGTATTTTGCTATCATTATTAATTTTTTTTTTTTTTTGTGGAGACGCTGTATACTGAACGCCGTTATTTTGTGACTGTGGTCCCTCGCTATCATAGATTTTCACTTAGAATGCAGATTTATGTAACATGATTAAAATTTGCAATGAATTTTCGAAAGGGACATGAAAAATGTGATAAGCCCGGCAAGATTTTGCTGCTTTTGGGAGCTTTCTTTTTTACGGTTGAGGCCTTTAGTCCCAGCTGTTTCCTCCGTTGCCAAGTAATTTACACCAGGGATAAAGATGATTATGATGTTGATGGTGATGACGGTTGGTAATGATGATGATACTAATGAAGTCGGTTATTTCCAGGTTTTCAGGCTTCTGTGGAATCTAACGACGGCGAGGATGGCAAATTGCGCAATACATTTACTGAAACAATTCACTTTCACTCGGGCCAGATCAGACCCGCAGGTTATGAGTGATTTTTAATAACAATGAAAGGCATCTGCTAAGGCCTTTGCTCAACTAATAAAAGTCTTTTCTTATTAGAAGTATTTCCATTAAGGTATCAGGGAAATGCATAAAAAACGTGGCAGCCATCGATATATGTATGGTGACATCGTTGCGTGATATATAAAACTCGCTCTAGAGGTATGTCTTTTTTTTTTTTTTTTTATCTGGGAAATATTAATTTACTTAAAACTTTAAAGTATCAAGAAAAACGGCATCCTCAGTAACGCCATTTAAAGTAAACTAGAGACTGTCGCAGCAATTAGACACAAAATTACTGTCCATGGAATTCCCAAAGGAGGAACGTTAACATCCATTTCAATTTTTACTTTGAATCCTATACCATCCCTAGCCTTTTTACATTGACTATTTTCCAATTGCCCATAATACACTCTGTTTGCCCCCCAAATTTTGCATAACTTATTGTCTTAAAATGCTCTTGGGAAAATGCAATACTCGCAGGAGCATTAAAAAACAATGGTTTATGCAGAATTTCGGGGGCAAACAGAGTGTATTATGGGCAATTGGAAAATAGAGAATGTACCTGATCATCCATCTTTTGAGTCAGTTTTTTTCTTTTCTTTTCTTTTCTTTATTTTTTGAGGGGGAGGGGGAATTGTTCATTAATTTGTTTGTCTCGGGCCGAGTTTTTGTTAGAGTTTTCATGCTTTTGACTTTACCAATATAGAAATCTGAATATTTTGAGGCCTTCTTTAATTTTAGTTTGATTTGTTTGCTACAAAATAATTAGCCTTACCTGTATCACCAATGAGTTTCCGTTTTGCCCGTTTTTAGTTCATTAAAGAAACAGTGGTCTTGATTTGAGTGAGCCCTTTTATATATTGGTAAGTATCATTTTTATACCTGATGACGCATGATATTTGGTAAATTTACCAACTTTGTACAAAAGTGTAAAGAAAATTCTAATACTTTCGTCGAAATATCGGTGTTTTTCGCTGTTTAACTGCTTCCGCACGTTAAAACCATTCTAAGTTGTTGCCATGGAAATATGTTGACTACAATAAGATTCCTTGGTAGAAGAGCGGTCAAGAGCGAGTGAAACACGCAAGCGTACGTGAAAAATATCACCAGCTAAGACGCAGATAAGCTCGACTTTTTATATCTGAGATGAACAAATAACTGTTGAACTTGACTTGATGAAAGAAAGCATGATTTTCAGAACTGGATTGCATAAAAATGGTTGCAAGAACACTATACAGCTCGGAAATTAGCGCTAACCGAGGATCGTCAATTAAAAAAAATTAGAAAGGTCGTAAATACATTTTAATATCTTGTTTCATTTTAGCAGCTACCAGACAAGCAGCTGGAACACTGCTACAGAGCTGTTTGGAAGGAAATGAGAGAATGGACATCCAGCTAGTCAGTTAACTTCAGAAATGATTTTTTTTGTCATTAGTTGCGAACATTTACCTAATTTTATAACAGTGTAGAAACAGACTGTAAGCGAATATTTGTTAGTGACGATATATTCTTGTAGTAAAAGGATGGGAATGAAATTTAATTCCAACAATTACATGTTGTAAAGGAAGAGTACTGTTTGAAAGAAGGCTGCGCGATAGTGTCAAAGTTTTAGAAGGTAATTACAAAATGACAAACTTACGTAGCAAAAGGAAGAAATTGAAAACTTGTGAGCCGGCTAGTTCACTTGAAAAAAATCCCCGCTTTTTGAATGAATGCATTGTTTGCACAAACCGATGATCTGGGGCGATCAGTCTAGAACTCCTGACTTGACCTAATGCTTTCTAGCGCGCACTGATCTCACAACCTAACGCATAAATTAACCAGCTCTGACTTTACAATGACACAATAACGAGGTTCCAGGTTGTATGTAAACCCAAGAAAGAAAAAAAAAAAAGCTAACCTTAATTAATTAAAAAAATAAGGCATGACGGAGGGGAGAGGGGAGGGGGGTATGAGGCTTATCGAATGCGCCATTTTACCCCAACCTTCTATTCTTTGTCCATTATTACAATGCAGCAACTGCATACATTAACTTAAGTTACATGCCTTTGCAACCTTTACCTGGTGCCAGTTTGTACATTTGGTAGCTATTACTCAAACTCTAATCAACTTGCAGGGTTATGTTTCTTTTTCTTATTTAAAATCATTGACCAAGGGACCAAGGGCAGAGGTAGTCAAAGCGGAAACGTTTTAAATTTCACTTACTTTGGTGATCTCCTCACCTGTAACTGCGTTCAAAGCGGACTATGTTTTACAATGTGTATTAGACACGTGCAAATAATTTTACAGTTAACTTTCCTGGAACACTTAGATATTAAATAAACATGCACCAGTTAAAGACCTGTACAGAAAATTACATATGGTCTCTTGATTAACCTACCTGTAAAAATATAATAAAATATAAGTAATATTATTATTACAATAAAAAATTGTTGGGCCAGTCTGATTTGTTTTTTATATTTAGCATTTTATGTAGACAAATTGAATTCAATATGTTTTTGCTAAGATGTGTATCGTTGTTAACTAGACTTTTGCAGGTTTTTCAATAAAGTAAAGTTATTCATTGATTCAGTACTCATTGATTGATTATCTTGACAACTGAAAGGGGAAAGGGGTTTTCAAAAAGTAAAGTTATTCATTGGGGGGATACGAATTCCGTGAACACGAAACAATCCGGGACAAGTGGAACGGAAAGCAAAAAACAGAAAGAACATTTGATTTATTGTTAATTGACCATTTTTAATTACTCTTTTTTAATTTTTATTATTATTATTATTATTTTTTTTTTTTTTTTCAACATTTGACTTGTACCGGTTATGAAGTGTCACCACGGCTGGAAAGAACACCTTAAAGTCAGTTACCTTGCCAAGTTTGAAAGTGATTATTGCCAACGAAGCTATTGCTCCACTAGCTAAGTCGCAGAATTTTACACAAAGTCATATTTGTATCGTAGCGGGCAAGAACGTCTTCCCCACCACAGAAAAGCTAGTCTGGACAAATTCCCAAAATCTGTAGAGCAATATTCGTTCCCTACGGACATGTACCTTAAAACTGGATAAGTTTACTAATTTAACCGGCGCTTTCGGGCACTGTCAATTGATTCTTACAGTGGTCTTTATCAAAACTTGGAGAAACCACGCGGAAAGATTGTTTTCGTTTATTGAGGTTACAGCGTTTCTTCACCTACCTTTTGCCAGTTTTCACGGTTTGTTTTGGGGGTGTTCTGGGGTATTCCTGTTTTCCGAGTTTTACTACATACCTATAGAGCAGGTGTTTAAGTTTAAAGCCGTCTTTTAATGAAGTCCCGACATCATCCGAAGCGGCAGAGGAAAACAGGAAGGTAAATTTCTCACTGATCTTGCGCGATCTTGCAAGTAGTGAAAGTCAATTCTTCAAGAGGTTAAGAGCAGTTGTCTGTAAGATTCGAGCTATATTAAAAAGGCGCTGCCACACTATCTCACCGAATTGGCTAAAAATTGGCACGTAGACTTGATTTGAGGTCTTTAATAAGGAATAGGTAACTTTAGGTTCCAATTCCTCCTATTTCGGAAATTATCGACATGGCCGGTTTTTGGGTGCCTCGGACCGGCGCCATATTGGTTAATAGAAGCTACTTTTGAGCCTTCCACTACAACCCTGTCTTCAAAGCTAATCTTCCTTTGCCAATACAGATTGAAAGAACAATCCCTCTTTATTGTATTTTTAGAAACTACTTCGAAATTGATAACGTTTTCGCAACGATCGATTAAACTTTTGGTGGGTATACTTTTTGAATTTTTTACACCCGCAAAATTAACAGAATTTTAAAGGCGTATATCTCTTTTGCCACATCGCATTGAAGCTTGCCAATCTTCCTGAATACTCACTGTTTGTAGTTAAATCGAGTTCATTAATAAAAAAATTGGGCAAATTTAACGGAGCAGAAACAAAGTAATGAATGGAAGACTGTTCTAGCGACTTCGTCAATAATCTGTACACCGAATACTCGCCAGGTGTTGCCAAAATTACAATCGATAATAGAGTTTCTGTCATTAAATCTGAGTGATCTGTGTAATAAAATTAGCCTCTGTAATATAATCGATAACTCTGCTGCGAAAAACAGTATAAAAAAAGGCAGATTGTATAAGGAAAAGGAAAATGAATTTGTTATGTTTATGCTATGACGCGTAAACAAAATTCAACCATCACAGTCGAACTGGAATTTTCCTGATTTTCCTCCAGTTCGTTTACCGAAACCAGAGCTTTTAAAATTAACCATACTAATGAAAATTGAGATGTATTACCTTACTCGACGACAAAGTTGCCAGTTTCCACCTTGATCGAAAAAAAGTAATATTTTCCCACGCATATCGCGGGTCGTCACGTTCCTTGCCTGGCGTTACAACTCACGTGAAACCGCCTGGTTTCAAACAACTGAACTGAAGAATCCGTGAAAATCTTAGCCAGGCAATAAATAATGGAAGTTGATATAAGTTATCATTATTAGTGAGCGAGGATCGATGCGATGATAGTTCCAGCTACATGTGTTTACAGCGTTTGAAGATTTACTCAAAACTCATGAGACATGAGCCCTTGAAATAAACATCATTACTTCCGGTTTTAAAAATTGGGCGTTGGCAAAGTAATGAATAGACTCATTCTACCTTGTACACCGTTAACAACGGTTCCGTGTACAATTTCAGGTATTTTATCTCAATCACGAAGCCCGTTTTGAGGAGATTCTTGATAAACAGAAAAATTGGTTTGGAAGGGGTTAAGAAGAATGAGGGATGAGCCCGGGACTGCAAAAACCACAGTCACCCCACCGAAGGGCTTTAAAACTGTGCGCAAATGCCTCACCCTAGGGACAATTCCAGATTTTTGTTTCCTTGAAAAAGCTTAAAATCGCTAGACAATGCATGGACAACTCAAGACAGTCCTAATTCAAAATAAAGTAAACAGCAAAGAAAATTCAGTTAGGGACCAGTGAAGTTATCCGATATCGCGAACAATAAGGAGTGATTGAAGATGTGTCTGCAGTTTAAGGTAAAATCATTTACCATGCTCACGGACCTTTCGACAACATAAGTGTACCGATTGACGTAATATCAGTGGTAAAAAACGAACGCTTTTTACTGTAGGACGATGACGTCATCATACAAAAGGCGTCTTCACTCTGGCATCCAGAATTTCAAACAGTCCGGCCTAATTTTTTCGTCAAATGAAAAACGCCTCTGAGGGCAAGTAGTGGTAATGTGCTTGTTAGTAAGACGTCCAACATAAGGAGACATTCATAATCAACTCGGTTAATGCATTGATAAAGGGAAACTTTCTCCTTATCCTTAGCATAGTTAGTAACTATGCCGTTAGGGACAGAGTTCAAAGGCGCAAAAGATTTTTAGTTCAGCTCTAGCTTGTGTTGTCTAGCGATTTGCCTTGAGCTTCTCCAAATTTTCCAGATCAAACAAGCTGTGCCCATCGTACATAATCTTGTCTGGGCTCCCTTGAAAAATTGCAGTTCATCAGATGCCTTCAAGTTCATCCTCCGCCGCGACAACTTCGTGATCTATTTTAATGGGTGGTTTTCTGGAACTATCCTATGGCTTGTCCTTTCTGGTCGTCACTATATTAGCGAACATGTTTCAATTTCTCTCCAGCAAAAGTCTCTATCAGGAGCGTAGCCAGGACTTTCCAGGTGTGCGGAAAATTACCAAAACTTAGCCTAACATCTTACTCAGTTCTCTCGCAACGTTTCCCCACTACATTTGCTAATTCTGTTAACTAGGTGAGGTTATGCGTGGATGAAATGGCACTTGCAATCGGTGAGAAAATTAGGTTAGACACTTTACCCTCAAGGACGACTCTCACGTTTTCCTGACACTTTCTAAAGTGAAGCTTTGCCTTCCCCACTCCGCGTAGAAAAATGTCGTTCGGCTGTTCAAACTACTTTTAGAAAACAACAAACTTCCCAACTTTAATTTTTAATAAAGGTATAAGGGTAGGAATCCAAATTGTTTTGGAGTATTTCACTGATTTTAACACGATGATTGTAAAGTAGTGTCTAGTGAGTACGGGGGCTAATGCCCCATCGTAAAAATCTGAAATTGAAAACAAAAATCTTGTATAACGGAGTAGTACACAATTTTAGTTATATTATTGAGTTGTGAAAAATCACAAATTTGTTTCTTCTTGAATGTGTTATACTCTCATCCATTCAGTCTTTCCGATATGCCCGTCGGATAGCGGAAGTTAACGTAAATGATCGATTACCTGAAAAGAAGCTACCATCCTAACTTTCCACCTTCGGGTCTTTTCCCTAGCCATAATTTTTTTCCCTCAAGGAATTTTTCTCTGTTTTACATAATAATTGGTCTTGCATTCAGCTTATCGATTTTGAGAGCCTAGTCCTATGCCGTATTCTGATGCGATCTACTTTATGTAGCTTTCCCCCCATCTAACAGCTCCTTACTGAACAAAAACGGCTTTAATTGAGTCTATTCACTAGTCAAAGAACAACTAGCCAATATTTTTCCAGCGGTAAGCACAATGTTCCTAATTCCCCCTAGTCCCCTTCTTAGACGCTTTCATGTGCATCAGGTGTTAAATTTTCTTTTCATAAGCTACAATGCTCATAATCGCGCATTCTGATGTCATTTATGCTTAAAAAATTAAAAATTAGTTTATCGAAGAAAGAGTGAATTAAAGGTGTCATGAGGCGTTTGTGATTTCATGAACTATTTGACGCGGTCCTTTTCTTACGGCTTATGTCCGTTGGTGAAATCGCTACTTGGGTTTTCTTGGATTGAAAAGGGCGGGCTCTTTCTAAACGTGGCGTTGTTTATGGGACCTTAGTATTCAGAACAGAATCAGTCGATGGCAAACAACGAAAAGGCTTTTATGTGGTAAGTTACAGTGATGAACCTTGCCTCGAGATGGTCATATTTTTTGTACATACCTTCATGCAATTCAGTGTTGGTCTGAAAATTTTTTGTTATGGATGGGGGAAGGGTGCGGGGGGGAGAGATCAGAACATGTACCTCGTGTTGTTTACAAGACATTAAAGTAATGAAAACTGTTAAACAGTCTTCTACAAATCAAAATAGTTGCAAATGCTTACGGGAGGCCCTAACTATATGATGATAAGAAGGGCTATATTTGGAAAGGTGCATGGTCGTGGAGTTAAGGAGATTTGACTAATCAACCAATTTCCCGCTAAACATAAGGGCGTGGCCAGTGGCCCCAAAATTGTGTTCGCTCGCCCCGGGCTGGCTCGACTTTTGGGATACGGTTATGGGGTTATAAACAATGAGTTCATCATCTATATAGCCTACTCGCCCCAAGTGACTGCATTTCGCTTTTCAGAGACCCATCAGTTACTGCATGACCCTCTCCGATCAGATTTTATGTCCGTGGTACTGGTGGCGAGGTCAGTCTACAAGCAGAGTCGTGAAAAACACCGCCACTTGAGTCTTTACGTTCAAAACATTCCTGGCTATCGGGAAAAAAAGAAGGAGCTTTTAAAAATACTAAATAAAATGTCATTTCAAATATCACTTTGTCACCGTTCGAAAATTATTGTGAATCAGACCGAATGAAAGTTCACTCAAAGAGGGGGGGGGGGGGAGGGGGGGTTCGTAGTTCTTAACAGTTACAGTTAGCTAGAAAATTAAAAGTTACGAAAAAATAGTGGGCGAACTGCAGAATACATGCACGAATGAGAAAGAAAATAGAAAACAACTTCCTGTTCAAATTCGGGTGAAACGTTTAATAGCGTCAAGAAGACTGAACTTAATTGAGGTTGTTCATTTCAGTTCCGTTCCAGCGTGCAGTTCCTTGTCCTCCTAAAAATAGCTTCGTCTCCCACCGATCATTCCATGTCATATTTTGCGGACTTATTATTCAGTAATGACGGTACGATCAGGTAATTTGACTTGATGAGTTCTTTAATTTCATTTAATGTACTAGTTTTATATCTTACGCTGGAAAGATCTGCCAAACAGTGTACATTAGCAAAGGTAGGTTCCTGTTTACACGTGTAATTATCGAATACCATACAATTTGCATAAAGCTACAGTGCACAGTTGGTTTTTCTAGCCTTTTGATTAAAATTGACAACGTTTGCGCTATCTTTGCCTAAGAAAATATGTAATTTGTAGCTGTATACAGCGACATACTACAGAGAAAATTGTAACTGTGCAGTACACGAGCGGCTCCCGATTGGTCTGAGAAATCGAAGAGCGACTTGAGCTAGTACCGTGTGTAACAAAATTTATAATTTTCATTTTAGCGCATATTTCAAGCTCTTCGCAAGATCAGAATCAAAAGATCATCTGTTTACCTTACAAGGGAGGGTTTTTTAAGCGATAGATAGGGTTTAAGAGGCAAGATCAATTTTTAAAGAATTTTCTTTTCAAATATTCGCCGAATTTTGTTTTGAAGTTTTAGCGGCCAAGTGGCTGAACCACTGCGCATTCATGCAATCATATTTCTGTTCCGTTGCATTTGCCCAATTATTTTATTCAACAATCTAACTTAGCTATAAACAAACTATGTTTACTTAAAATGGCTTAGTCTAAATCGATGTGGCATGGGTGATATTGGCCTTCCAATTTCTACCAAATTTGTGTACCGTTTAAGTACCGAAAAAGTGCTGTGAGAAGTTATAGCCGTTCGTAGCTCAGGCTTAACCATTTTCAGATAAGAGTAAGTAAATGAAAGGAGGAAGGATAGTTCTTTGCAACTGTATGAGTCACGATTACGTTATTTTAATGATAAGGCTAGAATTAATTACTGTAAATCTCCTTCAGTTCACCAACATAGCGGCCGCTCGAGGCCTCGTCAAAACTGTCATTCCTGTATCTTTGAAACCAACGAGAATTCGAACCTTAGAATATGCATTCAGTATTTAGGACACCATTCTAAGACTACATGCCAAAAATCAGCCAAATCGATGAGGTACCGTGTCAGGCCGAAGTTCGAATTTTACAGAAAATCACTCTTAATAGGGTTAGAAACTACATTGTTGATCTCAATAATCTACGAGTCAAATATTTGTTTTTGTTTTCTTCTGTTTTTTGTTTTGTTTGTAATTTCAAATGTGAAATTATAAATTAGTATTGGTAATAGCATTATTTGTAGTGATATTTGGCATAAATACCACGAGTGATATTTCAAAATTGTTATATGTAATTTCTCGAGCAGTTAGGCGAGTGAAATTTGAGACAATTTTGAAATATCACGAGTGATATTTATACCAAATATCACGTACAAATCATGCTATTATTTGTTTATATTACTACCCGCAAAAGGTTTGTAATTTTCACATGTGGGTATTTCAAATTAAGCTGAAATACCACTGCTGTAAGCCAATCAAATTGCAGAAATTTTTTCATGTAGTAGAATAAACGCTGAAATTTCTCGCCGGAATTAAGGAGTAATTTGTCACTCGTATCATGATGGTATGGTAGAAACGAAACTTTAAAGGTAGAATTTTCTCTAGCAGAACAAGAAAGACTGATCAACCGTGATTAAGTGGGTAAATTACTCTCTTCGCCACTGGAAACTCACAGAATTGGGTTGCAATCTTGGGTTACGAAGCAGTAATCTGGATTATATTGTAAATAGACAATTCAGTTTATATATAAGATTATGTGGATGATTTTAAAGTCTAATTTATTGTTGATTATTATTACTTTTCTTTTTTTTTTTTTTACAGTTTAAGACTCTTCATTTTTTTTTTTTTTTTTTTTTTTTCACAGTTTAAGACTCTTCATGGAGTTTTCAATTATTGTCGGTGCTCGTTTCGGGTTTCGATTCTGGTGCTGTTTTGCTGAGGTCATTGAGTTGCTTGTTATAAGCCATCGTGCATTTTGAGCGCTGAAAAAAAAAATGTAAACACATCAGCACGGTAAAAATGTTCGATTATCGTCTGATATTGCTTAATGGTTTCTCTGTAATTTGTTTTAAATTTAACTGAGGTAAGTTTGCTGACTCCAACCCTTGTTAAACGACAATGTTTCCTAACCTGTAAAAATACATCAAAAAATGACCCAAAGATACACTTTGTTTTGGCGCATTTCCGCATTTGGTTTAAAGTTTAAAGACAGAAGGCAGAAGCTCATAAACTTTTTAATGCGATCTAATTTTGAATATGTTAAACGAATGCATCTTTTATCCAGAAAACAAACCTGACGTCTCATCCGACTTGATTACAGACATAGCCACAGCTCTGGCGACAGAATTTCTTCAGGTAATTCTTGTACCAACTGTTGTTGCACATCCCTTTTTTAGACCAATTTACGCAGTATTCCTTATAAGGTTTGCAGTCTTGGCAACCACCTTTCGATTGACAAATTGAAAGATTATTTAAGGAATACCGGTACATTGTGATAAATACGAATTATCTGTGAGATGAAGTGACAATTGCAAAATGAATAAATAGATAAATAAATAAATAATTAAATAAGTAAAGAAATAAATAATACAATAGTTTTTTTTTACATTAAAAATCCCAATCAGAATGAATTGCCTTCATGATCAAAACTAAATCGTCAGTGATTAAACAATGCCATGCGCATGTAGATTAGATAAAAGTTCAGAATATTACACTTACATGGCTTTCGCTCTCGTTTCCACATAGTTTTTTTAATCCAATTGACGAATCTGCTGATGCGGACGAACACAGAAAACGTTTTCCCGCCACGACACCAATGATCACCCCAGCTAACAGCTCCTCTCAGAACCCAATGACCAGTTTCTTTGCAGACTAAAGGACCTCCACTGTCCCCATGACAACCACTGACCTTTGAAATGAAAATACATTAACGAATTAAATCATTGCACTTCATATATTTTAAAGATTAGTAATAACTGAAGGTTACGTAATGCGGCTGATAACAACCTAAGGTAAAAACGCAGTGCTCAAACGCTCTGCTTTGCATGCCAAAGTTTCACGTGATAGATGGTAGAACCATGAGCTAATTTGTACAACATGGCATCAATGCAAAAGGCATGATCACTTATCACTATATTCCCTTGCTCAAGTCAATTAAGGGAATCAATTTTAGGCACTTTGATTTTCTGAATCAGAATCATGATAACATCTTACCTGGAAACATGTAGCTGCTTTAATATTTAGCGTCTTTACATCTATCCAACAGGTTCATGAACGCAACACTTAAATAGTCTCATCATAGATCACAGTTATTTCAGTGTGTAACGAATGATGCATAGTGGAAAAGAGAGTTCAGAATCCTCGGTGAGGGGCCTAAGATCTAAAATTCATTAGTGATCCCAGCGTTTCATTGGTTACAATATGACTGTATTTACCGTCCTTCTTTGTTTGGCTTATAGCTTCAGGCTTTATTACATTGTTACATAGTCACCTTAGATGCAAATTTTAAACCATCATTTTCAACTTCTTATATACATTAGATTGCGTGAATAAGTACATTGACAATATATATTCATTTCGAAAAGATATTACAAACATGTCAGAATCAAGAAAGGCAACTAACCACACTGTCTCCTCCATATCCTGCGCATATCATAGTTTCATCGTCCACCTTAGCATACGTTAGGTTAGCGTTACCAGCTGCACAAGTGGCGTAGTCGACAATTGGCATCCTGGCTTCTTGCAGAATTTCAGCATAGGTGGAAATGTTTGGGGAAGATGTTTTTCCCCAGCCTTCATTAAAAAAAAAAGTGAATGAATGAACAAATGAATCAATCAATCAAACAAACAATCAATCAATCAATCAATCAATCATTGATATTCAGGCATCAGCAACTACCTAGCCCTTAACGATTAGGGCATGATGTGCCACGAACTTCCGAAGATTACGAAGTCGTTTATCAGTTTAAAAGTAAAGAATTTCCTTATATTTATATAAGGAAAGAAAAATACCGTCCTGGGATCCCAAATGACCAAACTGAATGTTCAACTGATCGAAATTAAGGGCATGCATAAAGAAATATATTTTTATCGCAATGTTTTTTATGTAATCCTACCCGTGATATAGCAGTCCTTTCCCACTGGAACGCGTTCGCATTGAGGAGGAAGGCATGCTGTTCCTATCTTCCCAAAAACAGAAAACGCAGGACGTGCCAGTTTCAATAGCGCGATGTCGAAGCCATAATCATAAATTTTAGTCATGTACTTTTCGTGAATTCTGACGCTAATGACGTCATACTCTTGATGAGGATCTTTCACAGTACGATTGTTTTGCCCTGGAAAATACAAGACAGTCATTCTCGGGACACCATGCATTCCACGTATTTCGACCCCAAGCAAGGATCTCCAGTTATCTTTGTAGCAGTTGTAGACTCTTGAGCTTTACGATCATAGCAACGGGCAAGGCGATCTGCCTCACTTAGGTTTTAAAACTAGATCCATTTTATATTGATTTTTCTTAAGAGCGTCCTAAATGAAAGGCCTCTAACTACTCGTGCCTTTTTTAATTAGCTGCAACAGCTGCCCTTACACTGGACGTACAATGAAAAGATATGAGGAACACATCGATAGGCAGGGCTAAAGAGGCAATATATGTCAGTCAAGGAAGATCGCTGCCTTAACATTTTATCCGAGACCGTAAAGCACCTCCTTTACTCTCCAAAATTTGACATAACCATATTGTTTCCAAATTCTTCTAGGATAAACGGATAAAGGATAAACAAGATGCATGATGGCTTCAGTGAAAATGATGACTTCTGGTACCAATCAATTGTAACTCTCCGCCTCAATGGCTAATAACCTATTGCAGAAATGGAATTCTTTCATAATCGGGAAATGAAATTTGCTTAGATACTAAAGAGGGAGCGAAAAAGAAGGGTGATTGTAGTGGAAGCTTAACGTTTGATTTTTAAACCATTGAACGAATAAGAAAATTTTAAAAACAAAAATTAATTAAGGTTGATTCTCCTGCTTCGTGAAGTCCAAGGGTAAAAATACCGTAAAATTCCGAAAATAAGCCCCTCCATGTGTAAACCCCTCCAAACATAAACCCCCCAAAATCGTAACGGAAAAAACCTCCATTAAATCACCCCTCCGAATATAAGCCCCCCTGGGGCTTGTACTTGGAATTTGCCCTCGAATGCAAAGTAAAACAAAGCAAAAATGGTAAATTTCCTTCCCACTACAAGCTAGCCTAATCGATTTTGAAACGCAAATTTCCCTCCGTACATAAGCCCTCCCGAATATAAGCCCCTCAAAAAGGGCCTTTGAAAAATATAAGTCCCGGGGCTTATTTTCGGAATTTTTCGGTATCTTTGTTTTTTTTTTCTCAGCCTCGCCCCCAGACAATTTCCCATGGAAAATTGGAGGGGCGGGAATAAGGATCGAACTTATGATATTAAACATCGAAACTCCTTTACTCCTTTATTATCGTAGCTTTGGTTAAGCAGAATGATTTATTTAAACAAGGGGAAAAAGTGTTAGTTAAGGATCAGTACTAACGAAATCAAACTTAGGCTGCGGTTTAGCAAATTTTTGGACCTCCAGATATCTTTCCTTAGTGGGTAGTTATAAGAAAATAACTGCTTTAAAATTTCCAGTTTACTTCTCATGCTCTTATGAAACTTTTTCGCGAATAAATGGTGTCGAGATAAAAGCATTGGGTGAACTCAAAATGGCTTAGAAGGCGTTTCTGTTAAACACTGACTAGACTGCGTTTAAATAACTGGCTCTTACCTAATACCACTTTGTATTGCTTGGGATCGGGATCCTTAAAGACGCAATGTGCTGCAGTCACAACCCACCAGACGTTAATCAAGGTCCCTCCACATTTATGTCTCCTCTCTGGCAATTGCAAAATCTCTGCCTGCCAAGGCCATGAACCTTTCAAAGCATTCGATCCGCCAATAATGCGCGAGACAGAGTTTCTTAGTCCACAGGGACGATGACGACGAGAAAAGACTTGAAATAAAATGTAAGGAAAAATGCACCACTAGCGCCGAATGGATTCGCACTAATAATAAGATAATCCGGATTCCGGAATTCAGGAAATTTGTGCTGGTAGATGGAAATCATGGGCTTTGGGATTAGAAATATGGCTTAAAGAATCTGGAACCCGATTAATTAACTCGATTGGAATCCAGAATGTACGTTTGTGTGGAATCCAGAATTCAATGGACACACGAAAAAATGGAGCGAAACGAACAAATAAATGGCGATTTTTGTCATTTTTCTTTTTGAGAAATTACATGGGAGAAATCAATCGTGGATTATTAGATTATTATGCGGGGAACAAATTCACGTTTTATCAGTTTAGTAGCCCAGCAAATGGAGACCGGACTTGCTCATTTGATGTGATTCTTTTCTCTAAAACTTATTCCAGTTTCCTCCTCCTTGAAATTATACTCCTTGTCCATTGTACATTATGTCTCAGCTACTGACGCCACATATTTCATGCTATCAGAGTGGCTCTTTCAGGTAATACTGAATAACCAAGGTAGATAGACTGAGTTTGCAAGAAAAGGCTGCTCTTTGATCGCAATGGAGTTGACGGCAGTTAAGTTGGTTTATTTTACTTTCATGGGGGCCAAAATGTTATTTACGTGAGAACATCGAGAGGCAGCTGATAGTTATAAACACTTTAACTTGAACACATAAAACAAAACACTAGGAAAAATCAAGTGTTCTACAAAAAAAAGAAGAATTGAAAGGTTATGGTTACCTTGATGAGTTCCAGTGAAAAGAAAAATACCAACAAATGCGATTGTTGTGAAATGCATGCTTAAGTCTCCGGGTAGGTCAACTGTTCATATATTGTCCTAAGCAACAGTAGCCGCCGAGTCGTGGCTATATAACTAAACTATCACAACAATATATTGAAATATATTTCCCTTGGACTGTAAACATATTTGCACCGAAAATTAAGCAGTCATTGTAGTATAGATATGTAATAATTTCTCCTTTGTCAGGTGTACAAACAAATGTAGTTGTAAACTTTTATTAAATGGCTGTATTAGTTTAAGCTAAGTTATTACAGGAAGAGATGACCGTTTTCTGGGACAATTATACCTACATAAATGTCAAAAGGTAATAAAGGGTATAAACGGTATAAAATGTTATCAAGTTGGTTGAACCTGACGCCCTTGAAGCTCTGCGTTGCATTTTCGATTTTTTTTTAGTTCTGTTGAATGTTGCCGCTATTCACATATGAGAGTTCTTTTGAAATAGAAAAACATAAGACAACACCGCGTGTGGGCGTCGATTTAACTGAATATAGTTTTCACCATCTCAAATATTTGGATACAGTCATGCATAATTGCATTATGTTTATGTATGAATTCATTGCAATAAATTTGAAGAGATAAACGCTGTTATGAAATTAGTAATTTTCTTTTTTATGTTGGAAGTCATTCGTATAGGACTAAAATTTCATTATTGTCCTCTTGCCTTGTCAGTTAATGCTTATATGATGAAGAAAGGTGGATTTTCGTGGGATTGTCGACCGCATCTTTTAATACAGTTCAAGCATAATTATTGGACTTTGTATGACCATTTACCTTGAATGTAGCTAAGAGAATTCATTAGCTAAATTTGCTAAATATAACGAACAATAAAACTGTTTTCTAGATTTTTAACGAAAGCAAATTAACAGGAACCTGTGGCAGTGCCAAAAAATGAATTGATACCGGGAAACGAAAAGGCTAAAAAATGATAATAAATTGTTATTATCGTTATAATAACAATGCAGCCCCGGCTATAGGTTAAGGCGCCTTTACCGAGAAGACCTGGGGACGAAGTTGAGTTGTTTCGGTTGTGAAAAAGAAATGGCGGACACTTCACTCGTTTCAAGAGTGAGAGCAACGGCTGGAACTAGGCGAAATAACAGCTAAAAATGTGGCAAAAACAGCAAGAAGACGACTCGGAGGGCGACATCTGCTATTTGGAGAATATTTGCGCCGCTGGACAAACCTAAACGTAAACTTTCGAAGATGAAGTTAACATCGATGCAGGTAAGCATGTTTTAGCTATGTTTTTAAACTAGAAATTACTTTGCATGAGTGATAAAGCAATAAATGAAATCGGCTTTCGTAGCATATGAAGAATTAAGCATATCGAGGAGGGTGTACCCACCGAGGCCGAATTATTGATTCCTCAAAATTTCACCAAGCGTTGCATCATCTATTTGTATTTATTAATCCGTTTATTTATCTATTTTTCTGCGTTTTCTTTTTATTATAAATTTAAAAAATCGTCTGCGCGCAATAACCTGTGAAATATAGGAGGCGAAATTACGTTCTGCGCATCCTTAAAAGTTAAACCAAACAGTAAAGCAACTAAGACGTCCCGGTTTTGGGTCCTGGTGCGCATATACAGGTCACAGTTTAAGCAAAAAGCAGACTTAAGAAACATTTCCCTGGATACCCTTTAACAGCCACACGTTTTTCAGCTTTCTTTTGCAGCTACAGAGAATATGGGCTAAAACGCTGTACGCAAGCCAAAAAAAAGAAAAAATATCCGTCTAGCGGTCAATTTTATAAAACTTTTACAATTGTAAATTACAAGTGTAGCTATTGTTTTGAGACTCTAAAACAATGACTTCACTTGTAAATTACAAGTATTTTGTCTTCAGAACACTTACTATTGTTCGACTGGCTAACCTGAGGGTAATTACTGCACTGTTTTTGTTGTTGTTGTTGTTTTTTAATTCTACAGTCTATTCTTTTTGCTAACACAAGTACATTTTCTGGTGGTTTTTAACAGATATTTATTGGCCTAAAAAAAAAACAGAATTTTTGACAGGTTCAGTTTATGTAAACTAAGCGGAAGTTATCAACATGTTTAAGCCAATGAGACTGACTAGATCAGCTGTGTTAATATATAATGAAAGGGTACACCACCTAGGAAAATAATATTCAGGAATGATCTCGAATTAGTAGTTATTCATCTGATCTTTAGTCTCTTCAGATTTAACTGTAATTTCAGGCTTAATTCACCAGTGCACGTTCTAAGTGCCCGGCGCTAAGCATGATTTTAAATATATATCCAAATTGAAAGTCACGTGTCCAAGAATGACAAACAAAAGCAATTTTATTGGGTTGTCTTGTTAATCGCTTATTCATAATTAACATGAAAGCAGAGGAAAATAAAATACTTAAGCCTAATCAAATCCAATATGTTTTTCGACAGAAATGGAGTAAATAGTTAACATTCCATCAGCAAGCGTTGCACATCTTCTTGCAATAAAATTTTTTCAGCATGTTTTCAAAGTAGGAGTATTTACAGAACTCTCTGCCCCAGGTGCTACAATAGTCATGGGTGTCGATACATCCTTGGGCTAAAAGAGATGAACAAACAAAAACAAAGCAAAGAAATATTTTAGTCCGTTTCGTAAACGTTATTGAAAATCTTAATATTATAAAATACATTGTTTATACTCGTACACAGGTTGTGATCTTGATTGTGTTAAAAAAAATTGTCAGTATTATAACCAATAAAAACAAACAAATGAATGAATAAACAATCAAAACAAAAATTAAAAAAAAAAAAAAAAAAAAAAAAAGCAAATATACAAAAAAGGAAATCGGGTTGATTTATTATCCGGGATTGTCGGCCTCGAAGCTCTTAAGCGTTGCATGAGATCGGCGTTTGAAACTAGTTTGTTACTATAAACTAGAAGTAATCAAGGATTAAGGATCCGCGTTCGTCACTCACGCAAACGAAATAGAGTCGAAAGGAGTCCAGTTTCCCGGCCGAGATGCCCCTGATAAAATCAGTAGGGGCGGCCAATCGGCAGTCAAATTTGTGGCTTTGTACCACAGGACGAACAAGATTAGTATGCGTTCTAACGAACGCGAAAAAACTTGTTCAACTTCTCCACTCTCGCTTGCTATAAATTTTATCCATTTCGTACTCAATAAACTTACTTGGTTTGAGCGGTTGTGAAGTCATCTTGCACTTGATCCAGTCAACATAGCTATTGATTCTAACAAACACTGAATATGTTGGTCCTCCATTGCAGTAGTGGTCACCCCAACTCACGGTACCACGCAGACTCCAGCGCCCAGATTTTGGATCTTCACAAACAAGGGGACCACCGCTGTCTCCGTGACAACCACTTATCTTGCTATCGCCTCCATATCCGGCGCAAATCATCCATCTATCCACAACTTCCCCAAGTTTTTTATTGGCCTTTGCGCAAGTGTTGTACTCAACTATGGGCATTTCAGCTTGCATAAGTATCTGAGACTTACTTCCTTGGAAAGAGGAACTGCCCCATCCTTGAATTGAAGGAAGGAAAATGTTATTATAAAAAGGGGACTACTTATTTATTTATTTGTTTTGATAATATGTTCTCGCCCTGCCTTATTTGACAAAATAAATTACTTCAAGCGAACGTTCTATGCGATATGCCAATTGATAATGTTAAAAGTCTCCGGTTGCGTTCAGGCCGATAAATTGCGAGTGCAAGTAAAGTACCGTAAAATTCAGAAAATAAGCCCCTCCATGTATAAGCCTCTCCAAATATAAGCCCCCCGGGGGCTTGTACTTGGAAAATTGCCCTCGAATACAAAGTGAAACAAAGCAAAAACGTTAAATTTACTCCTAACTATAAGGCTAGCCCAGTCGATTTTGAAACGCCAATTTCCCTCCATAGGTAAGCCCCTCCGAATATAAGCCCCTCCAAAATTAAGCCCCTCAAAAGGGGCCTTTGAAAACTATAAGCCTCTGGGCTTATTTTCGGAATTTCACGGTATGTAATGACGGCATTATGGAAGTCTTGATGTTATTATAACCCAAATGATCATAAAACCTTCATCATCAAGTGCTACAGGGTTGTAGTGGCTGTTTTAGTGTACCTTTGCAGCTCAGTCGAAGCTCAACATAGGGATCTATTGCGCATGCCCGTGAATGATCCCCTAAAGCCCTCTTACTTTTCAATGCTATAGTAAAGTGCAAGCAGATCTGCCACTGTCAAGCACTTAGGACTGATCTTTTAACCGCAAGAGAAAGTATATCATTATCATTTATTGTCAATTAGCTACCTGTAAGAAAACACTTTGTACCAGGTGGTACTCGATCTGTAGGGTCGCCACTCGGGAGACACGCCAAACCGACTCTGTTTCCGAGGACAGCTGGGCTCGAGAGCTTCAGAAGTGCAATGTCATTGCCGAACCCTTTTGTCATCGCTCTGTCGTTTATATGAATCTCTGAGAGGCCAATTTGTTGAACCTGATCTAGTACTCTACGGTCGTGGACACCTAAAAGCAGAGATATGTTTAAGATTTAAAATTGGCAAAAGAAACATTCATCATGAATTTAGTTGTTACTCACAATCGTCAACAGTACAATGGGACAAGTGCATATGCATGACAAAGGATTTTGTAGGCTAACTGAAAATATTAGTATCTCACTTCAGTGTTATCAAAAGCAAAAACATTTCAGTTTCATTGAATTCTGCGGTTAGTTTGAGCGGAATTTTACTGACTGACAGGAGAGTTTGTACCATCCTCACCTAGCCTTATTTCATATGATTCTGGAAAGGGAATCTGGAAAACACAATGCGCCGCTGTTACAACATACAGGGGCGTTACCAGAGTCCCACCACACTTGAAGAACAATTGCCCGCTGTTTTGATCCTTCACAAGAATCTCCGCTTGCCAGGGCCATGAATGTGGAATGGCTACGTCTCCTCCGACAATTCGAGCCATTGGTTTTATACCACAGGGGAGGTCACTCAGAGGGGGGTCAGCTGCGAGAAATGAAAAGGAATCGAAATAAAATAGATTCAGATGCTTTAGAAAAGTTCCAGTTGTCTATAATACACCCTCTCGTGATTTTTTTTCTTTCAATTAATAACAGTCAGAGAAAATCCAAGGACAGTAATCAAACAAACGCCTTACAATAAGTAAACTTGCCAAGTTTGAAAGTGACACGTTTTAAGCGAGCGAAGATATCGCTTCACAAGTGTAAAAATTTTGTATGGTGAAAGTTTCTACCCATCATCATTCAATTATTATTATTATTATTATTTTTTTCTAAGAAATTTTTGTCAAAATTTGGAAGAAAACCGTGGAAAGGTTTTATCATTTCAATTGTTTCTATCGATTCGATGAAATTTTTCAATAAATATTTCGCCGTTTCTGATTGTCTCAAAATCCACGGCTAATTCTTCAAAACAAAAAGGCGCTTACCATATTTGGAAGATGCGAAAAAATATATTATCGATTCGATGGTAACGTATTTGCTTATGAGGTTGATCGATGATTTATTTGCCTGGAAACGAGGCTGATTTTATAATAGTGAACTTAAAAGAAAAGGCAACTCATTTATATCCTGAAACCATGCCGAGAAATAATCCTAAGGTTTAAAGAGAGTCTACAAGGAAGTAGGCTTGTTATTAAGAAATAAGAAATGTTTTGAAGGAAATTAAATCAGTGATTCACATCAGACTGAGAAATTATCTAATAAAGTTGTTTACAAATTAAAGGACAGTTTCGTTCACAACTTGAATGAACACAAATGTAACTACAGGGTACGTCCGAAAATAAGCCTTCTCCCTGGGGCCTGTTTCTCGAAAGGCCCCGCAACTTTTCGTATGCGAAGGCAGATTTGAAATCAAAACCAGTTGAATAGTAACTCAGTTCCTAGCTCACAAACCGGTCAATTTTGCTTCGTTAACTGATACTTTCATTGTATCATTTTCAAAATTATTGAAACTTTGATCTTGAATGTAAACAAGGCAAACATAAAACAACTTCTCGAGACAAAAAGTTATCGGGACTTTCGAAAAACAGGCCCCCGCCGTTCTCTTCCATTCCCCTTAAATTCTTGAAAAGTCTTACTAAGTCTTGAACAGATTTAAGAGGGCCGTTCAAGGCTAAAACAAGGCGTTTGAATTCGACCGTTAAAAATTTGTCCAGGAGATAAGTGTAATTTGTAGAGAATTAAAGAGGATGATACGCATGCCAATATGAGACTGCAGAAACCTTCAATTTTTATTTTGTTCAAAAGGCACCTCAAGTGGCTCTTTCCCAACACAGTTCTTGTCAAAAAATGCGAGCTATTTACTATAAAAGCGGAGAGAGCTTGCTGGTTTGTATAGTATATACTGGAGTCAAAGCTATTCATATGAATGACTGGGATGTTAGAGATATAACAAACACACAAATTTTTCATAAAGATGTACAATAATTAATTACCGCAGATTTAAAGAGTATTGCCTCATATACGAATTCTAATTTGAATGAACGGAATCGTTTGTTTCACATTTTTAAGTTAAATTGTATAGCATTTCAATTGTGAAGGTGGTATAATAATCTTATACTTTGAATTTTAACAACCATTGAATTATTTTTAGCTACAACCTTTATCTTTTACTGAAACAACTACCGAATTTAGGTTATCATTTCGATTCAACATAAGGAAATAATATTGGGTAAAACTAGGAAATAATGATAAACAAGAAAAATATGTTCAAATGTTAATTTATTACGAAAGAGATTATGCCCTTTTTCGGGATAACTGCTCTTCTCGACTTTTAGGCCCTGTGGCTGTCCATAGTGATCAGTGGTAATTTTTTAGTGCTTGAGGCATACAGCTTCTTTTAAAAAGGCAAAAATATTGATATCAAAAAACAATACGTAAATAAATGCGGTAATTTGTTAATCTGACCTTGAATGCAGTTAAACAATATGAAAGCTGCTGGAGTCAGCAGAAGGAACCTCAATAACTCCATTTCGGTGAGTTAGTTGCGTCTTGTTGTTTCTCGCCCACTGCGCTGCTACCGTTAAAGCCGTTGTAACCGATGCTGTTGGATTTAAGCGTATTTCCTAATTACGTGACATGTTTGCCGACGCTTACGCTAATATCTAACATTTGAAGTAATTAAAATTGCGGTGGCGGTTGGTCAACGAACATTCGTCACGTTCTGAAAGGGTCGAAAAATAAAAGCCATAAGAATTAAACTTCATTCTAATCGTTTTAATATTGCAATACAAGACCTTTCATATATGGGCCTTATTCTCCGAAGCCATAGAAGAACTGGCTACTGCGATAAAACAACGATATTTTAGTGGAGCGGGCAAAGAGTCAGTTTGACCAAATATTTGTTCAAATGTTATTGTTTCTGTATGAAATAAGTTGACTTTGACGGAAAGATTAAGTGATGCGGTCATTTTTGTCACAAAAGTGAGAGGAGTCCAAATTAAAATGTCGCTTTTAGTATCTCACGACATAATGAACCTCGATCCTTTAATTGTTTTCTTTGCAACGGATAGGCAAGGGCATTTGACAGCATCCAGCTAGTAGAGGTTTCTGTATGTAAATAAGCCATGTCATAAGCGAGTGCCATCCGCATATACACTGCTCGAACAGTTTTTTTGCAGTTTATCCGACTCTGCATGTCTTCTTAAGCTCTGACTTAATGACGTCCGACTAACACATTCACCCCTAGTTTCCCCACTTTACAACAGCCTGAATAGCAACCAAGTTGTTTTATTTATTATTTGTTATTATTTCTTTTGTTTTTAGATTTTATATATGCAAGTGGTAAAACTATTGCCGATACAACACTACATGGCCAGTCTTGGTCCTATTAGTGAAGACATTTGTGAGTATACTGAGGCCTGCATGAACTAAGGAGCCTTAATCTTAGCTCACATTCATACGGGCAGAAATGACAGTTGTCTTTATCGAGGGTGCAACTTCTTTGACTGTTCTAATCAAGCTAATTGCAAATTCTGACTTTTAAAGGAACATCTTGCTATAAAACATCTACAGCTAGTGTAAGTTCTTTTCAAGTCTCTGAATACAAAATTAAATTGAGATCATTATTTTCGTTATTGTAATTTTTGTGTTATTGGGATTCACTGATTCAAAAAAAAAAAAACGAAACTTGTTACATCCGGAACCACGATAACGACAACAAAATAAAGGAGTAGGGATATAATAGTATAGGGCTTGACCTTCCTTTATTCCTCGCCTATCCCTTCAGTGTTCCATTCTTCCTGCTCTGTCTCGCCGGGAGTAGCAGACTTCAAAATCATTTAAATTGGTCATGGAAATCGATTTTACAACTGCGCTAATAGCAAGGCCATTTCATGCGCAATCTCTCCTTTCCAGGTATGGCAAAGAATACCTTCCCGAAATGCGTTATTATTGACGTTTTTGTTTGTTTGTCTGTTTTTGTTCGTTTTCTTTTTTTTACCACCCAGCTTTGCAGAAATTTTATTGTATCAACTTTCATCACAGCGCTAGGAAGCGACGACAACCATCACAAAAAAAACCGTGTTGTTTATATCATGAACCTCCAGAGTCAAAATCTGATTATTTTGCTGGCCTGGCTCGGTTTGCTGAGTTTTCTTCCCGATACTACATGCATGAAGAGAGCGAGTTCGAAGTCGCAACGTGCGCATGAGCGGTATGTTGACCGCTGTCCAGTTGCTTGTTTGGTTTGCCTTTCTCGGTTTGGGTGTTGAATAACTTGCGCAATTTCCAGCCCTGTTAACTGATAGCCTGTTGACAACTCACCGACATTACCAGGATCCCAGTTAACCGGGACGGCTCGTGTTTTCACTAAGTTGATATTTTCTGTTGCGTCGCTAGCTCAGTCTTTGTATAATCATGCACTAACTTAAAACATAAGTGTGAAAATTTCCGGTGAAATTGAATCAATCATAAATTTTGTTTTGCTCTTTAAGTAATGTCCTTTGATAAATTCAGTTGTTTTACCAGAAAATAACTGGCGAATAGATGGATCTCATGCAAACTTTGCAGAGACTGTTAGAAAACTTAAACTGTAACTTTAGAGGTGAGAAAAAAAAATAGTTTGACAAATGGACTTAACAAAATTAGTAAAATAGTGTATTACTAATTAAATAAAAAAGCTAGGGTTTTAAGCCAAGTGCCACTTCGAGTATTGCAGAACATAAGTAATAATATATGATCATAAAGGCGACTCAAGCTCTTTTTTAATTGAATCTCTCGCATTCTTTGCTTCTGAATTTTTTTTTTTTTTTCGTGTTGGTGTCCTAATTAAGTATCAAAATACGTTAAGGGCAATTTTCACGCGCTTCTTACGGTTTTAATTAATAGTACAGTCTACACCGTAAAAGAACAATGCTTCAAAGTTAACCTTTTCTTTCTAGTAATTACGATCTCGAGATTTTCGGAAGTAACCGTTAAAACAATGACAACTTTCCCTGTTTTCCAACCATCTTAGCTAATAATCAGAGCTTCTTATTTCAAATTTTCATAACATCTGTCACGTTATAAAGTACTTTCATCTTTGGGGCAATGACAGCTCAATTTCAAAAGCAAACATGTTTACCTTGAGGATAGAATATAAGGGTTTGATCGTCATCCAGTTATCGTTCCAAGTGGAGCGCAGGTGATTTTGTAATCGGCAAGTCAACTACTGATCGTTCTTGAAATCAAGCGCAATGTATGTTCCTTTCTATATATCCCTCATATTTTTCTTTTGGGGAGCAAAACAAGGTAACCGTTATGTCATTGTTCTTTCTTTTCCGCACGTTTGGGATTGTTTTGTTCATTGCGATGATGTTAAACGTAAATATGGCGCTTCGCACCAGGAGCAAATACAAAGGAAGGAATTAAACGAGTGATCTTAAATCTACACTGTAAAGAAAGCTTATAACCGTTTTCTCTCATTTACAAGTCTGTCTTAAGAAGATTCAAAGGAAAAAAAAAAAAGAAAACAAAAACAAAGAAGGCTAAGAGAAATCATCACCATTCCTCATTTTTTTTCTTATTTTTTTTTTACTCGCCAACAAACTAAACAAACTAAATGTACTTATTGAATAACAAGCATTACTTATGATTTGTACGCGTACTGTGTTGGCTAGCTAGAATACTTTACATCACTCCTTTTTTTAATATTGACTTTTTTCTTAGCATCATGTAGCCCTCTTTTCTGCGGGAGGAAAGGCATGACATCATCCTCACGCATCGTGGGAGGAACGAACGCTTTCCCCGGTTCATGGCCATGGCAAGCCGAAGTATTGAAACTTGACAAAGACACGATGAAATACTCTCATCACTGCGGCGGGACCTTGATTTCAAGCCAATGGGTGATGACCGCTGCTCACTGCGTCTTTGAAGTGCCTTTTCCTTGTCGTTACAAAGTAGTATTAGGTAAAAAGGAACGATTTATATGATATGTTAGGGCTGGCGTTTTGATATACCTATAAAACACGCTGAGCTGGTATTACTCAGTACTGAAATTACTAAGTATACAATTAGGTGCTGTCTCTAAAATAAGGCAAACCGCTTATATATATACAAGCACTGCGGAAATGTGGAAAAATCTAGGCGCCCATATTTTGGAGATTTCTCTTAAATTGACAGTGGCCGTTGAGAAAGAGGTGAATGAGTGAAATATTGAAAGAAAAGACAGGTGAATAAAAAGCACATACAATAATCGAAAAAGATAATAATGAAAAAAAAAAAATAGCAAAAAATGGATGAAAGGATTGTCAGCCAGGCTAAGGAATATTGAACCGAATATTCTGCAAAACGTTTTCTGTAATACAAAGGAAGAAAAATAAAATGTATTAGTTTTTTGGTTATAATTAGAGCACAGAAAAGTTTGTATGTTTATTAAACTCAGTAATCATAGTGAACAAAGAAGTCCGGGCTACAACCATTGCACAAAACCGTACCCTGTAACTACACTTACTCCATAGGCCAATATGATCGCTCAGTGAAAGATGCGTTCGAAAAAGAATATGATGTCATAAGCATAAAAATTCATGAAGACTACTGGACCAAAGGATACGGGTACGATATTGCACTGTTAAAACTGAATGTCCCGGCTTTGGTTTTTCCTGGAAAAGTCTGGCAGGCCTGTCTTCCCGAGCAAGGAAAACGTGTACCGATTGGAAAGGAGTGTCACATATCAGGTAATTTTATAAGTATAGATACCATTAACTTTTGTTAAGTATTGTGATGGCATTGGTCATGATAATAACGTCAATGGCAACAACGATGATCTCATAAGTTTCACTATAATCACTATCATCATCATCATGTTTATCATCAACAACAACGACAACAAACTTTATTAATAAACAAATAATACTACAGAATAATTGCCCGCAGCTAGCAAGGCTATTCGAGGCGAGACAATGAGTACAAAATATGAAATTAAGACTAAGACTAACTAATGCAAGTTTACAGTTTACAAATAAATGAAATTAAAATCGTAATATGGATAAGGACTAGATAACACGATAAAGAAAAAAGAATTAAACAAAACAAAACAAAAAAAACATTAACCACAAAGGACTGCAAAGGACCGCAAACGAATATGCCGAAGAACGTAGGATCTATAAAGACCTGATCAGCAAGAATAATAATGTAGACATATTAAATTCTGCAAGCAGAGTACTGCAATGCTGATCGTACTACGTGAAAGTTAACTCTGCAAGACATCAACACGACACCGAAAGAACTCAAAACAGAGCGGAATTGTAGCCATAGACAGCTGTTTCTCTGTTTGTTGGGCCATACTTACGAGCCCCAATAAGGGCGAAACAGCTGTCTATGGCTACAATCGCGCTCTGTTTTGATTTCTTTCGGTGTACATGTCTTGTTGATGTCTTGCAGAGTCAACTTTCACGTAGTACGATCAGCATTGCAGTATTCTGCATGCAGAATTTAATATGTCTACAAAAAAAAAAAAGATTGCAAGGGTAAAAACTAATAAGAAAAAATTTAGTTTTCGACATTTTTGGCATCATCATAATCATCCTCATCATTATTTTACTCAGGAAGAAGGCTTAGATGCTGCTTTTCTGGTTATTTTTATTTTTATTATTATTTTTTTTTTTCACCTGGACAGGTTGGGGTAAAACTTCTCTCCCAAACATTTCCGATTTTTCCAACATTCTCCAAGAGGTCAAGATGCCTATTGTTGATTACGCCACATGCGCAGCTGGAAATGCCAAACTGACTTACGCCAAAGTGGACGATGAAATCGAGGTGTGCAGTGGGCATGGTGGAAACAACCCGGTAAGTATTTATTTTTATTTATTTATTCATTTAGCTAGTTAGTTAGTTAGCTATGTATTTTTTTCCCTTCGTCTGTTCAGTGCTAGCCTGTTCACAGACCCTCCATTTTCTCGTCAAAGTCGGTCTAGCGCGGGTGATAAAATTTAAACCGCAGGGGATTTCTTGACCTCCAGCGCAAGGGGGGTCGCGCGAGAGCTCACGATGTTTTCGAAAAGAACGAATAGAAGAATAAAACAACGTCTTTGTACAGGCCAGGTCTGTACCGTATCACTTTCGCGCTAGTATTATATGTCAGAAAATTAACAAAGCGCCGCAAAGCTTTTTGGAGTGAATACAACCGCGCGAGTTATTTTCATAGATATTCCACTATGAGAGCTTCTATCGGATCTGTAATTTCCTTCTTGTACTTTGTAAACAAAAGCTTGCAAGCTAAATGTTCAGGGGACAAAAGAAAGGTCTTGAAAAGGTAGGCGTACATGCAAACTCATACCCCCACCGTTTTGCAAGAGAGGGGACGGGGGCGGAACTTCTCCTCATAGGTTTTGATATGTTGTAGTGTTTCGAAAAGGTTTTACCTTCAAAGGAAAGCCTTTAATCATCTTGACAAGATGAGGCATATTTTATGGGTGGTAACGCTGCTAGAGGCCTGTGACGTGACCAATAATGGTCGCCATCTTAGCCGTTATCTTGGATTTCACCAAGAATTGGAAATCAGGTAAAAACGACGAGAATTGGTATTACTTAAGTAAGTACTTTGGTTTATTTTATTCCCAAGGTTTTCTTTTGTGGTTAAAAGAAGTTGAAACAAACATTTCACTCAAACATTGCTTGACCACCTGGTATTTATGACGTCATAACTCGTAACCATAGTAACTGATCATCAGTAAGGTTGCATCAAAATGCGCTTTAGCGATAAACGAACAGCAACTGAAAACGCCAGGTGCTAATGTTTAATCGTCTGTGCAAAAAAACTCAGAGGGGGGCGGTGTGGCATCAATACCACTTGTGCTTCGGAGGGTTTATTCAGTTTCTCCCCAGAAATTAAAAAGAAATACGTACCACTGAACGAATAAAAAGCATCAATTCGCAATAGATACACGGCATTAACCATAACTGTCATAACTGTTTTTTTGGCTTCTCATTATTAGCATTTCATTACCACTACCATTGTCATTATCATTATCATTATCACTGGTATTAGAATTATTTCTTTTTTCTTGGAAATGTAACACAACAAACAGTTAATTTATTGTTTCAAAAGATAAGTGGTTGCCATGGTGATAGTGGAGGACCGTTAACCTGCGAGGAGAATGGTCGGTGGTTCGTGAGAGGTATAATCAGTTGGGGAGATCATTGGTGTCAAGGCGGTCCAACCTTCTCTGTTTCCGTTCGCGTCAGCCGGTTTGTTGAATGGATCCATGCCATCATATGGTCCTTTTCAATTCCCAAAGGCAAGTTACCATGGAAACTATGCTGATTATGATATCGGACAAATACATTAAGTCATTAAAGGTTTTTTGTCACGGAGGCAATTTATTTACCCATTTATCCCTGCAGGGAGAAAACGACAATCGGCGAAAAAATTGTTGGGACGTCTTCAACAAATGGGTTAACTTCGGAGAACAAATCAATAAAAAATGTCAGAGAAGTGCTTTAAGGGAAAGTGTCTCAACTAATTGGTTTGCTTATTGTAGTTTAATCAGCAGGCGGGTTTTGTCATACGTCATCGTCAGTGCTTACCGACTTTATATCTTTGTATTTGCCTCACGGAAACTATTTCATTGTCCTATCTCCTCTGCCTTTCAATTCTCAGTTGAAGACGCCTGCAAAGATCACTTGCCTCATTGCTCAAAATGGACTAAGGAAGGTTTGTGCACAGATGACTGGGCCAAGAACTATGTGAACAAATTCTGTCCTTTGAGTTGCAAGTAAAAGCCAATGAAAGCAAAGAATGTTTTATGGTTTGTAATATCGTATTTTTTTCCTTTACAGTATTTTAAGACCAGAATACTACTGGTTCGTCCGCTTCGAGGAAATAGCGAATCCTGAAGTTCCATGCATGCAGACAGTTGAAATGCAGTTTTATTCAGGCAAGGTCGTTCGGTTGGTGACGGGGGCTTTAAGGTGCTGCCTTTGTGATCATTTGATGAAAACCTAGCGTCAGATTTTAAAAACGATCACTTAGTTTGATCGAGTGTCAACGTATTTAGCCCCAAAGTTACTAGATAACACAACTTCACTGACGTCTTCTTTTGGAGACGAAACCACTATTTTACGTGGCCATCTGAGCCAGGAGAAGGTCCAGCCGTTTGCCGAGAGCAAAGGAAGTGTTTTCATTTCTCAGTTCGGTTTTAAGACCCTGAGTATCGATACTGTCCATGGAATCGAACCCACTCAACAGTCAAGCTTTCTAGTATGAAGTGCGCTAAACCTTCCGCGTTCCATACCCTCACTTTGGTTCTCAAGAAAGTCAGTAAAACAAAAACAACAAAACATCACCAGCAAAAATTAAAGAAGTAAAGCCCCTAAATTCACAGCTTGTATTCATGAGTGCAATGAACTACTCAAGTAAACAATTATTATCCTGAAAAGTCGGAAACTGTTCAGACGCTATTTTAAATCCTTTGGCTATACAACTGTCAGGTCTAAAACCTTTTATTCAGATACCAAACGCCTAAAATATGTTTAACCCATCAGGAATCAATATTACTGTATTGTCATTATTCTCTGTCGTTTTTCATAAATTTGCAGGTTACAACGAGATGAAAGAAAGATGACCAGATTTACCAGTGACGAGAATTAGCTAATGCAAGATGTAAACTTACAACATACTAACAGTAATAAACTATGCTAAAATGAGCTCGTTGTGTTACGATAGTTTAATAATACGAATACGACTTGTAATTGATTGTAGATAACAGTCCTAATGTTGGTACTTGAAAGGCTCTGCAAGCAGAAGCGATTACGAAGTATATAGGATCCATATTCAGAATCTTTCAACTTAACAAGCACTTTAATTTGCGTGTTTTAAAAAGTCTCTCTCCACCTACATACACACACACAGACACTTTTGGAGGGAATTTGCTAGTAGTGTGTCTAATCTTATACACTGAAAAAGTTCGCTTTATTTGGTCAAAACACATGGTTGTTTTTTTGGATTAGCTAATTTAGAAGGCAAACTAGTAAAATAGATTTAAAACAGTATTCTTTGTGTCGCAACCACTGGGAAAGAAATTGATCTTCTTCAATCCATATGAACCTGACGTCTCATGTTACTATCTTAAATGAGGCGGGATATCTACAAGGGCGACAAATTCATATCACAGCACCTCTTTCGCAGTGGCACCTACAAAAAAAAATGTGTTCACTTAAAGTTTCTCAGACTCAGCCAAGGTGGTGCTTGCTTTTCAGTTAATGCAATTGTTCCAGCTGCGGACACAGCTTTAACAAGGTGACATGACTATGGGAAAGCTTTCAGCCAGTTTACTTGTTTTTATGGAAAATTCATTTAACTAGGTCAACATAATAATAATGGTACGTTTGTAAATTGGCAGCGAGCGAGCTCAGCTGACATCAGGGTTTAAGGTGAATTAAAATGTTATTTTAGATTATGAGACTAGACCAAACATAATATAGAGTATGCTACTCGTAGATAGGCTTGGTTTGTATGAGTGTGCCTCAAATGGCACTGACCAGAAGGAATCTACCCACTCTCTCAGTGAGAAAATTGGATGCCAAGCATATGCACTCAAATGTTATCATTGTGGTTTGGGTTTTTTGATATTGCAAATTAAAATGACTGAGCGTAAATTCAAATAATACTAAATGAGGAAAAAGAGCAATATGAAAGTAGTGCAAGCCAATAATTAACCAAATTAGGGAAACTCTGGTCCATTCAACTTTCTTTCATAGCGCAGTGTTTTAACCTACGTACAAGGAAAACTAATGTGTTAAAAGTCAAACCAAACATCAAAACAAGAAAGCTCCATAAGAAGTAAACAACAAAAGAAGATTTCGCTTTTGCTGCATAATAGCATTTTACAAAGATTTTAAGCTTTCGTACTGAGAAAGGCTACGCTTTTCTTTACGTGCAAAATGTTGAGTAAGTTCCACCCAAGATAATGGATTTATCAAAAAATATAGCGTCCTCACGTACACAATAGTTTTTTTGGGAGATAACTGGTATTTACTCTAGTTATGTTATGCCTTTGATATATATTGATTGAACGGAACGTTCTAGACAGAGGTCTTGCTACGCTTTTCTTTACATGCAAAATGTTGAGTAAGTTCCACCCAAGATAATGAAGGGAAGGCGTGGCCTAATTGGCCCTATTGAACTCTTGTTGAGTAACACAAAGAAACGCTCTATTTATTATTATTGTTTTAAGCTACCTTAAGTAAGAAAAAACAAAGTGTATTGTGATATTCACGTTTTTTCAAGAGTAAGTTAAAATTGTTTCTTTGCGCAAATATTATGCTTTTAGAGCAGTAGTCTGTTCTCCAAAATGTTGCTGTCGTATCTTTTGTCAGATTTGATACGTAACCAAGAAATCCTCAGTTCAGGTATTTTCTATTCTTTAAGCTGGGGTATGGGTCAAGTATCTTAAATGGGACAGTTTTATGAGGAAAAAAATTATTGCTTGCAGATGAATCAGACTAATGGCTAATGTCTAAAAATGTGTGTAAACAAACATTTCATGAGCTCGCACATAATGGATTTATCAGAAAATATAGCGTCCTCACGTACACAATAGTTTTTTTGGGAGATAACTGGTATTTACTCTAGTTAAAATGAAAAAAAAAAAGATGTTATGCCTTTGATATATATTGATTGAACGGAACGTTCTAGACAGAGGTCTTGCAATTGAACGTTAAGTATTCCTTGTTTATACAACCTGCAGCTGCACCATCGGTCGATAAATATCGTGGCAAGCCCAAGTTGCCGTCACTTGAGACTCAGTAGGTTCAAGAGATGAAGCTATTTGCAGTTTTCACAATCCTTTCAGCCGTATTGGCTTTCACAGAAGGTGAGGAATAACGATAAGACTCTTTTCTAGCCGACTTGCAGTGGTCTTCAAACATATATAGGTTGAAATTTAATGGATGCATATCCGAACGACTTCTTTGTAATATTTAGTCTCACTGACTGTTGAGGGATAACTGATACGATAATTTTGGTAAAATGTGCAATCTGACTTCCGTCCATATTTCCTTGATAGATGCGAAAAAAAGGCGTAAAAATGGCATGAACATTCTTTCGCACTTGTTAACGACAAAGCGATAATTCCTTAAACAATCCTTAATAGTTCACACAGTGAACGTTCATCACCATCACCATCAACATCACCATCACCACCTTCATCATCATCATCATCATCATCATCATCATCATCATCATCATTATTGTTGTCATCATCATCATTATTATTTAATTTCAGGTTGCGGCAAACGCCACTTTACAAGTCGAGTTGTTGGTGGTGAGAATGCACCCAAGCATTCCTGGCCTTGGCAGGTGTCTCTGCGAATTACGTACAATGGCAAGTTGTATCACATTTGTGGTGGCTCCCTGGTTGGTGAGCGGCATGTGGTAACAGCTTCTCATTGCGTGGTAGACAGAAATGACAAACCCAACCAGGCCAATATGTTTACAGTTGTCGTAGGTGAGGCAATCTCGCTGCTTGAGAGTAATCTACATTCGGACTCAAATAATTTATATTTGTTGATTCAAGGATCGCCTAACGCTTCCGGCAATATAACTGAGAAAGCAGATCATAGCTTAGCCCGGTGCAAAGGATAGCTAGTGTGAAATGCACCAACAGCTTCGATAGGATTTACTATTCCAGAACACGGTGCAATGCATTCTATAGACTGGGATATAATGCCCACATTCTCCGTGATTTAATTGAGCTCAATGCTTCAATGACGGCATTGAAGCCTGAGGGTAGTGGAGATCACCATCTGTACAGTGATGGTAAATACTATATTTGCTGGTTCAATCTCTAGGTGCCCATAAGCGGACTGGGTCAACCGATGTTCAACAGGCAATTAAAGTGAAAAAGCTCTTTGCGCATGAAGGCTTTAGCATGAGCCACCTGAAAAACGACATTGCCCTTTTGGAACTGGAAAACCCGGTTACACTAAGCGACAAGGTCAATACTGTTTGCCTACCCATTCAAGATTCCAGGATTACTGACGGTCACAAATGTTATATCACAGGTAATGTTTCTTTCACCATAACTTGAGGCGCCGAATAATTACGGAAGCTAACCTCCTAAGATGCAAACCTTAGATATTTTCTCCATTTTACACGTGATAAAATCTGTTCATGCCTTGGGAAATTTGTTTTGGTATAATTGTGTTTATCTTGTTTTATTTTCTGTTGTGATATGTTACATTGTTACTGCTGTTTTACTTCCTTTGACATATGTTGGCCAAGTTTAGTGACAATTTGTAGTAGAACGCGTTTGTGGTATCGACCACAAACGCCACCATTTTGAATGACATCATAATTCCCTATCCCAAAGAATAAATTTATGCCTATCTCCAAAAGCTCATCACAAGTGATATGAAGTATAGACTTTAAATTATGTGCAGATGAATACAGCAAAAAGAAAAAAAAACAAACACGCATTGCGATAACTGCCCAACTTTTCTTCTTCTACGGTACGATTTCTTCTTCCATAGGTGCGTCTGGAACAGTGCTGATATGAAGTGGGATCTAGAAATACAAATTTAAATAAAGATAGGATCGTCGCAATTGTCACAACAATTGATGCTCTTAAGCCGAAAACTAAAAGGTCTAGGTGAGAAGAGAATAGGGTTATTATAAGCAGCTAACTTTTTCACAATAACTGAGTGAATCCTCGCGCGCTGATTGGTCGAGAGCTGTGGTCTATGAGAGTATAGACCATGGAAATGACGTAACATGTCACTTGTGGCTCGTGATTCCACTTGAGCTTTGAACATTTTAGGACGCCATTTATATGGTCTATAAGTGTGTAGACCATGGAAAATTGTGGTCGATTTGTTAAATAGATTCGGTTGCTAATTTGATGTAGGATGGGGTCGCACTGTTGGAGGTGGAGACGTTGCAGACACATTGCAACAGGCAATGCTTCCTGTGCAGAATCCCCAGAAATGTGCGACTGTTAACAGGCCGTTGGCACCCGTGGACGAGAAATCGATGATCTGCGGCGGAAGTGGAGTAGCAAACCAGGCTGGTGGTTGCCAAGGAGATAGCGGTGGGCCGTATGTCTGTGAGGAGAACGGAAAATGGGTTCTCCGAGGAGCTGTCAGCTGGGGTCATGGCATGTGCCGAACTGAATATTTCACTGTGTTTGCGCGGGTCAGTTCTTTCAGAGAATGGATCGACGAAAAAATGTCAGGTATTGGAAAGCATTTCCATTGTTTGTTTGTTGTTCGCAAGGGATCAGATTACAGTCCTAGGTAGTTTAAGCTGAGGAAACAAATACTTGTCTCTTAAATCATCGCGGAAGCGATTGTTGCGCATCATTGCCTCCCACCAATTAAGGCCCAGTTTGAACTCCTGAAGCAGCACGAGATTTGTTTTTGTTGCCTCCTTCCCGGTTTCCAGCTCTTAGTTAAGTTAAAATGAACCAACTAAACAATCTCAAAATTTTAGTTTTGACCAGAGATGCTTCCAAGAAAAAACATTTTGTGGTATATGTTACCTCTCAGCAGCTCCTGCTCTCAGTCATTAGTTAATAGCTGTAGTTGTTTGTAGTGTTAGTCTTACTGCCAACCCTCTGGGTTATCTTGGATGACCTAGTTATGATCATAAATACTCGTTCCAAAATCACTTAACTAACCGTCCTTTTTTTTATTTTTATTTATTATTTTTTTTTAGCAGGTGAAGGGAGTGGTGCATACACATGAGGTAAATTTCATTGCTATTCATCTGTACGGGGATGTGAACTGATTTAACTTGCTTACAAATTAATCTTTCCTTTTTTTTTTCCCAAAGTTAATTGATTGGTCTTGACTAGAGATCACTACTAATCAGAACTGTATGTCTCTACTATAATGAACGCTTATCCATGTAAAAGCCTCGTCCAAAAATACTCCTCAAAAGCCAGTCCCGTAAAGATATGAGTATCTCTTAGGGCTTCTTACGACAATAACATTGCGTTAACGACAAGAAGAAGAGTTAAAGGAGATGTGTCACGAAATTCAATATCAAAACTCAGACGGTGCGAATTGCAACCACTGAAATTGAGTGAATCATCAAAATATTGCATCATGCATGCTGCGCCCAGCTGCCCTCAAGCCCAACCCCCCATCCCCCGCTGATTCCCGGGCATTAGCAATTTTTTTTTGGCTTGGTACCAAATTCCTGGGGGTGGGGACTCTTCAGTTGTCAAATCACCCGGGGTGGGGACGAAAAAAGAGGGCAAATGCGTACCGCGTGCGTGTCAAAAGCTCGGGAATAGCCCTGGGAGTTGGCAAATGCACGGTCCCCGAGCAGAGCAAAAATTGCAAATGCCCCACCCCCGGGACTGAAAAGGTAGGCAAATGCCCCGCAGTAGCCGTGGGGTAGGGGGGGGGGGGAGCTGGAATTGACTGATGCATAACCGCTCGAAAAGTTTGAAGAAGGTGTAAATGACACCGCAAATACTGTAGGAATGAGCAGGGATGGAAAAACTTGAAGAAGAATGCAACGGATTGTAATTGTGGTTTTTGAAAACTTGTCCACCTAACAGTTTTTCAAAGTTCATTTTTGTTCGTTGTAACCATTGATATGATGTTTGGGAGACAAATTTTGTTTGACACGAAGCAGTGATTTTGTCATTCACAGGTATTTTTTCAAGTTTCGTAGCGAATAAGGACGCATGGATGGCATTAGGGCATAAGAAACAAAATGAATTAGGCAGCCGAGACAGCCCCTTTAAGAAGAGATCTCAATTTTTTTAAGGTTACCGATTGAAATTTTTCTTTATTTCTTTTTCACAGCTCCGGAATAAAGATCAAACGTCGATCTTCACGCATTTGCCATGGTGGGCTTGTGCATAAATTTGTAGTAAAGTAGGCAAACTGAAATAAATCTCATCGACGTGCATTCATAATGTCACTTTTTCTGTGTCATTTTCGTTCTAGGAAATTTAATTTATTGGTTTCATTTTTACCCAGACATTTTTTTCCCTTGCACATTGTACTCTGGGTTGTTCGTTGCTATTACTAAGGCAGTCCAAATAACCGTATTGCAAGTTGTCCCCTCTTTTATATATTTTTTTTCTATCTCCTTAACTTGCCATAACAATGTTTCCTCGAAAAAAATACTTAAAGGGGATAACCGTGCCGGCTTTAAATGCGACTACTCTGCTTTTTGCACCCTCCTTGAATCAAACAACGTTTCTGTCGTCTGTCAAAAACAACCTGAAATTAAATAAATAAAATATATAGTATGGCACTTCACAAAAACTCGCTACGACTTAAACAATTAGTTGTAGACTGTCGCAGTTTCTATACCCGAAACTGAGAAAGAGATAATATTTTGGTCTACTTTTGGACAGTTGTTTTGTTTTCTAAAAGTTGTATTTAAAAAACTTTATAAAAATTCAGTTTTGGGGGTTTAACCTTGCTTTATATAGAATGTTTTAAGCCAGAATTTATTTTTATTGAATAAGGCAAGAGAATATTAATCCAAACATGTTTTAAAACTTCTATCGGCATCAATATAAATATATTTTTTAACAGTACTGTTTGCGGGATTGTGTTTGTACTTATATAAATATATGAAGCACCTGCCACGCTTATAAACAGAACAGTTTTTGTATGTGTATATTGTTAAAAGACGGTGAGACCGAGATTGTGGAGAAGACAATTAAAAAAAAAAGCGGCTTGCTCCCTTTTCGGCTTTCTTTGTCTTTGGAGTTGGCGTTTGAAAAACAAAAAATATCACAGAGCCGTAAAAAGTAGCACAGTGCTCGGAGTCACCGTTCATAAAGTTTCTCCCAGTTAGTACTTTAAGAACATCTACACGAGCGATGCTGGTAAATCCTCCCCCCTTCCCTAATACTTTTTTTCATCTTTTATCGATCTATTCATTTCGTGAATGTTTTACTTTAATTTATTTCGTTCCAAGTGAAATTGATACAAAGGAACGACTGATTATGTAAGAATTGAATAAAAAGAAAGATGTCCAGGTATTACCATCATGGCCACCAGTACATCTCGACATTTTTTTAATGCGAGCTTGTAAAAGAAAAACGAGTAAAAAGAAAAAAAAATGGTTTTAAAGAAAGAATGAAAGCAAGTTACATTAATAAAGGTGTAATTTACTATAAAAATGGAAAGTTTTATGACAGGAATATGAAAAAAGATCTTTTTTATTTCGACATACATTGTCCTTTTTTCAATCTTTTTGAGTAGAGAGAAAGGACATTTTAGCCGGTTGTCGTGAAAACCACTGAATTATTGCCGACAGGGTAGGTGTTTTTCTTGCATACAAATGAACGAAATGACCCAATGTGTCTAATTACAAGAAAAGAAACCGCTTTTTGCCATCTGTCAGCTGGTTACCAAGAATCTCCTATAAAGCATCAATCTTCACTCTTTATGTTGCCTGTTTTACTAACAAGGATATCATGTTTTCTTTGATTATTACTGTGACCGTTTTGCTCATTCCCACCCTTACTCAAGGTAAGATTACTGATGTTCAGTGTACATTCTTGATTTTCCGCGGCCAAGTTTGCTTATTCAGTATTTCAATTCCACACAAATATTTTACTTTAGGGCAATGTCACGAAATTTAGTAGCCACGGATTAAGCAGAGTGGACAGAAAAGGAAAAAGCATAGAGAAAAACAATAAGAACAAACATTACTACGCATTGCATAGTACGAGCTATCTAAAGTTCTTGTACAAGGATAAACATATTAATTCTACTGTTATGAGTTCTCACAAGATCATGTCATGTTGGTTTGCTTAATCGGAGGGCTGACACCCTAATCACATGCCTCTCTATACTTAAAAGCTCTGCAAGTTTTAGTGGAATTAGTTTTTGTCTGCAGCAAAATTACGAGGTGAACGAAATTGTCTACGTTTTTTAATCTTCTACAATCTCCCACATCCTTTACAATAGCCTATTGGTTGAAAGTATTCGAGTTGCATATTTGATGCTGCTTTATCTATGGATATCAAACAAATCAACCACCGACAAGCTGTCAAAAGTTAGTCCAAGAATACTATTGTGGTTCTAACGTGGCGATATACACTCACGCAGGTTGTGGGAATCGCCCTGCTGGCATGCGTGTCGTGGGTGGAGTCGACGCCCAGCCCCATTCCTGGCCGTGGCAGATTTCACTCAGGGTAAATGGAAGGCACATTTGTGGTGGCTCACTCATCAGGCCCGATTGGGTTGTCACCGCAGCCCACTGTGTTGACAGAAACAAAAGCCCGAGTGGATACACCGTCGTCGTTGGTAAGGTCAACATATTTTAAAGACCTTTAGACTAGTACCAGTACGAATACGAGATTTGAGTTATTTTGTTATAATAATTATATTTTTTGCGTAATTTAAGAAAGTATAAATAAAAGTAAGTTAGCAAGGAGGTTAAGCCCTCTCCCGGTCGCAAACTGATGAAACTTCTAACACTTTTTTGGATAACTTGTTTCTGCCACTGCGATATTCACGCTAAAACTCCGCATAGTAGAGTAGTACGACGCTGATTCACGTAACAGCACTATCTAGTATTGAGAACATCTCGTACTCGTAGTCATACTCGTCTTAGAATCTAAAGGTCTATATTGAAAAGACTAGTTGAGGCATTCCGCTTATAACTGACGATTATAAAACAAATAGCAATTTCACGCAATAGAATCGAATTAAAGTTAGCAAAGAAATTGCTTCGGTATTACACATTCGCGTTTTATCAGTCTTCTTCAATTTGGGAATCGACGAGCTGCATCACTGTCTGAAATTGCCCATAGGCAATAGAAGGTTTATTAAGTATTCATTTATTTGCTTCTTGGTTATCACTGTTCACCATTAGTAATTCTTGTCATTAATCTCCTTAGGCGCTCATGTAAGAACTGGCTCAACTGCGGTGCAACAAACCTTCAATTTGAAACAACTTTTCTCCCACGAGTCATTTTCTATGCAACACCTTAGAAATGACATTGCACTGCTACAGCTTGACCGCCCAGCCACACTTAGCAGCAAAGTAAACACAGTTTGTTTGCCTACCAAGGGAAGCAAAGTTGCTCCTGGTACAAGGTGTTTCATTACAGGTAATGTTTTTTTCCACATCCTTATTTATCCTCACTATCTCCACAAGTTACCTTGACTATGCAAAAAAGCCATTATTGAGGTAGTATAATATATAGATTTAGCCAGGGCTAAAAGCGAAGCTCCAATTTTAATAAATTTATAATTTAAATCAAACAATAAACTTTTAATCCACAAATCATTTAACTTAAGGGCACATTCATGTGACTTTTGAGGGAAAGGCTAAGTTATTTTAGAGTGAAACATCTTACATCGAATTGATAACCTTATATGTACACCCAAAAAATAGCAAACATCTTCGATCACATTCAAGATTACAGTAGATTAGGCCTCGAAAACAAATTCTTGGAAAACAAATCACGCCAATTTTGTTTGCGTTCGACAGGTTTACTTTACAAATTCTTGCCAACAAATCTGGGGGTGTTTAAACCAACCTTAAATAATTTTTATACACCACATTTGAGGTGAAACAGTACTATTTATCATACAGAGCTCGGACAGAATGCGGTATTTCACAATTTTTCAAGACAAATTGCACTGAGTCAGTATTCAGGACGAGTCAAACCGTTCAAAAATTTCAGAAAATTTCCAAAATCACCCATACGGCCAGCTGGTTCTCGTTTTTATAGTGCGAGCTGTCAGTGTGGTCGAGTGTTTGAATGAACTTTAACAGAGTTACGCTTCAACATAATAGCGAATTTATTTTTATTTTGTTTTGTTATTTAATGGCTTCAGTTATAACGATGTGTAATCTTATAAAGCGTTTGATACGCGCGACATTTTTGAGTACTCCTGCAAGCGATCATGAACGATGAAAACAAACGGCACGGACAAGCGATTAAAATTGCAAGAGAGACTACTAACAATCAAAAAAAGAGATATAATTCCGTGAAACATTTACAGAGACAACAATTTTCATTTACGAAGACAAGTGTTAAAGTGTCTCTAAAAATCCTGAGTCTTTAAGCGTAAAGCTTAAGTTTATGTTTTAGCCGGTTTCCCGGCGCAGTGTTTACTGTTTTCGAAGGTGAACTCCTCAAAGCAAGAAAATCGCTCAAAGTTTTCTTTCTACAGCCAAATTTATAACTAAATATTCTTCGGAACGTTTTCTTTCTATTTGTGGTGAGCAAATATATCTGGAGGCTTTTTAAAGTTCTGTAAGCTTATATCAAACCTGATACTGGGTCAGATCATTGACTCAAATCCTACAAACGTGCATAAACTTGCCGCATATAAAAACTGTCAGCGTGAACTTTGCAAGACTTCATGAAATACAAACATCAAATACAATAATTACTTAGGCTTACCATTCGAGATTCAGTTCCTGAAAGCTATCAAGGGAGGCCACAGTTGCTTGAGACTTTTAAACCCTCTTACGCATTAAGCAAGGTGAAAAACGAAAACGATGCCATCCGAAATCGAATTACCGAATTTTGACAAGCGACGCATTTCTCAACCAAAACCCAGTAAACAAACCAGCCATGAATAACAGAAGACTCTTGATAGCAGCTGTATTTCATTTTGTACATCCAGAGGAAAAAGACAGTTAAAAACATCACAAGTTGACACAAAACTCTGTCAGCTTCAGCTGTCAAAGTAAACAACTTTCAAGATGCTGCATAATTTTTCCGCATGAACTCACCTGTCAAATTTTGACCAATCAGAGTATAAAAATTGGACGTAGAGCGTGACCAACGCGTGACCATGGTAAGATAAGGTCCGCGCCTGTACTTTTAAAAAAACTGGATGAATTTTCGCTTCCGAGGTCAGTTTGAAATCAAAATCCTAATAGTGCGGGGCCATAGTGACATAACCACAACATATTTGATGTGAATCCTTGGGAAAAATAAACTTGAGCCTGCGACCATTTGAAACTGGAAATTTGTCAGCGGATAACTTTAAAAAATACTTGACCTCGATGGGTCGACACTTGAGCCCGCGGTACGGTCAGGTGATACTGGTCAGCGGATGCCCTGTTTTGATAGCTGTCAATTGATCACAACATTGATGTGCAGCCTGTGCAATTAGTTTTAAGCTCCCAAACTAGCTAAAAGTGTGAGAATAAACATTGGTTTTCCTGTGGTGTGGACGGAAGGGCAGTCGGTGTACGGTCACGTGATTACCAAATTTTCTGGGATGGGTAGATTTACTTAGTAATGGGGCTTCGCCCACGCGCGCGCGTGGAGCTCCGCTATTACCATATTTCACAAAATGCAGCTACTTCCCCTTAGCTGCAAAGATCATAGTTAGTAGTTAGTAGTTACTATGCAAAGATTGATCGTTTTATTGGAATTGATTGCCGCCTCCTTTTTTTAACGCATGTATATGTTGTCGCTCAATTTTGTCGTTGGTTTAAATATTATTTTCTCTTGTTTTAATTACAATAGCCTCAAAACAAAGGGAAATAAAATTTAAACCTGGGATAATATTAAACCACAACACATATATATCACTACTATTTTGTTTTTTTGTTTGTTTGCTTGTTTACCTCTCTAGTTCGGCCTTTCTTCGTTTGGAAAATGTCCTCTTATTTTATTATTATTATTATTATTATTATTATTATTACTATTATTATTATTATCATTATTTATAAATAATCTTGTTTTAACCAAAGGGGTTGCCCCTTCGATTATTTTGTGAGCATGGAGTTTTTACATGTGCCTATAATTCACTATATCTATTTTCAATGTTGTCGTGCGCAGGATGGGGACGAACCATTGGTGGTGGCGCAGCAGCAAGTACTCTGCAGCAAGCCGAGTTGCCTGTCGTGGAACATTCCAAATGTGCCCGTACAAATGGCCGCTTAGCCCCCGTCGACGAAACCACTATGGTCTGTGCCGGAAGTGGGATCGCTGGACAGGCAGGTGGTTGTCAGGGTGACAGCGGAGGCCCTTTCGTTTGCGAAGAAAATGGAAATTGGGTTCTGCGTGGAGCTGTAAGCTGGGGAAATGGAATGTGCACCACTGACTACTTCACCGTCTTTGCACGTGTCAGTAATTTCATTGATTGGATCAATGGAAAAATGTCGGGGTCTGGTGGGTCAGGGGGATCAGGAGGAGGTAGCGGTAAGTCTTAGGCTATGTGGATCATTATACGTTTCTGGGACACTGCCCACTACTCCTCCCCTAAGCAATCATTAACACTTACTTTTCAATGTTGACTTATTTTGTTGGCATAGGGAAGGAGCAGGTAGGCAGCCTCCCAGAAATGTATAATAATCTGGCTATGTTACACTATTACAGATAGCTTTTGCGCCGGCTCGAGAACCATACCAAGTAGGGCTTCTGTTCACGTACAATAACAACGGTGATTTCGGCGCGATTTCTGTAACAGAGCAAAGATGGGCTGCGACGATCTCTTAAGTGGAGAGTCACATATCGAATAGGTGTTCATAGTGTACCGGATAGTTTCGTGCCGGCACAAAATAAAGCTACCAGGTATAGTGTGAACAAAAAAAGATGGTTAATAGATTTTAGTAAAATTCAACTAGTGGTCCATTATCAATGTTGTGTTCTGATTGGTTGAGCCACTACTAGGCTATATGTTATAGCCCACTAGTATCGAAAAGCGCCGGTTTTTTGGCGGCAAAAAAAGGATTAAGTCTAACTTTAACTAGCTTAAGTTGTTTTGTCTACATATTTTTAGAGCCCGAATGGCCTCTGAGTCAATAGCCCATTCGGCCTTCGGCCTCATGGGCTATTGACTCACAGCTCATTCGGGCTCGAGGAATAATTGTTAAATAGTATGAAAAGATGGAAAGAATATCATATTTCAAGGAATTAGTTCTCTTTTCGTATTATTTATAAACGCTAAGTTAAACAAGAGGACTAATGACACATATTGATGTTAATATTCACAAACAGTTCATGTTCTCCCCGAAAATTGTGAATAACTAATTTCACTTAAGATGGAGGCTGACTCTGCATCAATGCGTCTTTGTTGCTTTTATTATGGTCTCATTGAGAGCTCGACATCTGGATGAAACTCGTCGTTTTTGATGAAAAACTGTCCAAAGACATAAGCAGCGCAGGACTCTGAAAGTAACGAATGTAGCTAGGTCATCCCCAGCTCGTTTCAAGTTAAAAACGTAGATACGCACGCGTCTTTGGCTGCATGATGGCTATGAGACACCACTCCGCCTTGCTAACCTTTTTTTGGTTGTTAATTAATAGCATGTGCGGACAGTTCTCCACATTGTCCATACGTTACGCAGTATTGCAGCTATCCGCAAATCCGTAACCAGTGCCTCAAGTCATGTGGAGCTTGTAAGTTTTTTTTTGTTGTTTTGCTTTGTTTTGGTTATAATTCCATACGTCCGAGGGACAAGTTACGATCAGTTCGCTCGCTCGCTATCAATAACACTATCAGTATCATTAACATAATTATTATCATTATCATTATCCTCATCGTTATCGTTGTCGGTATGGTTAGCGTTATTGTTACCGTTACCATTATAATTATCATTATAATTATTACTCTCATTCTCATTAACCTCGTTATCATTACCATTATCAAAATTAGTCTCATTATCATCATAATATTATTATTATGTCTTAATATAGATTTTATTTATCTTTTTTTCTTTTTTTTGGATTACAGGTGGTGGTGGTGGTGGCGGTGGGCCCTCCTGCTCTGATAGCAGCGAAAATTGTCCAATCCTTAAAAGTTACTGCAGTTTCCACAAATATGTTCAACTAAAATGCAAAAGAACCTGCAATCTCTGTTAAACGGAAACATCGTAACACATACAAAAAGGTAACATGTACTTCTCTTTTTTGTACAAGATTTTTTTATGATATAGAGAGAATTATAAATATGGAGAATCATAAATATTGAGATGGATAACACCCTCCGAGATCCTTAAAAAGCCTTCTTTCAATTTTTTTTTTCCAAATGACCAGAAAGAAATATAACGATATGCGTAGGGTTCCGGTCTTCAAAATATTTTTGAGCTTTTTCAAGAAAGAGATCTGAAGGAAAAAGAGGAGGGCAAAACGGCTAATACTTGTGTTTCCATTGTGGTTTTTCCTTAACATTGCTGTATTTGAAAAAAATAACTATTCAAAGCAATCTGAGGTTTTGCTTTTTGAACACAATTATTGTCACGCTTACGACACGAGGTTTTGCCATCTGTTTTGCTCTGTGGTATTAAACTGTAAGTTCACTATTTGCCTCTTCCCTGGCAGTTTCACGATATAAAGCTGTTGTTTAGTCTAGCAACTATTCTTAAAATGGCAGTTGTCATCCAATCTGGGGTATTTTTGCAATTTTTAAACTAAATTTTCAGGCGGTTGTTCGACCATTTCTTCGCCGCATTAAGTGTGAGCATCCAGCATTTATTTTTCTTCAGCTATACCTACCCAAATAGCTGAGCTACAGCGCCTTCTGAAAATGATGATAAAACGATTTTGGCGATGAAAATAGTGACAACAAGGATGATGATAATGATGAATGAAAACTACTAACAAGCAGCGTTTCCTTCTCTCCCTCTCTCTAGTTTCAACATCAAGTCGTTGTCGCAAGCTGATTGGGGATTATTTATTTCATTTTTATCAACCTAATACGGGTAGAAAGAGAAGCTCAATATCGGGAACTAGAATTGTGAAAAAAAAATCAATAAACGAAAAAATCAATGTAAATGACTTATGCTCGTAGTCATACTTAATGTATTTTTTTTGGGGTTGAGTATATATGGCACCACCCTTGCTTTTAAATTATTACGTCCAGTTTTGGATCACTGGTGATCCTTGAAATCTGATTGGCTAATTCACGCTATTTTTATCTCAATCGCTTATTCTGCTGTAAATCATCCTGTTCATTTCTGTTTCCAAAAAAGTAAGATGTACAAGCTTTCCAATCTATATAAGAGGGCACAGTGTGGTAAGGGTAAGGGTAAAGCTGGACCTCAGAGGGTGGGAGGGGGAGGGGGACGTTATAGCCAATCTGTATAAACATCCTGTTAAGCATCCCCTGGTTCTTTATTCACCTGAGTTACCCTGAAGGCCCTGAAACAATACACAAACCAAAATCGTTAATTGCATTCGGTATACTGTTTAGACACCGTCGTACTTTCAGCGTAGACTGAAAGCAGTAAGTGAATGTTTCCTTGAAGTGTTTTTTTCCCAGCACAATACCCAAGCAAAAGAGAGTTTGTAACACCTGATTTAACTGTCTCAAACAAGCCAGACTGTTAACTTTTCATAAGTCAAAACCATCATACGAACATTTTATCCCAAGCATAAACCATCGTGCGAGTTTGCACTGCTTACAGGTGTATTGTGTCAGCTTCATGCCATTGTGTTTTACTGCAGACAGACGATAAAAAAGCAACTGCTTTTCTAAGCTGTTTTCAGTCGTTATCTTGACTTGAATCAAGATGATTTCTAAAACATTTGTCGTTCTACTGGCCGCAGTTGCCGTTATCAGCTGTTATCATAAAACCAGCTACCGGTAAGTGTTACCCTTTTAGTAAATAAATAGGAAGTCTAAGAACCTGTTTTTTTACTTAGCTATAAGGATACTGCATTTCAGCACACTATAGAAGAAAGTCTAGATCAGAACTGGTGGTAAAATAAAATAACAAGTTGAAGAAAACTAATGACTTTTGGTTTTAGTTTTTGTTTTTTTTGTTTTTTTTGCTAAAAGTGTTGAAGGGTAGATCAGGAAAAATGAAGAAGGTTTAACAGGAAAATAATTGGCAAAAATTTTCCCGTCACCTATCATTTGGAGAGCCTTTTTTGTCTCTTCAAGTGCTTCTTTTGAAACTACATTGTGTTCACTAATGCAATGCACTATAACCCATCACACAGTTAAAGGGGCTGTGTCACGCAGTCCAGTTCATTTTGTTTAACTTTGCCAATTACTCGCCGTCAATCACTATGGAACTTAAAGTAAGCAAAGAAACTACATGTAAACGACAAAATCAGAGATCTGAGACAAACAAGTATGTCTTCTGAGCATTATTTTTGATGTTGCAAGCAGCAGGGATCAACTTTGAAAACTGTTAGGCTGAACAGTTTTCAAAAACCCTAATTTCAATCCGTTTCAATTTTCTTCAATTTTGCCCATCCGTGACATCTGTTTTTCTGTTATGTTATTTAAACCTTCTTTTTAAGTTTTAAGCGGTTATTATTATGTTTCTCTTAACTTAAAGGGTGTAATTTCCTAATTTGGCTGAATTTCGTGACACAGCTCCTTTAAGTACCATCTCATGCAGTTGCAATAGGAAGCCTCAAAAAAATAGGCTTGACGGGATTCGAACTCTGCATGACCTCTGCGATACCTGTCTGTCAACTGAGCCAGCAAGCCAACTGGGGTTAGTCATCATTAACATAATTCATTTTTTTTTTCAGGTTTTTTTTCATTTTTCCTGGTGCATAAGTTGCGCGTTTAGTGTGGTGATCTTCCTTACATTTTTTTCCTTCCGCTGTTCAAATATCATGAAATTCATAAATTCACCATTTCATCATGTGCTGTTTTTTCCTGCACCAATTCTAGGTTGTGGGCAGCGCGTTGGTTCCAGGGTTGTAAATGGCCAAAATGCACAGCGCCACGCTTGGCCTTGGCAGATTTCACTTAGGGTAAATGGTCAGCACATCTGTGGAGGATCCATCATAAGTCCAAGATGGGGTTTGACTGCTTCTCACTGTGTTGAGAGAAATCCTTACCCCAGAGGATACACTGTGAATGTTGGTAAGTTCGCACCAAGAACCCCTGGTCTATATGGCGCCAATTATAGACCCTATCTTAGTCACTTTTGGGCAAGTGTAATTTTCATGATCCCAACTTATTCACTCATTGTTGCATCTACCCGTTATATAAGCCCCATCCTAAAAAACTTTACACGTTTGCTTAACTTTTGAAATGTAGTAGAAATCTTTCCATCTTGAAATCCCTGATCATAAATCAGGAAGTTTCTATCCTCAGATGTGATTCGAAACCTAATTTTTAGTAACTCTATTGAAATTGAAATCACATCATAGTCAGTCAGCCCAGTCGTGAAATGAAACCTCATCTAGCGGCGCATCCCCATTAGCCTGCTACTTAACAATAATTATTATTCCTCGAGCCCGAATGGGCCCTGAGTCAGTAGCCCATGAGGCCGAAGGCCGAATGGGCTATTGACTCAGAGGCCATGAGGACGAGGGGAATAATTGTTTTAGTAAAATCCAACTAGTTGGTCAAAAATATCGAGAATAGAAAAAAAATTAGCTGCTGAAAGCTAGACTTTAATCATTTTTTGCCACCGAAAAGCCCGCGGTTTTTGCTCCTAGTGGGCTATGGTATATAGCCTAGTAGTAGCTTGACCAATCAGAATGCAGCACTGATAATAGACCACTAGTTGGATTTTACTAATAGGAAATATCCCTCTCCCCTCCCCTTCCCCAGGTTAATATTCTTCTGAATTACTTAATCTACTCCATCTTTGCGCCATCACAGATTTGTTTCAAACGCCTCTTTTCTCTATCTCAGGAGTGCACGCTCAAAGTGAAAGGTTGAGAGGAGATCAGGTATTTTACTTAAGAAGAGTAATAATGCACGAGCGATATCGTCAATTAAACTATGACGTCGCCCTGTTGGAATTAAACAGACCAATACAGATGAGTTACAAGGCTCGACCGGTTTGTTTGCCACAACATGGGAGCAGAGTTTCACCTGGAACACGATGCTATATTACAGGTTGGTTTTGTAAGACCAAAGTAGTCGGATATGGACGTACAGCGTGAAAGCTTTAAAGCCACAATCACTGGGTAGGAATTCAGCGGGTCCCGAGGTGATTTAATCTTACACAAACCGAGGAAGGGGGGAAGCTTTTGAACCTCACCTCGACTTTACAATTGAAAATAGCTTAGAACTGTTCAAACTTGTTTGGGGTTACACTGTTGATTAAAACCTATTTCCAAATAGTCTTTCATTCTCCGGAGATCTCGTTACAGTGAAATAATGGTGAGCGCAGGATTCCAGTAGATTTTTATTTGCGTAGCCTTTCCCTTTAATTTGGTACTTACTGATTTGCTAAGACATTTTCCAAAGAGAACATATTCCACTTCAACTGCACCTGCATAGTGGTGTAATAGCCAGTATATTTGTAAAAAAAATACTGATTTTTTAATTAAAGGTTTACATGTTATTTTATTCATTAGGATGGGGGCGCATGGTTGGTGGTGGTAAAGGTGCGAACATTCTTCAACAAGCCATGTTACCAGTTGCTGATGACAGAAGATGCCAAAATACAAACGGAAGACTTGGTCACGTCTACAGGACACCACGATTTGTGCTGGAGGCCAAAGGCGAGGTGGATGTCAGGTACAGGGTACACTCATGCCGTGCCAGAGGAAGCGGCTTAAAGGGACTGTGTCGCGATTGTGCGCATGTGTGAGCTGTGACAGTAGCTGATTGTCTTTGAACCAATCGGAAGCGAGTAAGCTGCACGCGAGGAAATTTACATAATTTAAGATTCATTGTTCGCGAAGTGGGAGTCTTCCGGACGTTTATGTTCGTTTTTAATCCCCATAATTCATATTTATTCTCCGGTATTCCTCAGGTAAATGTTGCAGATGATAAGAATAGGATTAACAACCCTGTCCGCTTTGAAACAAACATTTACCTACGTGTATTTTTACGTACCCACGCTAGAAAACCAGTCTCCGATCCGCAAACAAAAATAATTTGTAAACAAACCTTACTGATCTCTCTGTTTACCCTATATAAACCTAGAAATACCTGCAAATAGCTCCCGACCGGTGATCAAAACACACAGTATAGGATGAGGCAAAAGTTTTGCTTAAAATGCCAGCTAAATGCGCGCTATAATAAAATAAGCCATGCCATGCGGTCGTCTAGCTCGGTCGATTGATGCCGGCTGAAAATCGTAGCATTGTTTGAAAGCAATTCTTAGCGCTTCATCATAAAACGCTTTCATTGCAATAGCATCCAAATAACGTATAAGTATGAAGATTATTCTAAAAGAACAACGCAAAAAAAAAAGGAATAAACAGGAGTCCATAACTATGGCATAAATTTTAACTGCTTATCAGCAAATAACAAAATTCCTTCCGGGTCGTTGCGTTGCGTGTTCCGCAAAACAAACGTTATCGATTCAACACATAAAGAAACCAGGTGTTAAACGGAACATTCAGGGAACAATTTATTTTGAAAAGATCAATTCTTAAACATCTACGCCCATACAGAAAAGATACAAGGAACATTCCCAGTCAACTATATCAGTAAAGATCGCGCGGCCTGTTGTCAGCACTTTGTACTGTACAACTACGGATCGGAGTCATAAATCGAATGCCTGTTGAAACGTTTCATGTTCGATGGTTTGTCTCCTCAAACCTCACACGACTTCGTGTACAACAAAAGATTGCTGAGTTTTCTCCTTCTGATTCCAGGCACTCAATAAATTAAATTGCTGCAGACAATCGGAAGTCATGTCGCAGATCAGCTTCACTCGCCGCTGCGTCCAATTAGTAGTCCACGGCTGTATCGAGGAAACCCTTTTTGACTCCTCTTTACATATTTATCGTTTGAAAAATATCCGTCAAAGGTAGATAGTTGACTGGAGAACCTTTATAGACAGAAATGAAGGCCAGATGACCACATTAAAGGCCACATTTGATCCGTTTGTAGGAACACTGACAAGAACGAACTTGGCTTCCTACGGTTCTCCTCAATGACTTCCAATTTTCTCGACAATACTTGCACAAAAGTAAAAAATATGGTGTTTAAGACTTCCCAAATGGACCAATTAGCTCTTGAATACTGATATTATGGCTCTTCTGGGAGTCTCAGGGTAGATGGAAGAGGATTTCTTTACCAAACGCCAATCTTGAAAAACTGTCCGCCGGAGAGAAATCAAGTTGCCGCACATGCGCAGAAGCGTGTCACAGTCCCTTTAATCGTTGTCAATATGGCTAATGTTATGGCTGTGGCTATAGTTATCGTGATCAGGATCGTGATAGTGATCATGATCGTTATCGTTAAAGTTTTCGATCGTGTATTTGCCAAAACAATGAAAAGTCCTTGTAAGTTTAATGCTTTTAACGCATACCTGTAGAAGTTATTAATTTACCCTTCACATTTAATTTAATTAAGTCATGCAGTAAGTTAATATTCACGATTTCTTGTATCTTTTTGCAGGGAGACAGCTGTGGACCGTTCGTGTGCAATGAAGGAGGGAGGTGGGTCCTTCGTGGAGCCGTAAGTTGGGGTCATAGGAACTACAGAACTGATTTCTATACTGTGTTTGCTAGAGTAAGCACTTTTGTGAACTGGCTATATCAGAAGACATACTAGAGAGGTGAACTATCATTTTAACTGGTCCTTTGCAAAACTTGGTCAAGTGCTTAGATACCACTCAGCAAGGATGGGTGACCACCTACCCCTCCCCTAAGTCACAATCTTGCCCTAAGTAGGAAGTAAGCGTTAATATTGACTTAGGGGAGGGGTAGGTTGTCAGTTTACCAATCGTCACTGGCTGGCAAGCCACCCAAGTGTTCATTTATATCACAAAGCTTTGAGTGCGATCGAACAAAGCCTTCCTCGGGTTAACTCATACGTCCTTTAGTCCTCCAGTCCAGTCATTTCATTTAATTTCCAGCATAATAATTAAACTAGGAACGATTCGCTCGATCGCGCTCAAAGCTTTTTTAACGGCCAATGAACGCTTGGAAAGCTTCTTATGCAGCAAGCCGTTGCTGAGTGGTATCCAAGCACGTGACCTAGTTCCTCCAAAGGCCTTAATTGTTACAATTTTTTGCAGTTATTTAATAATTGAGTTGCTTTCCCTCTTTTAAAGCTAATGTAAATCCATGTTCTCATCTGCGGGTTCGGCCACAAATTAAATCAAACAGAAACCGTTTGGATGGCTGGGTCAAATTTCCTTTTCACTGATTCAAAAGTATTGGAATTGAAATAAAAGCATACATGTTGCGTCTACTGTAGTTCTATGGAAATAAAATTTGAATCTTGGAAAATGTTGATTGTTTGCACCTCTTGGTTGTCGTGTTTTTGTTTTGTTTTCTCTTTGTTGTTGTTGTTTACTTTTTTCCCTCATTCACTGGGCAATTTGTGTCATTCTCTGGTTGAAGTACAAAAAAAAATTACTGAAAGAATGGAACCTCTCTCTTGTTTAACATATCAGTGGGATCTGTGTAATGTAACCATCTTTAATGCCGATGCTTTGAAAATAGATCTAATATTATTGCAAGCAGAAAGCTTGAAAAATGAAATCGTATTTCATACGCCATCATTTTAACAAGCTCACTCATTAACAAAAAGTGCATTTCTCCCTCCTACCCCGAAACACATGGAGGTGTTATATGTCGAGCATATATATAAAAAAAAAAAAAAAAAAAAAAAAAAAAAATCGTCAGCACAAGACTAATCGAGGGCCACGTTCAATCTAAGGGCTCCTTCCATTTGTCAAAAATGACCGGCCAGGCTTTTCCCGTCGTAACGAGAAATTCATTTTTAATCAAAACCATCCGGCCAGCAATCAAATCCTGAATAGCATGCAAGAAGCAAATCATTTTTCTGGAAAAACTATTGGAAAAAGCCCATTTCATTGTCAAAATGACTGGTCCGGCCATAGTAACGGCCGACCAGTTCTGACTTTTAAAAAGCAACGAAGTCTATTGCTAGCGGCGATGAACTGGAAAACGTCAAATTCTACAAATATCTTGGACTACAATAATGAGTCCTTATGGAAACTTTCATCTCGCTAGGCCAGAGTTGAAGAAAGTGTACTCAAAGCACTCCGATTATAAATTACTAAAAGAGATGGGAAACCACTTCAGAGAAAATATGATTCACGATGAAGTTATTTGATACACTGATATCTCCCATACTCTTTTATGCGAGTGAAATGTAGGGGATTGATTGCAATGGACGATTACAAAAGGATCCAGAAGCTCGGAATTGGTTCAAAATAAATTTCTGAAGTGGTTGCTGGGAGTTAATAAATACTGCAATAAAAATGCGAGCAGGGCTGAGACAGGAAGGTTTCCAATGAGAATTGAAGCCCAATGTAGGAACTTTAAGCTCTAGTTAACCTTAACCAAAAATAAAAGCAAATTATCCCAAATAGCATGCAATGACATTAAATGGAATGAAAATACAGCTTTCTGGAGCAAAAAAATCAAAAGCTTATTGGAACAGATAAGGTTAGGAGAATTCTGGATGAAAGCACACTATATATGCGGACATAGGAATCGTAAACATGATCAGACAACGACTTAAGGCTATCGAACTACAAAGATGTCTAAGTCAAATAAATAACGACACTAGAAAAGATGCTATCCAAAGGCAGAAAATGAGAACCTACCTGTTATTCAAAACAATAGACAATTACAAATGTGAAGATTACCTACATCAGGTCACCAATACGCGACTTAGAATAGCTCTAAAAAAACTGCGACTGACTTCAACCACAAATTAGCCATCGAGACAGAACGTTATTCGAGACCGTTTAAGAAACCTGAAGAGAGAATTTGCCCAATTTGTAAAATTGAAATGGAGGATGAATACCATTTTCTAATATATGCCCTGCTTACCAGCAAAAAAGAAGTTCGTTACTAGTTATTTGCAAAAAGAATGAAAAAATATAGAGTAAAAATAAGCAGAATGTCACCTAACAAAATATTCATGTTTCTAAAATACAAAAACTAATAGCAAAACATGTATTCGAATGCTTCGAAAAAGGAAAAAAAGGAAAGGAGAAGACGGAAAAAAGCAAATACTCTAGGACCCCCTGTGCAGACTCTTATTTCTTTAAAAATACAATTACTTGAATGAACCTTCCGCAATGATCGTTCTACTTAATTACTGGAGTCCCACCAAAGAGAAAACGTTAAAGAAAATGGATGCTTATTTCGAAAGGAAGACTAAGGAAGCTGGTTAATATAATTACGTAATAAATGCAGTTTGCTGTAAGAGGTTTTCAACTGGGATTCTAACCTTTTATCCTCTTCTACCTTATAAAAGAGATTCTGCATTTTAATAACTAAAGAAACTGAAATAGTAAAAATAACTTTTTCTGGCCTTGCACGCTGACGCATCAAAACTCGCAGATTGATTATTTTGATGAATAAGTGAATAATTTCTCGGTCACTTTAGTTTCGCTATGATCATGAAAAAAAAAAAAAAAGCCAAAGAACGTCGTTTTCTATAAGATTTATCACGCCAATTTCGAATGCATTTGTCGCTCATTTCCTTTTTTAAATCAATAATAGCGATTGATGAAAAGCAGTGAAAAATAAACATGTCGTTCTCGTTTCCTAACGTTTGGCACTTTTTGAGAAAACTTGTTTGTTCACATGTTGAGAAACATCATAAAATTCACCTCGTTCGGAAGAACAAAATGGTCGTTTACTTTTAGTGCCACATTTCAATTCGATTAACGTAAAGGATCTCAGTTCCCATTCTAATTCGTTGTCGAATTGCCAAACTCGTTATGAAGATAAAATTTATCATTGTTATACTCTCTCTGTTGAGTTTAGCATTGTCAAAGGAGGAAGGTAAGGCAATTATATTTCAATACTGAGGAAAAAGCCGTGTTCTCCTTTCTACGTATAGTATTGAGCTTCTTATAGCAGTCCGGTCAGTAATGCTGGTGATCGAGTGAATACATAACATCAAAAATCGTTTAGTTAGGCAGCGAAAACTACCCCAGGTAAATTATTATCATATTTTTGTTTTGGGGGATTTTCATTGAATAGTTCCTTCAAAAATGTGAAAATTATCTGGTGTCAACTTATCTTGCACAATCTTGTCTTGATAACATAATTAGGGGTGAATCTGGTCTTCTGTTTTTGGTTGATTTAAAGATTTAATTTTTATGCCATCAGTGAAGCTACTCGCGTTACTTTTCAATGCTCTTCCGAGTTGTAGTCTGAGTTACCGCATAGCTGCTCATGCATTATTTAAAGTAGACGTTTCATACAGTTGTGCACAGTTATCAGCCACGTTTCAAGTTCAGTCGATCCTCCTTGTGCGCGCGATTACCTCTCGCAAGCCACCATTTCCCATAAGCCACCACCTGACCATCAGAATACCAAAATTTTTCCAGTCGATAACCTATAGTGAAAACCTCTGGTAAACGCGCGACCGCTTCTCATCAGCGACCGCGATCAATTTAATGGCCTGATGGTTTTATTAGCTTCCACTGTTTTTAGCCTCTTGTACGCGAGCACTTGACGCACGATGTGGTCTCTGTTCACTGTGCGTGCCACGTGCCACTCAGAGTATAGCAAGAACTTTCAATGACAATAATATATATATTTAGCCACAGCTAAAAGCGAAGCTCTCACGGATAAATTTATAACTTAAATCAAACAATAATTTTGTATTCCACAAATCAGTTAACTTAAGGGCACATTCATGTGACTCTTTAGGGAAAAGCTAAGTGATTTTGGAGTGAAACAAATCTTGTATCGAGTTGATATAGCCTTATATGTACACCCAAAAAATAGTCGTCGGTCACATTTAAGAGCAATAAAGGCTCTTGATCACAGTAGATAAGGCGTGGAAAACAAATTCTTGGAAAGCAAATCAGACCGAATTTTTTGCGTTCGACAAGTTTACAAATTCTTGCCAATAAATCTGGGTGCGTGCAAACCAATCTTTTAGTTTTTTTATACACCACATCTGAGGAGAAAGAGTACTATGAGGCGCTGTTTTTATCATACAGACCTCGTACAAAATGCAGTATTTCATAGTTTTTCCAGACAAATTGCATTCATGCAATATTCAGGACCATCGAAGCACGGGTGGACTTTTAGTAAGCGAAACCGTTCAAAAAAGCCGGTTCTACCTTTTGACAAGCGCCAAATTTGCAAAGAAATTTTAAAAGAGTTACGTTTCAACGTGATAAAGAATTTATTGAGTCCTTTTTTTATTAACAGTTTTATACGGGTAATCTTAAAAAGCGTTTGATACTCTTGGCATTTTGAGTACTCCTGCAAGCGATGTTTATGAACGGCTGAAAACAAACGGCAAAGCGATGAAAATTACACTTTTGAGACTACCAAAAATCAATAAAGATAAATAATTCGATAGAACATTTACAGAGACAACAATTTTCATTCACGAAAACAAATGAGTATTTAAGTGTGTCTAATTATAAGAAATCCTCAAGTCTTTACTGGTAAGCTTAAAGTTTATGACTTCAGCCGCCGGTTTCCCAGTGTTGGCTGTTTTCAAAGATGAACTCACGACAAGAAAATCGTTCAAAGCTTTCTTTCTACAGCCAAAATTATAACTAAATATTCTTCGGAAAGTTTTTTCTTTCTATTTACGGTGAATTAATATCGACTAAAGGCTTTTTAAAGTTCTGTAAGCTTAAGCTTACATCAAACCTCATACGAGGTCAGATCAGTGTCTCAGTCAAATCTTGATACAAACGTGCATAAACTAGCTTCATAAATTGCGCCGCTGGACTTCATGAAATTAGATTTAAATACAATAATTACTCAGGCTTACCATATTTCGAGATGCAGCTCCTGAAAGCTATCAAGTAAGGCAAGGATCGCTTGAGCCTTTATAATTCTCGTACGCATCCAGCAAGGCGAAAAACAAAAACGATGCCATCCGAAAACGGATTATCGGCTTTGACAAGTGACGCATTTTTCAAGCAAAAACCCAATAAATAAACCAGCCATGAATAAGAGAACACTGTTGATAGCAGCTGTATTTCATTTTGTACACCCAGTGGAAAAAGACAGTTAAAACCATCACAAGTTGACTCAAAACTCTGTCAGCTTTAGCTGTCAAAGTAAACAACTTTCAAGATGCTGCATAAATTTTACTCATGAACTCACCTGTCAAATTTTAACCAATCAGAGTATAAAAATTGAACGTGGATCGTGACCAACACGTGACCATGGTGAGAAAAGGTCTTCCCCGCCGGTATTTTTAAAAACACTGGCTGAATTTTTGCGTCTGAGGTCAGTTTGAAATCAAAATCGTAATAGTGCGGGGCGATACTGACATAAACACAACATATTTGTTGTGAATTTAAAACAAAAGTAAACGTGAGTTTGCGATCATTTAAAAACGAGTAAATTGTCAGCGGATAACTTCCAAAAATACTCGACTTTGATGGGTCGACACCTGAGCCCGCGATACGGTCAGGTGATAGTGGTCAGCGGATACCCTGTTTTGACAGCTGTCAATTGATGACAACATTGATGTGCAATCAGCTTTCTCCTGGGCTGAAGGGCTCCCAAAGTAGCTAGAAAGTGTGAGAGTAAACATTGGTATGCCTGTGGTGCGGACGGACGGTCGGTCGGTCGGTCACGTGATTACCAAATTTTCTGGGATGGGTAGATTTCCTTAGCTATGAGGCTCCGCCCACGCGCGCGCTCCGCTATGAAACCATATACGTACTTGTACGTAACTTAGAAATTTTTATGTAACTCAACGCAACAAATGTCAGATTTGTGATAACAGTAGACGACCCGTAACAAAGCCAGCTCAGTTAGCCGGGATCCCCACACTGCACAAACCAGCAGGCCGAAAATGTTCTACATGTAGCTACTCACCTAAGCACTATCTTAGCTAACTAAATCGGCGAAACGACCATAAGTAACACAAGGCTTATAATCACACAGCTTGCAATCTCTCTATAAACATGGCGGCTCCGAGCTGGCTCAATTCATTTAACACCGTGACCCCGACTGGATAAAAGTTACATCGGCAACTGAGTAAGCCATCCAGCAAACTAGGCCAGTCAAGCTCAATTGTAATCACAGTTCCTCAACGAAGCTGAGTTGGCGTGTAAAACTGCATTTATTTATTCATTTTTATTTATTTATTTGTTTATTTATTTATTCAATTTTTGCTTTTTAGAAAATGGAGAATTTCAATGATTTTAGAAAGTGGAGAAGAGTACAATCGATGATAGCAGATGATTATTCATTTCAACTAATCAATTTAAAAGCTGTCCCTTTGTTCTCGATGAGCAGCAGATGATCAAATTCAGTGTTTCATCACCTAACGACGCGCAGCGGAGTATTTTTTTAAAAGCGAGGTATTTCATCTTGATGTTCGAATGTTTGCAAACAAAATCTTTTTTGAAGGAGAAATTAAGCATGCAAAAATGACCAGTTTTTCATCTGATATCCAAACACTCATTAAACATTAATTTCCTTTGAATTTTCTTTATGAATTATTAATGAGTTTGAGAAATTGATTTCACGACTGTTAATATCGTTTGTCTTTTTTTTAGAATGCAAGGATATATCACCTTATTGTAAAAACGCTTACAGGCGCATGTGTCATCACGCCTGGGTTAACCAGTTATGTCGATCTTTCTGTGGAAATTGTTAAATGAAAAACAAACCTTGGGTGAGTACCTTTTTTATCAAGTAAAGGTGTTCATCTCAACAGGCATGAAAGTGACCTTTTCTGTGGAATCTTTGACTTGAGTGTAAATTAAACTAGCAAAGTTTTCTCTTTCTTAGAAATTTAAAACGGTTGCATGTCTTAAACATAACTCCTAGGTATATGGTGGCAAAATACGAACAGTTGCTAGTGTTGATGATGGAGGAACAAGTTTGAATTCTTCCGCTCAAGAACTGTGAAGAACTGAGCTCATGTTCATGCTGTATGTGCATTCATTTATAAGCTTTTCTTAGGAGAAAATTATTTTGGAAATGCAAGTAAACGTATACCTATAAATTCACTCGGTCTTATCGCTCGCTGTTTAACGTTAGAGTCATTATTATATATGCCCATATTTTAAGTAAATTGACTGTCTTTATTTTGCAGAAGAAGACCAACTCTAATTCCTCGTTCACCGTGATATTTAAAAGAAGAAGAGAACCGCACTTCAACGTAAACCTGTGAAATCTTGATTTACAAATTGATTGAATGTATGAATAAAGGAAGCTAAAAAAAAGTATTTGTAGATGTAGGAACTATTTTGTGGTGAACTTCATGTCCTCCTGACTGTTACTCTAAAATCAACAAAGAAAACCGACAACGTCCAAAAAAAAAAAACTAAAAATTTTCAGCCGAGGTAAACACACAATATTTATTCATGTAAAAACAACACCGGAATTTGGGTAGACGCTGAATCTGAGGACTTTCTCATTTGGGGGCGATCTGAACAAAATGATTTTCAAATGGTACCATTAAAATAGATACTGTTAAATATGGAGAAAGGAGTGACTGTTTCCATTTTCTCAAGGCCCGTATGACGCACAGATGTGCAAACTCATCAGGAATAAAACCTGCAAATCAGTGGTAGAGGTATAGTGAATGTCATGTTTCATACTGCTGAAGGCCATCTCCGTGTTCCAAAGCCCTAACAAAACAAGGCTAATAAGTACAAATCCTTTCTTGTGATAATGAATCTCATTTGCATGAGAATGAAAAATTATTTTCATATCAATGGCTTCGCACTTAGCCTCGTTTGGAAGCAGAGGTTTGGGGTAACTTAGAAATAGTCTATTATGATGCTAAGCCTAAAAATTATTTTCTGCATTCCTTACAATATAATATAATATTTATTATTAAAAACAAAATCATTGGATAATGCAATTCTAGAGCTCTGATTGGCATAGCCATCATGGTATATTTAACAATATTATTCTTTGAAATCGAAGTGAATAGTGGCTAAATATTTACCGAGCCGCGAAAGCGGCGAGGTAAATATTCCCAAAGCCACTATTCACCGAGATTTAAAAGAATAATTGTTTTAGTATATACACACGAAGTGATCTCAATAAAATCAGAGAGGAAACCATTAAAAAGTACGATTTGATTGACAGATCAAATCAAGCGTAAGGTTAAAAATAGAGCAGAATTTTCAAACATGGCAATTCACAAGTTTATCATTTCGCAAACAACAGCGTAATGGCTTAAATAGAACCGCTAAAAGTTTGAACTGTTTCCCTACCTGAGAAGAAAAGTAGAGTTTTGTTGCTTTCTGTTGACTCGCCAAGTTTATAGCCAAAAAGGTTTCTTGTGTCGTTCTTCGCATGAAGTGCTGACAAAAATGGCGGCTCCGTTGCTCGAGGTAAGACGTCGTCTTCCTGTATCATTCTTTTTCCTGTTTACTTGAAACGTAGAATTTCTGCAAACATTTCCTTTTACATTTGTTTGTCATAACTAAACTTCGATTTTTGAGCCAAAATTTTCTTCTTAGAAAACGCTGAGTTCACGAAACGGCTTCTTCTACGCGAATACACGGGAGTTGTAAACAATCAATTGAGCACAAAACTCAGCTACAGTAAACTGAAAAACGTCGTATTGAATCCTTCCGAATCTTTTCTTGCCTTAAAAAAGTCAACCCTAGGATTTTGTTGACTTTTAAAAGATCGTTCTCTAAAAAAAATGGGAAAAACACCGAGCTCACACATTATCCACTCGCTGGGAGGTAAATATTGTTGAATAGTCCGAGATAGCGAACCAATCAGATTGTTTAAATCACCAAGATCACTGAGTATGCATATACTAAGAGCCATTGTACCATGCTCTCAAATATGGTAACTGTACGCGTCTTCTCAAAAATTAAAAACAAGCTGAAAATCAGTTGTTGCGTTCGAGGTACGAGAACGTAACCCCTAATTTGTGTTGGGTGATCTGTGCAGTATTGGGTATCCTGCGCAATTTATAAGGTAGGTGTTTTCGCGATTGCTTTCGTCGTCGTCGTCGACACACATTTGCCTCGTTTTGAGGCTCTTGTTTACGTTTTGCCTCACTTTGACGCGCTAGCTCACGTGGTGATTCGTGTGTCCTCGGCGTCCATCTTTCAAACGTTTGCTGCGATCTGCTATTCTGTCGTCGTAAATCGTTCATCTTTCAAAAGTGTGCTGAATCTTCGTAAAGCGTACATATTTAAGAGTTTGCTGAAGGTGTACTAGCGATCTTTGTTTAATGAATCTTCCAAAGCGTTCATCTTTCAAAAGTGTGGAGAAAGTTAATTACACCCTGAGTAAAATTTTACTTTGGATTAACTAGTATATAAGCCTTCATATTTTTCTCTGAAAAATGCGTGCTACGCCTGATGCATGTATCAAACCGGGTTGTTTAGCTCGGCGTTCGTTGTGTCACAAAGTAAATTTACCGGCGAGTTGTGAAACTCAGCATCTGTTGTGCTACAAAGTAAATCTACTGAGTTGTATAGCTAGGCGGCCGTAGGGCTACGGAGTAAATCTACCGAGTCGTGTAGCTCGGCGGCCGTTATTCCACAAAGTAAATCTACCGAGATGTGAAGCTCGGCGGTACCATTTCATAATGACTTGTGATATTTTCGGCACTGGACAAACGAACATTTTATCTCTATGTTATTTATTCGGAGAAACGCCGAGACACATTGAAACGTGTGAAATTGAGAGGTGTAGTGTAAGTGAATCAGTGTTCAAACACAATCATTGTGCCCCGGGCATTCACCACAAGAATGTGGTCTTGGGTCGTTCTTTAATATCATCGCAAGTTAAGAAGTCTTGCCAGCAACAGTTTCCGGCATTTTATAGTACATTTTAGTAATTCTCTACATGTGGAATTCCCAATATTAAATGAAATTAATGACTACATCTAAAACTCTGTCAACTGTTTGCTTTTTAACAGTACCTGGGCCGGGTTGTTCAAAGCTGGGTTAAGATAACCCAGCCGAGGAGGGTTACTGCGAAATTTGAATTCAGATGTGAAAGCTTCATTTTGCCAACAAGTTGATGATTGGACGCTCTTAAAAATAACTGAGAAAATTATCCAAAGAAATGTTTTTTAACAAAAGAAAAAGAAACTAGGGTTAAGCGCTGATCGGCCTTCGAACAACTACGCCCTGTTGAACATCTACTGCGCAAGTAAAACAAAAAGTTCTTTTTACACGCCCGAAGCACTCTGGCCAGTGTCTCCTCAAATAACAAGCACTTGAGACGAACCATACGATATCACGCTGATCACTAGAATTCAAAACCTTTTCATTATCATACACAGGCTGTACGCAACCCTTACGTTCAAAATATGCCATAATCATAGTTATCTATCGCAAGAACCACCACCCTTCCCCCTTAACTGCAACTTGTACGCCTAGCAAACATATCGAACGTACTTTCCTAAGCTCCGATTACTCCTCGCTTTTACAAAAAAAAATGGGAAGAATTCTCGATATATATAAATAAATAACGCCTCTTTTTTTATAGTAAAAGAAAAAAGATGAATTGTAGTGGAATTACGCTCGAAAAGCTCTTGACTATCTAATGGCGTAGAAATCTTGTGCACAAATAGGAAGCTCAATGTCTCAAGGATTATTCAGTTACAGTCGACTCCCGATAACTCGAACCTTCAAGCGTAATCGAAAAAAGGTTCGAGTTATCGGGAGTTCGAAGAAAACAGTTTTTACTGCACAGTGAACATTTTAACATTTAATTGCAGAAATGTCAAGTGGAAATTAAAAGATACTTCTAGATTATAAATCAGAACGTAACGTAACAAAACATAGCCTTACTGAAATAGATCATGCGGTTTGCTGTTTTGAGAAGAACTACTTCACGTTAGCCTGTGACAACATCAGCCCCCACTAGAAAACTATACTCCTGCAACACGTCAATAGGAAATCCAGCATTCAATGTTTCGGACGCCCGTAGACGGCTTTTTTCCCGACTTTTTAAGGGCTCAAAACATGGTTCGAGTTATCGAGGGTAAAATTATTTAGAAAATGACCTGAGGGAATAGGAAAATTGGTTCGAGTTAGTAGCCTGCGTAGCCTCCCACGCAGGCGTTTTTAGGGGAGCTCGTATTTCTTCCCTCCCCACAAACGGCGTTTGTGGGGAGGGAAGAAATACGAGCTCCCCTAAAAACGCCTGCGTGGGAGGCTATAGCCTGCGTAGCTGGCGGTATTGTGTAGTAGTCGAGTGAGATTTGGCGGCGGAGCCGTTGTAATATAGTCGAGTGACGCAGGCTATCGAGTTAGCGGGAGTTTGAGTTATCGAGGTTTCGAGTTACCGAGGGTAAAATTAAAGTGAATGTATGACAGACTTCCAGGGGAAATCGAAATCGAGTTAGCGAGTGTTCGAGTTATCGGGAGTCCACTGTATTTTGTAATCCAAAGACTCAAACCAAATGCAAAAATTGCATGAAAGAAAGTTACACTTGGTCTGATTATAACCCACTGTAACCTTTTCTTCTCTTTTACGCGGCTCCTCATCCTAATTCTCGATTCTTGAGCTTAGAATTGCGTGCTGCAAAATGTTCCGTTTTATCTTTTTTTAATATTTTCCGATTAAAAATGATAAAATGAACAGATCCAGCGGGTTTTTAAATAAAGTTTTTAATATGTATTTTAACTTTTCAAAGCTGCTCCTTAGAAGTAAATTGAAACACTCCTACCGACATTAAATTAGCAAATTCGAGTCATGTTCGCTCGTTTGAACTGCTACCACGGAAAAGAAAATGTTGAACCTATAGATAATAGCAACAGTGTGTGTCTGAGTAAAGACTACCTCGATTAGGTATGAGCAGCTGCATCATCATTCAGAGGTCGTCATTGTTAAATCCTACTACAGGTCGTAATTCCTTTCTGTTTATATTACTAGCTCAACGAAATATTGACGCGACTCTGTTCTGCAGAGTTGATGTTCAGCGGTGCAGTTTAGTGACGGCTTTTAATGGTGTTTAAAAATATGATTTATATAATAAAAGGATATGTTGAAGCAATATCGTGCATTTAGGGAAAAATGATTATAAAAAGAAAATTTGAGGGACAAAAACAATAATAATGATATAATATTAAAATAAGGTGATTTAATGATTAGGAAATTGCAGTGGTAAATACATGTACGAAAAAGTAAAAACAAACCCCAAAAAACTTTCAGTAGACAAATAAAAGCTGTGACAAGTATAACCCAAATCGTTCATCCATCTAAGACGTTCTCTCCTCAACTAATTGCATCAAGCGGTGAAGAATAGCTGTTCCACCTTCCTTCTACAGCTATTATCTTCTATTTCCACGGGATTGAAAGACTGCCAGGGAAAATTTTTACGTCAAGTAATATTTCTTTTGATAAGCAGCCGACTTGATGGAGTTCCAAATGATTAGTATTTAAATACAGAATTAATGGGCTGGTACTTTTGTGCTTGAGAAAGCTAAGAATAGTTCTTTGAAGCAAAATTTGAAAAATTATTAATAGCAAGTGATATTCCTTTGATTATAAAACCTTTGATAGCGCAAAAATTAGTTTCGTTTAATAGCTTTTAATACCTACTTGGATAGTCAGCGGTCAGCGGCGGTGAAAACAAGATGGCCGGGATTTTTCTTCGTGCGACATTCTAACGAAATTTTCAACATTTTACTTATTTTTCTGTTGTGTAAGTCTGTCTAATTGTCATTTCTGTGTTAATGTGTCTGCAAATCATACAATTGTGGAAGAACTAAGCGTTACTTTTGACGAAAAGCTTGCTCCTTTAAAAGTTGAGATTGCCGAGCTTAGATATTTTATTGAAAATGCAGGGGCACCCAACGAGGACATAGTTCAAAACCACTTAACATAGCATTGTTGAACGTATTTTAGTATTCAAACGGTAGATATAGGCATATTTTTATCCCCTAAAAACTTTTCATCTGTTCGGATTTCCTAGCTGAAAATCTAGTGATCCGAAAATTATAGGGATAAAAACTTACCTTCTCGAAAATTTCAGCCAGGAAAAGGCTCCCGAAAATTCTAGGTGCCCTTTTTTAGGGTCAAAATCCGTTAAAAATGAGTAATTATGCCATTTTGTAGATGTTCGAAAATCCTAGGAGAGGCAGGCAAGCGAGAAATTTTACAACAAATGCTCCGAAAATTCTAGATCTCAAATCGTCTTCCGAACAGATATTTTCCCGAAAATTGCCGTTGGGTGCCCCTGAAAATGCAAACCAAAAATACGATCAGGTTCTAGAGAAACTCACTGAGCAAGAAAAGGCATGTAAAGAAATCAAAAAGGAGAATAATTTCTTGAAATCTACAGTAAATACATGCACTTGATTCTCAGAACAAGAAACTAATGGAAAATTTAATATTAGATTTCAAGGACCAAATATCTGGAACACAATTGATGATAAGATTGAAGCTGTTTCTTTTTCTCAATTTAAATCAAAATGAAAACAACATATCTTTCGCTGTACTAATATTGGCAATTATCTTGTACTTCGTAACTTCCATCCTAGCTTTTGCTCTTCTTACAGTAATACGTGCTAGTGTATGTGTGTATATCTGTGTGTTTATGTGTATACAGTCTGATATCAGGTTCACCTAAGGAGAATATAGTTCAAAATCTCTTAAGCATAGCATTGTTGAACGTATTTTAGTATTTAAACGGTAGATAAAGGCATATTTTTATCCCCTAAAAATTTTTCATCTGTTCGGATTTCCTAGCTGAAAGTCTAGCGATCCGAAAATTATAGGGATCAAAACTTACCTTTTCGAAAATTTCAGCCAGAAAAAAGGCTCCCGAAAATTCTATGTGACCTTTTTAAGGAAAAAATCAGTTAAAAATGGGCAATTATACCATTTTGGGGGGGGGGGTTCGAAAATCTTTGGAGAGGCGGGCAAGCAAGAAATTTAAAAACAAATGTTCCGAAAATTCTATATCTCAAATCGTCTTCCGAACAGATATTTTCCAAAAATTGCCGTTGGGTGCCCCTGTGATATGCTACCATATTGTACCTCGCACAATAAACTTATTAATTTTAAATTATCTTACTGAATCTGGCTTCTTGGCATTTTTAACTTATTAGTTATTTCAGAAAGTCAGTACCCCTTTTAGCTAACTGATTAATTTAACAACTTGTAAATAACTATAATATTCTGCTTTGGGTACGATAAAATTTTTGTTCTTTTCTTTGTTGTTGTTCTTTTACTCGACGACGATATCGTACAGCCGAGTTCTTCACTTTTCACTATTGATACCAATTGATACCAATTCAATCTTTGATTTGTGATTTGTGCAAGATCATGTATTCACGATCAATTTTAATAAAATGAATATTAATACTTAGTTATTATTATCATTAATAATAATAATAATAACAACAATAATTGCGTTAATGCTTGTAACTTTCAGTAGCAATCCGTTTTTAGCAAGAAAGTATATTTACTTTAATTGCAAGAAGAATTTCTTTGAGTGAATAAGCACAGACCGTGTCGACATTTTCAGCTGAATAACCAGCACTAATGCCCCACAAAAACTTGAGTTAGCCCTTTCTAAAACGTATATATTTAGCTGCAATTGATGAGTGACGTAACAAATAGAAGAAAAAGTCATTCATTTGAAAAGGGATTTTTAAAAAAGCGGAGGAAAATTATTCAGAGTTTTAGTTAAAGACTTACTAAAGTGAGATTATAATCTAGTGCACTTGCAAACGGGTATAAAAATATAGCCAAAACAATGATATGTTTTTATCACCTTTGCTGATAGCTAAAGATTCCCTTCTTCAATTATAGCTTGAAAAAATGGCTGAAAGGCTTTCTCGACATGAAAGAAAAGAAACGTTTGGCCATCTGATCATGAGTTAACGGAAGATCAAATTGATGTTCTCACTTGGAAAGTGACCTTTTCTGTGGAATGTTTGACCAGAGTGTAAATTAAAGTAGCAAGGTTTTCTCTTTGTTGGAAATTTAATGGCGGTTACCCGTGAGTTGCAGCGAGAAGAGTTGCAGTTTGAACTTTCAATTTGAATCGCTAATAACTTGTATCGCTGGTTAAATTGAAAAAAAAAAATTGCAGAAAAAATTGCCCGTGTAGAGCAGCCTGATAAAAGGAGGCTTGTTAGTTGAGAGAGCCAAAGACTTGCTAAACAAGAAGTCGTATCTCGTAACCATAGCAGCTAACGGTCAGTAAGATGTGTTCCAGAGCCTTCTTACCAATAAATCGGAGTTACGGCGTGAAAAAAAAAAACTCTAAATAATGAGATCTAATGCTGGGAAGGGTTAAAAAAAACGGATGCCTGTCTTAAACATACTCCTAGGTATATGGTGGCAAAATACGAACAGTTACTAGCCTTGATTATGGAGGAGCTAGTTTGAATTCTTCCGCTCAAGAACAGTGAAGAACTGAGCTCATGTTCATGCTGTACGTGCATTCATTTATAAGCTTTTCTTAGGAGAAAATTATTTTGGAAATGCTAATAAACTACCTATAAATTCACTTGGTCTTATCGCTCGCTGTTTAACCTTTGGGTCATTATTGTATATATTTTATATTAAGTAAATTGACTGTCTTTATTTTGCAGAAGAAGGCCAACTCTAATTCCTGGTTCACCGTGATGTTTAAAAGAAGAAGAGAGACACACTTCAACTTAAACCTGTAAAATATTGATCTATAAATTGATTGAATGTATGAATAAAGGAAGCTAAAAAAAGTGCTCGTAGATGTAGAAACTACTTTGTGGTGAGCTTCGTGTCCCTCTGACTGGATTATTCTAAGATGAACAAAGAAGACCAAAAATGCAAAGAAAACTAAAACTTTTCAGCCAAGGTAAACACATAATATTTATTCATGTAAAGCCAACACCGGAATTTCACCAGACGCTGAATCTGAGGACGTTCTCGATTGGGGGCGATCTGAACAAAATGATTTTCAAATGCTACCATTAAAATAACATACTGTTAAATATGGAAGAAGGAGTGATTGTTTCCATTTTCTCAAGGCCAGTATGACGTACGGATATGTAAACTCTTTTACACGACTCATCATCCTAGTTCTCAATTCTTGATTTTAGAATTGCGTGCTGCAAAATGTTCCCGTTTATCTTTTTTTTGTTTTCCGATTAACAATAATAAAATGAACAGATCCAGAGGGTTGTTAAATTGAGTTTTCAATATTTATTTTAACTTAAAGCTGCTCCTCAGAGGTAAATTGAAACATTTCTACGACATTAAATCGTCAAATTTGAGTCCTGTTCGCTCGTTTGAACTGCTACTACAGAAAAGAAAATATTGAACCTAGATAATAGCTAGTTGTGAGTCTGAATTAAGACTACCTCGACTAGGTATGAGCAGCTGCATCATCATTCAGACATCGTCATTGTTAAATCCCACCACACGTTGTATTTCCTTTCTATTTACTAGCTCAACAAAATATTGACCCGACTCCGTTTTGCAGAGTTGATGTTCAGCTGTACTGTTTATTATAAAAGGATATGTTGAAGTAATATCGCGCATTGGAAAAATGATAATCATAAAAAGAAAATTTGAGGGACAAAAATAATAATTATGATACAATATTAAAATAAGGTGATTTAATGATTGGGAAATTGCACTGGTAAATACATGCCGGAAAAAGTAAAAGCAAACCAAAAAAAAGAAAAAACTGTCAGTAGATAAATAAAAGCTGTAACAATATAACCCAAATCAGTCGTCCATCTAAGACATCACCTAAACTAATTGCATCAAGCCGTGAAGAATAGCTGTTCGACCTTCCTTCTATAGCTAGTATCTTCTACTTCCACGGGATTGAAAGACTGCCGGAGAAAATTCTTACGTCAAGCAATATTTCTTTTGCTAAGCAGCAGACTTAATAGAGACCAAATGATTAGCATTTAAATACAGAATTATTGGGTTGGTACTTATGTGCTTGAGAAAGCTAAGAATGGTTATTTAAAGCAAAATTTGAAGAATCGTTAGTAGCAAGTTATATTCCTTTGATTATAACACCTTTGATCGATAGCACCAAAATTAGTTTACTTTAATACCTAGTTGACCACGATATCGTATAGCTGGGTGCTTCATTTTTCCTGTGGTATTAACAAAACAAAACATTTCAAAATTTTCCCCATTTGTCACTAATGAAACCAATCCAATCTTTAGTTTGATTTTCGTGGCAAGATCATGTATTCAATTTTAATAAAATGAAGATTAATACTTAGTTATTACGATCGTTAAAATAAAATAATAATAATAATAATAATAATAATAACAATAATGATATTAATAATAATTGACGTCAATACTAGGCCTTGTACCTTTCAGCAGCAATCAGTTTTTAGCAAGAAAGTATTTTTACTTTAATTGTAAGAACAATTTATTTGAGTGAATAAACACAGAGTAGACATTTTCAGCTGAATAACCAGCACTAAGGACCCTATTAAAATTTAAGAGTTAACCCTTTCTTAAACGTTTATATTCAGCTGCAATTGTTGAGTGACGTAACAAATGGAAAAAAGTCATTCAACTTCAAATGGGTTTTTAAAAAGCAGAGGAGAATTCTTCAGAGTTTTTTTAAAATTAAAGAGATATATACTCAAGTGAGATTAATCTATACTAGTGCATTTGCAAACGGGTATAAAAATAATGCCAATAAAGAATGATACGTTTTTATCACCTTTGATAGCTAAGATTCCCTTCTTCCGTTAGAGCTAGAAAGAAATAGCAAAAAGGCTTTCTCGATGTAAAAGAAAAGAAACGTTTGGCCATCTGATCATGAGTTAACGGATCATCAAATTGATGTTTTCACTTGGAACAAAAACGCTATTATTCACTACCGAACACACGTCAAATGGTAAAAAGCTGTTTACCATTTAAGCGCTTGTAATATCTGAGAATTGAAGCAGGTGATAAAACCCGGATAAAACGTCAGATCCTATAAAACAAGTACACGGCACACGAGCTAGTCAAAACTTTCAGGAGATAGCATCCTCAAGATGAACATCTGGATCGGAATTTCGGTCTTCCTGCTTGGAATTTCAAGCTCTCAAGGTAAGATGCAGAGAAATAACGCTTCCTATGGAAGGATTCGTGCCAAATTCTGCATGAATGTTTTCTGCATGATAAGGGCACTTTCAAGGTAATCATTATCAAAAGTTATATGTTTGAATTAAGTTGCGTGAGCCTTTTTTTTTCTTCTATGATCGGTACCTACAACACAGAGTTGATAGTTCTTAAGTACAAATAACATTTGATAATTGCATTTTTTACAAGATGCAACCCCTCTATTCACATCTTTACGTCATGGAACTCGGCACCGTTTATTTGTCTATTCTAATCCTAACAAGGTTCACTTCTTTATCAAATAAGAAAAATTACCAACAAATAACGTTCCTTTATGCTTTATCAAGGTTGTGGCAAAAAACCATTTTCTGCGAGAGTGGTGAATGGAGAAAATGCCGCGCCACACGCCTGGCCTTGGCAGATTTCTCTAAGAGTGAATGGTCGCCATATTTGTGGAGGATCTCTAATCAAGAACGATTGGGTTGTCACAGCAGCTCACTGTGTATATCGAAATCCTCGTCCAAGTGGCTATACTGTGGTTGTAGGTAGGTATAATAAACTCTTAATTGTCTCTTATCTTGTGCGTGTAATGCTGTAGTCTCACTTTCATTTCGATCAGGGCAAGTTCATCTTTGCTACATACACTTAAAGTCGATTAGGAAAGCAAGTTTGGATAAATCGCATACATTAATTACATTATTAACCATGTGAAGAGTAAAACTTATCAAATACACAAGTTGTAAACCTTTAGAGTTAAAAAGACAAATCCCAGCCAAAACATCAGAGCATTAGCACTCCTAGCCTCAAACGAGCATGGGAAACAATAGTGCCGACGTCTTATTACTCAGTTAGTTATTAGCACTCAGCCGTTGTAAACACGCATTAAAATTTTAATCGTTAGTGATTATAGTTTACAGAGAAAATCCTACGTGCATTTATAGTCACCCACATTGATAGAGAAAAGTTAACTTTTAGCATTTTTTTTTTTAATTATCAACTTACTTCAGTCTATTCTTACAAAACAGACAAAAGTGAAAACGTCTTTTATAAATTCAATTTCCAGGGGCCCACCGCCGAACTGGAAGTACTGCCGTTCAACGAACTTTTCGCCTAAAACGGTTGTTCAAACATGAGCAGTTTAACACGAGGAGCCTACGCAATGACATCGCCCTACTGCAACTGGAGAAACCTATCTCAGCCAGTTCCAAAGTAAACACCGTATGTTTACCAAGGTCCGGGAGTAAGGTAAAGGAAGGAACACGTTGCTATATCACAGGTAATCATCATCATCATCATTATTAGTTACACCTAGTATCTATTTTCTCTAGCATTTATCTCAAAAGGTTACCATAAGCTTTTATTCAAAGATGGCCGAGGATATCTATACGTTCGCTAGTAGAATATTGTCAGTACTATATTTTGTATCAGCTGCAGGCTAGAGGGAAATACGCGGTATAAGGGAGGTCGCGGAATCCGAACTCGTCTATAAAAGCAGTTCTGAAAAGACACGCAATCTATAAGCCCAGGTGCTCCTTCTCCTTTAAAGTATTGGCTTTCATGCGCCACAAAACTGTTTTCGAAAAAAATCACAGCATATAGGATCGGGGCTTGAGGAACAAAAGGGAATAATCGCCCATGTATTTTGTATAGTCCCCCCTCCCCCCTCGATCGATTGCGAAGCTGAACACCTTTTGAAGAAAAAAACACCGCCAGAAGAGAGGCTATTGCAAAATCCATTGGCACCGCGTGGGGAACATTTTGCGGACTCCGGCGGCAATCTATCTAATATCATCCAAACGTAAAGAACTCTTCGAGTCTCTCCCCGAACTGCTTCCTACTGGTACTAAGAAATTCTGTTCGTCTTTTAAACCTGGATTCAAGCAGTCCACCGTTCCAAACAAAATGACTTGGACTCGTTGTGATTCTACTAAAATAATTACAGCCACGAATCCAGGCGACATTGCTAACTTGCTCAAGGACTACTTCTACGCTGTGTTCAAACCTCCGTGTACCAGCTCCGAGTGCGTCTCTAACCTGCAACCCCCGACTTGCATTGATTCCACTGACAATACTCTTTGATTAGGACAATAAGTGATATATCTCTCTCTCTCTCTCCCTCTCCCTCCCCCTCTCTCTCCCTCTCTCTCTCTCTCGCCGACTGAAGTACGTGATGTTCTACCATCTCTGGATCCTAACAAAGCAACAGGCCCAGAAACGATTCCTGCCAAGTTGCTTAAGGTTTGCGCGCTCCACATTTACTCCTCTTTGTGTGCCCTCTTCAACACGTGCTTAATTGCTTTTGGGAAAAATGCCATCCTCTTGGAAAGAATCTAGCATCGTTCCAATATTAAAAGTCGCCTCTGCCAAGGAGGTATCGAACTATAGACCCAATTCACTTTTGCCTCTTGTCTCAAAAGTTCTCGAACGCTGTGTTTACAACAGGGTTATCGATCATATTGGTCCGCAGCTCCACAAGTTGCAGTTCGGGTTTTTAAAATGCAAATCACCACGGCCTAGTTACTTCAAGTTCTTCACCACATAGACGAAAAGCTTAATAAGCGAGTGCAAGTTGATGCTATCTATCTTGACTTCGCAAAAGCCTTCGACGGGGTAAACCACAAACTACTGCTGAAGAAGTACCACCGATTCGGCATTTGCGGTATCCTGTTATCTTGGTTCGAAGACTGACCGCGTCCAAAGGGTCACCGTTCTCGGGGTCAACTTTAAATCTCTCCCTGTGTTATCAGGTGTGCGGCAAGGATCAATCCTTTGTCCACCCTTGTTCCTCATATATGCAAATGATCTTCCTGACGTGCGTCCTCAACAACTGTTGCTCTCTTTGCTGACGACCCGAAGTGCTATCGGTCAATCGGTCAATCCAATTGCGGGCTATTATCTGTTACCAGAAATGCTATCTGATTTCACTTCCCCTATCAATTATCCGATGTCCGAGTTAAGACGATGGAAGCTCAGAAGGACCTTGGGGTTTTAGTTACTAAACATCGAAAATTAAACTCCCAAGTGCTTGAATACTTTCTGGAATACTTTCCCAGCCCACCTCATGAGCACTGACTGTTCAGTAGCGCACTTTAAGAGAGATCTTTTTAATTACTACTTGTATCTCACTAAGTCTGTTTATGATGTCGACACCCCCTAGAGCTTTAACAGTGTGTGCATTAAGTGCCACGGCACTAGTCGTCCATTGAACAGCTTGCTCGATCGTATGTGTTGTTGATTTTTCATCGATGTCCTCCCCAATTTTGTTTTTGCATTTCCATTTATTTTTTTGTCCTTTCTAAAGTATTGTCATTCTTGTTAGTTGTATCACAATCTTTTTTTCTTTTTTTTTTTTCTGAAAGTCGTGGTGAAGCTTGCTCTGTTAGTGATCCAGGCCTCTTGGCGAAGTTTATAAATCAATAAATAAATAAATAAAAAGAAACAAAAAAACAAATCAAAACCAAAATAAAACAAAAGGGCAAGAAATGAGGTGCCTTTATCATGTACATTGTATTGATGTCGCACATTTTTTATAACTTCTACAGGATGGGGACGCACCGTCGCGGGAGGTAGTGCTGCTGATACTCTCCAGCAGGCCATGTTGCCAGTTGCAGCTCATAGAAAATGCAGCAGAGTCAACGGAAGGTTACTTCCTGTTCATATGACATCAATGGTGTGTGCTGGAGGGCAAGGCAAAGGTGGATGTCAGGTACATTGTAACTATCACGAATTGAACTTTAATACACACTGTAACCCTTTATTCTTAAAAAAAAATCGCACCACAAAGCTTTTCATTACATTTGACAATAACTGTCGTAAACAAACGATGAATTCAAACTAGTGCTGTTGTCAATTTCGAATCAATTCTAACCGAAAAAAAAATATGTATTCAACAACAAAAATAACGAGATTAGAGTAATGCTAGGGCAATGAGTAATTATAAAATTTCCAGATTGTGTTACATTTTTAGTTTTAACCAAGCTTTAAATAAGTATCCTAATTATGTATCTCAGGTTTTCTTGCTCTCTGTTTCATACGAAAAGAGTCTAAAAACAAGTTCGTTGTTGGTTTTTGTTGTTGTTGTTGTTGTTGTTGTTTTTTTTTACAAGCTCTCTTTTAATTCCCTTTAATCATTTGTTATTTTCTAGCAATTTTTTCGTTTTTTTTTTTCCTTCCGACATTAAAGTATAGGTATAATTTGTGTTTGTAAGGTACAATACTAAAAAAAAAAACAGTTTAGATTCTTTATTCAATTCTGCCAAGCAATCAAATACAATAAATAGATACATAAATAGATGTTGAATAAAAATATTCAATAGTTAGAGGTGTCGAAAAATACTGAAATAATCAAATGCATTAGTTAAGGTTTGTTAATAGGCTAATCTCTGATTACATTTTCTTTTTTTTTTTTTTTTTTTTGCTCGTAGGCATACATGTATGCTCATCATTATCTGATGAGGCTAATATGATAAAAACTCGAAATATGAAAAAGCATAACAATTTCAGTCATCTCTGAAATTTGAGCCCGATATATACTGAATGGTTTCGGAGAAATTCTCCTTGAAAACCTCGAAATTTTACAAGGAATGTATGGCTCATTTACTTTAATTTTCTGTCACCCCATAGCAATTTCGCAGTTTTTGATGGCTGGTATTTCCATTAATATTGCTTGCAAAGAGCTGAAAAATCTCACATCTTGGTCAAGTTTATCAGCTATTTCAACCTTTGAATTTAGTTTGTATTTAAATGATTCAATAAAGGCGGCTTTTAGGATTTGGAATTTGGCATTAGCAAGCTTTTGTTTGGTGGTGACACTCAGGCAAATCATTGCATTGTTGTGTATGTCCAAATGCCTAATGCTCAAAGCAACCTTTAACCTATATACGGCCACGGCTTCCACGAGTTAAGTCGTAGACTAAAGAAAAAAAAAATCTGTAAACAATGACGTCAGCAAAGACTCGTGATTACTAACCGTATAAGAGCCGGTCCAATGAGAGACCTTAAAGTGCGCAAAATTCTTCACCGCGCAGTTCTCGTTTATGATTTTCATATATTCATAACTACATCATCATCCTTTCACGGGCTTATAACGAACCAATTCAACGACCTAGAGCGCTGCACCGGTATCGCAGAGATCAGGGGTTCGAATCCCGTACAAGCCTGAATTTTTCAGGCTTTCTTTCACCAACTGCAAAATTTGCGTCTATAACTGCAATGATCCTCTTTCATATGATCCCATAAGTCTTTGCGAAAGCTAATTTGACCCAGTTTCCTTCTTGTTTGTTTGTTTGTTTGTTTTGTTTTGTTTTGTTTTGTTTTGTTTGTTTGTTTTTTAATTGGCGAGTTCCTTATTTTATGTTATTTCTTTTTATTTTTTTTTTTTCTAAAATCGGATACATTTACAGTTCTTGACAATTCAATTACCAAAAGGTATTGAATGTGGTGGAATAATGTTATGTGGGCAAAAATTTCACCATATTATAATTTTCACTGTAAATAAGCAGTCAGAGTATTTGCGAAGTGAAAAGAAATCGTAGGAATACCCAAATCATATTTTTTGTCTTTCTTCTTTCCAGGGAGACAGTGGAGGTCCTTTTGTATGCAACGAAGGTGGGAAATATGTTTTACGAGGTGCTGTAAGCTGGGGACATTCTCAATGCAGAACTGATCACTTCACAGTGTTCGCTCGAGTGAGCAGTTTCATTCGCTGGATCAACAGTAAGATGGCAGGTAAATGACAGAGTTGATTCTTTTGATCTTCGGAACAAGAAATTATTGCGTGCAGTTTCTAAGTTGCCGTAAATCCTCTATTAGGCTCCCCTTGAGCGGGGGGGGGGCTTATTTATTTCAAACACATTTTAGGGCGGTGGGGGCTTAATAGAGAAGGGGGGCAAAGACGATGGTATTGGTTCTGCATAAAAAAGCTCAAGTACAAGAAGTTGGAGGTCATGCAGCGGAGGATCAAAAACAAATCCGAAATTCCAGCAAGTGAATAAATTGGCTGTCATGCAAATGCCGCATCACGCAAAAGCTTAGAAATTCAAGAATACTCTATTACAAAACCAAGAACCCTTTTAAGGCAAAATTTGAATGAATATTTATAGTTTTTAGCTGCTCTTATACAACATGAAAGTAAAATCTCGGTAGAATCGATAGTTTTGTTAAGTTTGAGTTTTAGTGACGTCATGTGAAAACCAACAATTATCATTAATCATTATATTAATCATTACCAACAATCATTATTACCGTGTAGAATTATCATGTGAGTTCGCGGCCATCATAAGCCCATATTGTAATTATATTATCAAGACTAGTTCATCCTAAGTTGAAAAGACCTGACTCATTATAAGCCTCGCGGTTTCTTTCAGGTCTCCTCGCCATTTACTTTTTCTTTAATCTCATTATTCCAACTTTAAATTGTAAAATTTTGTATACATATGGCAAATAAAAATGAATGAATGAATGAATGTATTTTTCTTTCTTAGGTAGAAGTGGCGGTGGTGGTGGTGGTGGAGGAGAAAGTAAGTAAATTTTAAAACTATTCAAATGATTTTATAATGCTAATTAAGGGTAAGATAATAATAATAATAAGAAGAAGAAGAAGAAGAAGAAGAAGAATGATAATAATAATAATAACAGTGATAATGATTAATATAATGATAATGATAGTGATACTGATAATAACAGTTACGAGTGGGTGGACCGCACAACTTGCAATCCAGATTTCAATTTTTGTTTTGTGCATGTTTGTTTGTTTTGTGTTGTTTTGTTTTTTGCTTTTATATAAAACTTTTGTGGACATTTCAACGCCCATAAGTTCTTAGTCTTTTGTGTCAATAAACTCAAAAAAGGCTTGTTCGTTTCTTTTCCTATCTGATATTGTGTAAGTTGTGTCCCATAATGTTTTTTTTTATTATTATATCAATCACGTCAAGAGCAAAGAGTCTTCTTGTTTTGTTCGTTTGTTATTAACGCGTTCCCGCTAGTTCTGTCGATCTTCCTGTAGAAATTGTTAAGTGAAAAACAAACCTTGGGTGAGTACCTTTTTTTATCAAGTAAAGGTCTTCATCTCTACAGGCATGAAAGTGACGTTTTCTCTGGAATGTTTGGCTTGAGTGTAAATTAAAGTAGCAAGGTTTCTCTTTCTTGGAAATTTAATGGCGGTTTCCCGTGAGTTGACGCGAGAAGTGTTGCAGTTTGGACTTTCAATTTGAATCGCTAATAACTTGCATGGCTGGTTAAATTGAAAAAAAAAAAATTGAAAAAAAAATTTGCCCGTGTAGGGTAGCCTGATAAAAGGAGGCTTGTTGGCTGAGAGAGCGAAAGACTTGCTAAACAAGAAGTCGTATCTCGTAACCATAGCAGCTAACGGTCATTAGGATGTGTTCCAGAGCCTTCTTACCAATAAATCGGAGTTGCGGCGTGAAAAAAAAAATATAACTGATGAGATCTAATGCTGGGAAGGGTTAAAAAAACGAATGCATGTCTTAAACATACTCCCAGGTGTATGGTGGCAAAATACGAACAGTTACTTAGTGTTAATGATGGAGGAACTAGTTTGAATTCTCCCGCTCAAGAACAGTGAAGAACTGAGCTCATGTTCATGCTGTACGTGCATTCATTTATAAGCTTTTCTTAGGAGAAAATTATTTTGGAAATGCTAGTAAACGTATACCCATAAATTCACTTGGTCTTATCGCTCGCGGTTTAACCTTTGAGTCATTATTGTATACCCATGTTTTAAGTAAATTTACTGTCTTTATTTGCAGAAGAAGACCAACTCTAATTCCTGATTCACCGTGATGTTTAAAAGAAGAAGAGAACCACACTTCAACGTAAACCTGTGAAATATTGAATTACAAATTGATTGAATGTATGAATAAAGGAAGCTAAAAAAAAGTATTTGTAGATGTAGGAACTACTTTGTGGTGAACTTCATGTCCTTCTGAGTGAATTACCCTAAAATCAACAAAGAAAACCGAAAACGTCCAAAAAAAAAGAAAATTTTCAGCCAAGGTAAACACACAATATTTATTCATGTAAAAACAACACCGGAATTTGAGTAGACGCTGAATCTGAGGACTTTCTCATTCGGGGGCGATCTGAACAAAACGATTTTCGAATGGTACTATTGAAATAGATACTGTTAAATATGGAGAAAGGAGTGACTGTTTCCATTTTCTCGAGGCCCGTATGACGTACAGATGTGCAAACTCATCAGGAATAAAACCTGCAAATCAGGGGTAAAAGTAGTCAATTTCATGTTTCATACTACGGAAGGCCATTTCCGTGTTCCAAAGCCCTAACTTTCAAAACAAGGCTAAGTACAAAGCCTTTCTTGTGATAATGAATTTCATTTGCATGAGAATGAAAAATTATTTTCATATCATTGGCTTCCCACTTAGCCTCGTTTTGAAGCAGAGGTTTGGGGCAACTCGGAAATAGTCTATTATGATGCTAGGCCTAACAATTATTTTCTGCATTCCTTACAATATGATATAATATCTATTATTAAAAACTGAATCATTGGATAATGCAATTCTAGAGCTCTGATTGGCTTAGCCATCATGGTATATAAGCCATTGTACCATGTTCTCAAATATGGTAACTGTGCGCGTCTGCTCAAAATAAAAAACAAACTGAAAACAGTTGTTGCGTTCGAGGTACGAGAACGCAACCCCTAATTTGTGGTGGGTGATCTGTGCATTATTGGGTGTCCTGTGAAATCAATAAGGGAGGTTTTTTCGAGATTGCATTCGTCGTCGTCGTCAACACACATTTGCCTCGCTTTGAGGCGCTTGCTTACGTTTTGCCTCACTTTGACGCGCTCATTCACGTGGTGATTCCTGTGTCCTCCGCGTCCATGTTTCAAACGTTTGCTGCGGTCTGCTATTCTGTCTTCGTAAATCGTTCATTTTTTAAAAGTGTGCTGAATCTTCGTAAAGCGTACATATTTAAGAGTTTGTTGAAGGTCTACTATCGATCTTTGTTTAATGAATCTTCCAAAGCGTTCATCTTTCAAAAGTGTGCTGAAAGTTAATTACACCCTTAGTTAAATTTTACTTTGGATTAACTCAAGCCTTCATATTTTTCTTTGGAAAATGCGTGCCACTCCTGGTGCATGCATCAAACCGGGTTGTTTAGCTCGACGTTCGTTATGTCACAAAATAAATTTACCGGCGAGTTGTGAGCTCAGCATCTGTCGTTTCACAAAGTAAATCTACTGAGTTGTATAGCTAAGCGGCCGTTGTGCTACGGAGTAAATCTACCGAGTTGTGTAGCTCGGCGGCCGTTATTCCACAAAGTAAATATACCGAGATGTGACGCTCGGTGGCGGCCGTTATTCCACAAAGTAAATCTACCGAGATGTGAAGCTCGGCGGCACCATTTCATAATGACTTGTGATATCTTCGGCACTGACAAACGAAAATTTTAGCTCCATGTTATTTATTGGGAAAAACGCGACCAGCCCACAGTAGCGCCACCCAAACCACTGAAATCAATACACTCGACCAAATTACTGGAAAAGTTATTGACCTGATCTGAGCCACACACACATTCCAGTAAAGGCTCTGATGATTCCCTTGAAACGTGTGAAATTGAGAGGTGTAGTGTAAGTGAACCAGTGTTCAAACACAATCATTGTGCCCCGGCATTCACCACAAGAATGTGGTCTTGGGTCGTTCTTTAATATCATCGCAAGTTAAGAAGACTTGCCAGTAACGGTTTCCGGCATTTTATAGTAAATTTCAGTAATTCTCTACATAGTGGAATTCCCAAAATAAATAAAATTAATGATTACATCTAAAACTTTGCCAACTGTTTGCTTTTTAACAGTACCTGGGCCGGGTTGTTCAAAGCTGGGTTAAGATAACCCAGGCGAGGAGGGTTAGTGCGAAATTTGAACTCAGATGTGAAAGCTTCATTTTGCCAACAAGTTGATGATTGGACGCTCTTAAAAATAACTGAGAAAATTATCCAAAGAAATGTATTTTAGCGGAGCTCTGGCGCGCGAAGCGCGCCTGCGGAGCACCATGGGTAAGTAAATCTACCCATCCCAGAAAATTTGATAATCACGTGACCGTACACCGCCCGCCCGCTGCCCGTCCGTCCGCACCACAGGGCAACCAATGTTCAATCCCACACCTTCTATCTAGTTTAGGAGCACAGGAAGACTGATATTGCACACATATTGCACATCAATGTTGTGATCAATTGACAGCTGTCAAATTAAAACAGGGTATCCGCTGACCAGTATCACCTGACCGCAGCTGTCGACCCATCGAGGTCGAATATTTTTTGAAGTTATCCGCTGACAAGTTATTAGTTTTCAAATGATTGCAGGCTCAACTTTAATTTTTTAAAATTCATATGAAATATGTTGTGTTTTATTTGTGCCACACAATTACAATTTTGATTTCAAACTGACCTCAGAAGCTAAGATTCAGCCAGTTTTTACATGCAGGGAAGACATGCCAGATGCTTTTGACTTTTCTCACTAAGGTCACGCGTTGGTCACGCTCTACGTCCAATTTTTATGCTCTGATTGGTCAAAATTTGACAAGTGAGTTCATGCGGAAAATTTATGCAGCATCTTGAAACCTGTTTACTTTGACAGCTGAAGCTGACAGAGTTTTGTGTCAACTTGTGATGTTTTTGACTGTCTTTTTCCACTGAACATTGTACAAAATGAAATTCAGCTGCTATCAAGAGTCTTCTGTTGTTCATAGCTAGTTTGTTTATCGGGTTTTTGGTTGAGAAATACGTCGCTTGTCAAGGTCAGAAATCCGATTTCGGATGGCATCGTTTTCGTTTTTCACCTTGCTTGATGCGTAAGAGGATTGAAAAGTCGATTTTTGCCTTACTTGATAGTTTTCAGTGCATCTCCAATGGTAAGCCTGAGTAATTATTTTATTTGATATTTGTTTTTTATATCTAATTCAATGAAGTCGAGTGTAGTTTATGGGGCTATTTAGTTTATGCGCGTTTGTAAGATTTGAGACAATGATCTGACCGAGTATCAGGTTTGATTATAAACGTATAGAACTTTAAAAACCCTTCAGACATTTTCTCACCGCAAATAGAAAGAAAACGTTCCAAAGAATATTTAGTTATAATTCTAGCTGTAAAAGAAAGCTTTGAGCGATTTTCTTGCCTCGAGTTCATCTTTGAAAAAAGCAAACAATGGGAAGCTGGCTTAAAACATCAACAATAAACAAGGATTTTCAGAGACACTTTAATACTTGTCTTCGTGAATGAAAATTGTCGTCTTTGTATATGTTTCACCGAATTATTTTCCTTTTATTACTGATTGTTAGTAGTCTCTTTGCAATTTTAATCGCTGTGCCATTTTTTTTCAGTCGCTCATGAACATCGCTTGCAGGAGTAGTCAAAATGCCACGCGTATCAAACGCTTTTGAAGATTACACATCGTTATAAAACCATTAGATAAAAAATAAACATAATAAATTCTTTGTTATGTTGAAGCAAATAACTCTGTTAATCTTAATTTAGATAGTCGACTTTGGCGCTTGTCAAAAGTGAGAACCCGCCGGCTAGCCGTATAGGTGATATTGGAAATTTTTTAAACGGTTTCGCTAAAAGGCCACGCGAAGCCCACGCGTGCTTCGATCGTCCTAAATATTGAATGAATGCAATTTGTAATGTAAAATTGTGAAATACTGCATTCTGTCCGAGTTCTGTATGATAAAAACAGCGCCTCATGGTACTGTTTCACCTCAGATGTGATGTATAAAAAGTATAAAAGGTTGGTTTACACGACCCCAGACTTGTTGGCAAGATTTTGTAAAGTAAACTTGTCGAACGCAAAAAAATTCGGCGTGATTTGTTTTCCAGGCCTAATCTACTGTGATCAAGAGCCATTATGGCTATGCTATTTTTAGGGTGTACATATAAGGCTATCAACTCGATGTAAGATTAAGTTCACTCTTAGCTTGGACTGTTTGCAAATTATTTTTCTCTAAAATCATTTAGCCTTCCCTCAAAAGTCACATGAATGTGCTCTAAAGTTAACTGATTTGTGGAAATTACAAGTTTATTGTTTGATTTGAATTACAAATTCGAGTTAATAGGAGCTTCGCTTTTAGTCCTGGCTAAATCTATATATTAACAAAGAAAAAGAAACTCGGGTTAAGCGCTGATCGGCCTTCGAACAACTGCGCCCTGTAGAACATCTATTGCGCCAGTAAAACAAAAAAGTTCTTTTTACACGCCCGAAGCACTCTGGCATGTGTCTCCTCAAATAACAAGCACTTGAGACGAACCATACGATATCGCACTGATCACTAGCCTTCAAAACCTTTTTATTATCATACACAGGTCTCGCTGTATACAACACTTACGTTCAAAATATGCCATAATCATAGTTATCTATCGCAAGGACCACCACCCTTTCCCCCTCAATTGGTACCTGTACGCCTAGCAAACATATCGAGCGCATTCTCCTAAGCTCCGATTACTCCTAGTTTTTACAAATAAAGTCGGGAAGAATTCTCGATATTTTGTGGGCGCTTTTGATAAAACAATTAGTCCACTTGCGCTCGTGGAATAATTGTTACATTATACTTCTCTGTTGAAACCGCGGTTGAATACAATGCGGTGAGTTAACTGAAAATCAGGGTCGCCTCCTTTTTTTTTTTTTTTTTTTTTCATACATAACGCCTCTTTTCTTATAGTAAATGAAAAAGATTCATTGTAGACAGCGGAATTACGCTCGAAAAGCTCTTGAATATCTAATGGCGTAGCTTCAGTTTCCTTAATATACTGAAATCTTGTGCGCAAATATGAAGCTCAATGTCTCAAGGATTACAGTCGACTCCGGATAACTCGAACTTTCAAGGGAAATCGAAAAAAGGTTCGAGTTATTGGGAGTTCGAAGAAAATAGCCGAGAGTAAGGTGAAAAACAGTTTTTACTGCACAGTTAACATTTTTAACATTTAATTGCAGAAATGTCAAGTGAAAATTAAAAGATACTTCTAGATTATAAATCAGAACGTAACGTAACAAAACATTGCTTGACTGAAAAAGAGCATGCGTTTTGCTGTTTTGAGAAGAAAAGCTGCTTCACGTTAGCCTGCGACAATCAACATCAGCCTCCACAAGTAAACTATACTCCTACAACAAGTCAATAGGAAATCCAAAATCAATGTTTCGGACGCCCGTAGACAGCTTTTTTCCCGACTTTTTAAGGGCTCAAAACATGTTTCGAGTTATCGAGGGTAAAATTATTTAGAAAATGACCTGAGGGAAAACGAAAATTGGTTCGAGTTAGCGGGAGCTCGAGTTATCGATGTTTCGAGTTACTGAGCTAGAGCAAAATTACAGTGTATGTATGACGGAAATCCAAGGAAAATCGAAATCGATTTTGGTTGGAGTTAGCGCAAGGTTCGAGTTAGCGAGTGTTCGAGTTATCGGGAGTCGACTGTACTTTGTAATCGAAAGACTGAAACCAAATGCAAAAATTGCATGAAAGAAAGTTACACTTGGTCTGTTTATAACCCATTGTAACCTTTGCTTCTCTTTTACACGGCTCCTCATCCTAGTTCTCGATTCTTGAGCTTAGAATTGCTTGCTGCAAAATGTTCCCGTTTATCTTTTTTAATGTTTTCCGATTAAAAATAATAAAATGAACAGATCCAGAGGGTTTTTAAATTAAGTTTTCAATATGTATTTTAATTTTTCAAAGCTGCTGCTTAGAAGTAAATTGAAACACTCCTACCGACATTAAATTAGCAAATTTGAGTCATGTTCGTTCGTTTGAACCGCTACCACAGAAAAGAAAATGTTGAACCTATAGATAATAGCTAACAGTGTGTGTCTGAGTAAAGACTACCTCGATTAGGTATGAGCAGCTGCATCATCATTCAGAGATCGTCATTGTTAAATCCTACTACAGGTCGTAATTCCTTTTTGTTTATATTACTAGCCAGCTCAACGAAATATTGACGCGACTGTGTTTTCCAGAGTTGATGTTCAGCTGTGCAGTTTAGTGACGGCTTTTAATGGTGTTTAAAAATATGATTTATATAATAAGAGGATATGTTGAAGCAATATCGTGCATTCAGGGAAAAATGATTATGAAAAGAAAATTTGAAGAACAAAAATAATAATAATAATAATAATATATTAAAATAAGATGATTTAATGACTGGGAAATTGCAATGGTAAATACATGTAAGAAGTAAAGGAAAAAACAAACCCCGCAAAAAACTGTCAGTAGATAAATAAAAGCTGTGACAAGTGTAACCCAAATCAATCATCCATCTAAGACGTTCTCACCTCAACTAATTGGATCAGTCCAGTAGCTGTTCCACCTTCCTTCTATAGCTAGTATCTTCTACTTCAATTCCACGGGATTGAAAGACTGCCACGGAAAATTCTTACGTCTAGCAATATTTCTTTTGCTAAGCAACAGACTTAATGGAGTTCCAAACGATTAATATTTAAATACAAAATTAATGGGTTGGTACTTTTGTGGTTGAGAAAGCTAGGAATGGTTTTTTGAAGCAAAATTAGAAGAATTATTAATAGAAAGTGATATTCCTTTCGATAGCGCACCTACTTGGATGGTCAGCGGTGGTGAAAACAAGATGGCCGCGATTTTTCTTCGTGCGACACTCTAAGGAAATTTTCAACATTTTACTTATTTTTCTGTTGTGTAAGTCTGTCTAGTTGTCATTTCTGTGTTAATGTGTCTGCAAATCATACAATTGTGGAAGAACTAAGCGTTACTTTTGACGAAAAGCTTGCTCCTTTAAAAGTTGAGATTGCCGAGCTTAGATATTTTATTGAAAATGCAAACCAAAAATACGATCAGGTTCTGGAGAAACTCACTGAGCAAGAAAAGGCATGTAAAGAAATCAAAAAGGAGAATAATTTCTTGAAATCTACTGTAAATACATGCACTTGATTCTCAGAACAAGAAACTAATGGAAAATTTAATATTAGACTTCAAGGACCAAATATCTGGAACACAATTGATGATAAGATTGAAGCTGTTTCTTTTTCTCAATTCAAATCAAAATTAAAACAACATATCTTTCGCTGTACTAATATTGGCAATTATCTTGTACTTCGTAACTTCCATCCTACTTTTTCACTCTTCTTACAGTAATACGTGCTAGTGCATGATGTGTATATCTGTGTGTTTACGTGTATACAGTCTGATTTGCTGCCATATTGTACCCCGCACCATGAACTTATTTAAATTATCTTACTGAATCTGGCTTCTTGGCATTTTTAACTTATTAGTTATTTCAGAAAGTCAGTACCCCTTTTAGCTAACTGATTAATTTAACAACTTGTAAATAACTATAATATGCTGCTTTGGGTACAATAAAATTTTTTAAAATTTGTTCTTTTCTTTGTTGTTGTTGTTTTACTTGACGACGATATCGTGTGTATAGCCGACTGCTTCACTTTTCACTATTTATACCAATTGATACCAATTTAATCTTTGATTTGTGATTTGTGCAATATCACGCCATGTATTCACGATCAATTTTAATAAAATGAAGATTAATACTTAGTTATTATTATCATTAATAATAATAATGATACTACTACTACTACTACTACTACTACTACTAATAATAATAATAATAACAATAATTGCCTTCATTCTTGTACCTTGCAGTAGCAATCAGTTTTTAGGAAGAAAGTATATTTACTTTAATTGCAAGAAGAATTTCTTTGAGTGAATAAACACAGATCGAGTCGACATTTTCAGCTGAATAACCAGCACTACTGCCCCATAAAAACTTGAGTTAACCCTTTCCAAAACGTTATATTCAGCTGCAATTGATGATTGACGTAACAAACAAAAGAAAAAGTCATTCAATTCAAAACGGATTTTTAAAAAAGCGGAGTAAAGTTATTCAGAGTTTTTGTTAAATATTTACTAAAATGAGATTAATCTAGTGCATTTGCAAACGGGCATAAAAATAAAGCCAAAACAATGATATGTTTTTATCACCTTTGCTGATAGCAAAAAATTACCTTCTTCCGTTATAGGTAGAAAAAATAGCAGAAAGGCTTTCTCGACATGAAAGAAAAGAAAGGTTTGGCCATCTGATCATGAGTTGACGGAAGATCAAATTGATGTTTTCTCTTAGAACAAAAACGTTATTATTCACTTCTGAGCACATGTCAAATGGTAAAAAGCTGTTTACCAGTGTTTTAAAATAAGCGCTTGTTACTTTGAGAATTGAAGCAACAGGTGATAAAACCCTGATAAAACATCAGATCCCATAAAAACAGGTCGGCGCAAGAGCTAGTCAATACTCTCTGGAGATAGCATCCTCAAAGATGAACCTCTGGATCGGAATTTCAGTCTTCCTGCTTGGAATTTCAAGCTCTCAAGGTAAGATGCAGCCAACTAATGCTTCCTATCGAAGGAATCTTGCCAAATTTTGTATGAATGTTTTCTGTTTTTCAGTAACCTTTTAACTTTTGTAACGAGAAAAATGTATTTGAAACGACGAATTGTAGTGGTACCTAACTGATTCGATTTCTTTCGGTGTGGGTGTGTGGGACCCTTTTGTATTCCCTTTCAAGAAAAATCCCATGAAATCTTGGTCTAAATGTAATCAAATGTTTCTTCAACAAATGTTAAAAATTCATAAAAAGTAGAGCACATTACAGGAGAGACCTTCCAACGAGCCCCTTACGACAGATACTCCCTCTTTTCTCGAAAAATGCCCTAGATTGGAATAAAATTAGTCAAGGACTTTTTGGTATCATCCCACACGTACCCCTTGATTTGTTTAAGTCCGAACCGTTCCGGTTACCTGAAGGTGATCGCCATTTGCATTTTTCCGCGTGCTATTGCGAGCACGCCATGCGACAATTGCCCCCTTAAGCCTCTTCCTACCTGGCGGGGTCCAATCGGGCCCCAGATGATGATTGAGAATCGCTATTAATAGCTGGCATGGTTCAAAAAATTTTCTGGGTTTTTAGGAATTTGACTCCATGTAAAGGCCACTAAATGCATGATATTTTTAAATTCCAGAGGACTATGAAAAGTTGGCTCTCTTTTTCCCATTGGGTGGCAATTAGACCCCAACAATAAAAATAACAGCTGCAACAGGAATAGCAACATAAACAAAAAACAAACAAACAAACACATCTAAGCATCTTATACCACAGTTGATATTCCCCTCCGCTATCGCGTGTCTCCCGCGTGACTTCTCGCCACTGCCCCGAATTGAGAACTGGCTGGGAAATGACACGCCTATTGACATAAAATTGGCAACCAACGTAACAATCCTGAAAAAATGGTACAAATGTCCAATATCATAAAATGTTCGGCAAGCAACGTTATAATTTGACTTAGTAATACTTAGTAATGTAGATTAGTCTTTCGCTGAATACTTAATACTTATTTAATGTGTGCATCTGAATAAACAGCTGTGCAGGCTTTCAGAAAATGCTAATTTAACGCTCACGTCTTTTTTGAACTCAATGTCAACTTGCGAAATCAAAACTAACACAGTCAGTCTAATCACCTAAAATTCTGACATTCTTTCAATGGCGATATCAAAATGACAACAAAATGAACAACAATAACAACGTTACCACAGCGTCATGTTCAAGTTGAAATGGGTTACTTCTAAATTTAGTAATTTCATCCATCTGGTGCTTGAAAATAAACTACTTCTTGATTGCAAATGATTGTCCTGTTTTATCATCACAAACACAAACATTTGCTCCGCATGATCTGAGTCAATGAACGACGAAATCAATGTTTACATTGCAATAGTACAAAAGAGCGGTACCCGAAAGGAAGTCTATTGAATCGACGCTCATGATTCGCTAACATTTAAAAGACCGCCTTAAAAAACCCATTTAAACGATTGTAAATACGAAACCCATAGAAAGTTACAACGTTGAACAGGTGATAGACCACTGATAAAACATTGCTCTCTACAAAACAAGTATCTACTTGAGCTTTGAAGCATTTCCTAAAGATGAATCTCTGGATATCGGACTTATAGTCTTTCTGTTTGGGATTTCTAGCACCCAAGGTAGGGAAAGGCCTGAACTACTGAGTGTAAAAATTATTATAAACGCGTGAATTTTCCATTAAAAAGGGTCGGCCAGGGTTTTGGGGTATACGAGTATATTGGGGTATTTAATTTCAGGTGTACAGTATTTTCATGCTTAAAATAGGGTATAAAGTATTCACGAACGCCTAATTTTGGGTATAAAGTCTAAAGTGGCTTTCTTGATTTTGGTATATTGGAATGTTTATTCTAAGTATTTTGGTATTCCACTCCACACTTTTATGCAATTATTATTATTTTTATATATAATGCCACATTTCAAAAAAAGCGATTTCCTTTTTTCTCACCAAAACTTCTAACGAGCGATTTTGCTTCATTTTAAACACATTTTAGGCTGCGGAAGCAAGCCATATTCTGCGCGAGTGGTGAATGGAGAAAATGCCTCCCCACACGCCTGGCCTTGGCAGATTTCTCTAAGAGTGAATGGTCGCCATATTTGTGGAGGATCTCTAATCAAGAATGATTGGGTCGTCACAGCGGCTCATTGCGTAGATCGAAATCCTAGACCAAGTGGCTATACTGTCGTTGTAGGTAAGTATTTTTGTTTCTCTTTCTTTTTTCTTCTTCTTCTTCTTCTTCTTTTTTTTTAATTCCTGCTTCTTAAAATAAGTGATACTGCAGGTCATAAACGTTTTTTTTAACAAACTTATAGGCATAACACACCTTGCGTTTATAAGCCAGGCTTGCCAAAATAATATATAGATTTAGCGAGGGCTAAAAGCGAGGCTTCCATGCATTAATAAATTTATAATTTAAATCAAACAATAAACTTGTATTCCACAATTCAGTTAACTTTAGAGCACATTCATGTGACTTTTCAGGGAAAGGCTAAGTGATTTTAGACAAAAATAATTTGCAAACAACCCCAGAATGAACCAAATCTTACATCGAGTTGATGGCCTCATATGTACACCCAAAAACTGGCAATCGTCTTCGATCACATTTTTTAAGAGCCATAATGGCTCTTGATCACCGTAGGTTAATTAGGCCTGGAAAAGAGTTCCGGCCGAATTTTTTGCGTTCGACAAGTTTACTTTACAAAATATTGCCAACAAATCTGGGTTCGTGTAAACCAAATATCATTTATACATCACATTTGAGGTGAAACAGTACTATATATGAGGCACTTCTTTTATCATACAGACCTCGGAAAACAGAATGCAGTATTTGACAGTTTTGCAATACAAATTGCTATCATTCAATATTCAGGACGATCCAAGCACGCGTGGGCTTTAGCTAAACCGTTAAAAAAATTTCCAAAATCACCTATACAGCCAGCCGGTTCTGACTTTTGCAGTGCTAGCTGTGGCGAGTGTTTGAATGAACATTAACACAGTTAAGCTCCAATATAATAAATAATTTATTATGTTTATTTTTTATTTTAAAATGGTTTAACGCGCGGCACTTTGAGTACTCTGGGAAGCGTTGTTCACTGAACGACCACAGGCGGCCCAGACGTAGTATGTGTCGCTGAATGAATATATTAATATTCACATGGCAAATTAATGCGATGAGTCGTCGAAACTCCCATGAACTAAAATAGTCTAAAAGTCAAAATATAACAAAAGAAAGCTAAGACACCTTCAACTGAACGTATCCTTGTCTTTCCTGGCCGGTTTAAATGGCATTTTGTTGAGTTTTGCAATTGTAGGTACTATCCACTAAAGAAGAATTAAAGGCTGGCTACAAAACAAACAGGCCATCTCCACGCGCCCTCACACGAAGCGCTATAAATTCGAGAATAATCGACGAATCAGCTCCAAATTGCCATCGGCTAATCTGCAGGTAACGTGTGCTCCTGCTTCTGGCTCGCTTGCTCCACAAAACCCATCGCAACTGCACAATAATTGCTCGCTCATAAACAACCACTGTTGACCTTTACGCTTCGATATGACCGTAAACGACCAGGTTTAATACGCGACGTGAATATTCAAGCTTAGCGACCGCGTTCGCGCAACAATGCAGCACTTGCTATGGGAGGGATGGTACTATTGCTTCTAGGTCAATCGACTGACTGAAGGTTCGCTGCGTTAGTTTTGACCAGAAAACAAAAGGCGATCGCGGGACCGTCCGTAAGTTTTTAACAGGGCAGCCCTGGTTTTCAAGTTCGAATTCTTCTAACGTTCGCTGTCTCAGCTGCTGTCAGATTGTTCGTCCAGCCGCTTGCATAGGTTCTTGACTCTACCAGACTTATTTGCTTAGATTAACAACGTCTTACTCCATAATATGTTGTCCAAACTGGTGAAGGAGGACGAGAATTTTCCACCCAGGAAAAAGGGAAAATCTGGCCCCCGCTATGCAACTGAATAGAAGATACAGCTGAAGATATCGTAAAGTAAAATTTATGTGCGCGATATCTTTTATTATTATTATTATTATTATTGTTATTATTATTATTATTATTATTATTATTATTCTCAAAATTCAGGGGCACCCAACGATGATTTCCCCCTAAATACATTGAAAACACATTTAGGGCTGTCCAGAGTACTTTTGATCGAAAAATGCATTCTAAACAGCACTTACATAAATTTAGTCAGGGGGGCTAAAAGCGAAGCTAATGATTTATAGTTTGCTCATACTAAATATAAAATATATCGTGTAATGCTAAGCGGAGAAGGCAACGAGACAGGGCCACCCAAAGACTGTTTCCTCAAATACTTTCAATTGAAAACACTTTTGTAGCTATTCATAAAGTACTTTTAGCTCTATAGAAGTGCATTCTAAGTGGCGCTATAAAATTTGCATCTCAGTGTTCGGCCATTCTAGAGGAACTTGAGTATTTTCGAAATTACGAGGAATTCAGAATTATTTTCCCGAAAATTTTAGATGCAATTTAACGTATTACGAAGGAGATATTTTTTTAGATACCTTCTTTCATCACACTTTTGAATCCGAAAGTTTTAGGATTCCATTTTACTCTCTACGAAAAATAGCCTAACCCGGTGAGTGAAATGTGAAAAATTAAAAGTTGGATGCCCTTGACCAGAGCTGTGAAAAACAACAATAGGTCTAATTGCAGCACACTTTCTTGTACATTTCCTTGCCGTTGGTTTGCATGACTGCAACGTAAAACGTCCAGAAAACTTCCTGGTTTTCACTTTTTATGGAGAAAATGTGGTACATGTTCTTGTTCACTTTTTCGACTGCCGCTCATTTTTTTTAGCTCCGCTGTAAGATTCGTATCTGGTCGGTGCTCCTAGGGCAAATTGGATCTTTTAAAAAATTACAAGGGCTTCAATATTATTTTCCCGATTGATTGACCTAGAAGCAATAGTACCATCCCTCCCATAGCAAGTGCGGTATTGTTGCGCGAACGCGGTCGCTAAGCTTGAATATTCACGTCGCGTATTAAACCTGGTCGAAGCATAAAGGTCAACAGTGGTTGTTGATGAGCGAGCAATTATTGTGCAGTTGCGATGGGTTTTGTGGAAAAAGCGAGCCAGAAGCAGGAGCACACGTTACCTGCAGATTAGCCGATGGCAATTTGGAGCTGATTTGTCGATTATTCTCGAATTTATAGCGCTTCGAGTGAAGGCGCGTGGAGATGGTCTGTTTGTTTTGTAGCCAGCCTTTAATTCTTCTTTAGTGGATAGTACCTACAATTGCAAAACTCAACAAAATGCCACTTAAACCGGCCAGGAAAGACAAGGATACGTTCAGTTGAAGGTATCTTAGCTTTCTTTTGTTATATTTTGACTTTTAGACTATTTTAGTTCATGAGAGTTTCGACGACTCATCGCATTAATTTGTCCATGTGAATATTAATATATTCATTCAGCGACACATACTACGCCTGGGCAGCCTGTGTCGGCACAGCGATTAAACTTACATGAGAGACTACTAATAATCAACAAAAGAAATAAAATTCGGTGAAACATATACCGAGACGACAATTTTCATTCAGGAAGACAAGTATTAAAGTGTCTCTAAAAATCCTGAGTCTTCGAGCTTAAAGCTGAAGTTTTTGTTTTAAGCCGGCTTCCCGGTGTTTGCTTTTTTCAAAGACGAACTCGAGGCAAGAAAATCGCTCAGAGCTTCTTTTACAGCCTGAATTATAACTAAAAATTCTTTGCAACGTGTTCTTTCTATTTGCGGTGAGAAAAAAGATCTGTAAGCTTATATAAACCTGATACTCGCTCAGATCATTGTCTCAGATCTTACAAACGTGCGTAAACAAAATAGCCGCATAAACTACGCTCGACTTCATTAAATTACAAATAAAAAACAAACATCAAATACAATAATTACTCGGGCTTACCACTCGAGATGCAGCTCCTCAAAGGTATCAAGTAAGGCCAGTATCGCTGCAGACTTTGAAACCCTCTTACGCATTAAGCAAGATGAAAACGAAAACGATGCAATCCGAAATCGGATTTCCAACTTTGACAAGTGACGTATTTCTCAACCAAAAACCCAATAAACAAACTAGCCATGGATAACAGAAGACTTCCGATAGCAGCTGAATTTCATTTTGTACATCCAGTGGAAAAGGACAGTTAAAAAAATCACAAGTTGACTCAAAACTCTGTATAAAAGATGAGCCAAGACACGCCTGAGACACCCCTCCCTTCCTTTTGATAGTCTTCCCCTACACTACTCGTACAATCTGTAGACGCGTACGTACGTACGTACGTACGTAGGCTCGGTCAGTCACGTGACAACCAAACGAAAAGAGGTTGACCATATTCCATGAGTATGGGGCTCTGTCCCACGCGCGCTTCGCGCGCGCGGGAGCCCCGCTATAAACTTTCTTCTACTCCTGTTCAAGTAGCTATTACTTATCATTACTATTATTATTATTATTATTATTATTATTATTATTATTATTATTATTATTATTACTAATATTGTTTCTTTATTTTTTTTTTTCCTCTTTTTTTTTTTTTTTTACTTTTTTAACCATGCGAAGGCTAAGCTTTTTTTTGTTATTTTTGCGTGTAAAAGAAATCCCGATTAACCTAACAGCCTCACGTTACATTTAAACAATAAAAAAATATATATAGTAAATCTACTAATATGTGGATTGTAAAAACAATTTATGTAGGGGCCCATCGACGAACTGGATCAACTGCCGTTCAGCAAACCTTTCGTCTAAAAAAGCTGTTCAAACACGAGCAGTTTAGCATGAGACATCTGAGAAATGATATCGCCCTACTGCAACTGTACAGACCAATTTCAGCTAGTTCTAAAGTTAACACTGTGTGTTTGCCGTCATCTGGAAGCAGGATACCTACAGGAACACGATGCTATATCACAGGTACTCCAGTTCGAAATTGGTTGTGATTAGAATACATTAAAATCAGGTACATTACTAGTGATTAGGGTAAATCACTGTTTTAAAAACGGTTAGCATTCAATAATATAACAATCAATGCCATGTAAAGTACGTTAAAATTAATCTGCATCGGCAGTCAGCCCTTGATGGTTTAGAGCATACGGATGTGGATTATACATCAAATGTGCGGGTTCAAGTTTAACATACCACCTAACTTTTTCTTCCGTTTTGTTTCTTCTCTTATTTACCACATTAAGTTATAAGAGTCCCATCATGTATTTTAAGTGAAGATGACAATCTGACTTTAGGATATCCATTCTAGTCACAATCGTTCGAAATGTAATTTCACTTAAAGTAACTGAATTGCGAAGGTGCTGTCTTAGGGCCTGTTTACATGAAGGTGGGGGACCCCAGGTAGATGAGGTAATCCGAGGGCGGGTCACCCCTACTATCATGTAAGCTTGATCAAATTAAAATGAGAGATGATAATGGACCAGCGGGTTACCCCACCTAAGCGGGTTGCCTCATCTATGTGGGGCCCCCAAGCTCCCTGGGAACAGGCCCTTAGATTCTTCCCTTGTAAGGTTAACCAGGCACCTGAATCCGACAATTTTTGCTTGTAGAATGTGGAATCCGTTTTGTCATCTATTTCCATTCATTTCTTCGACTTTAATTGTCTTATTTGACTGTAACTCTAACAAACAACGTACAATGTTTCTATTTTTCTTTTTCTTTTGTTTTTTTTTTGTTTGTTTGTTTTTTTTTTGGCCGAGGATAATCAGAGACTTTCTCAAAGCTTCTGCTTACTTGCGTCCCTCGACTCAGTCGTGACTTCTTCGTTCTCTTTCTCTCTTCGCGAGCGTTCCTCGCGCCTTCAGCGCTTTCCCGAGGCCGACTAATGACAAGTCTAAAATATGCCCAGCCTTTTAACCTTTATAATACCGAATAAGTAACTGAATACATAGAAAACAACCACAACCACATAAACTGCATTTCTGATAATTTCTACAGGATGGGGACGCACCGTTGGTGGAGGTTCAGCTGCTGATACTCTACAGCAGGCCATGTTGCCAGTTGCAGCTCATAGCGCCTGTAATCGAGTCAACGGAAGGTTACTTCCTGTTGATGAGAAATCGATGGTGTGTGCTGGAGGGCAAGGAAAAGGTGGATGTCAGGTACATTGTAACTATCACGAACTGAACTTTAAATACATCACTGTAACCCTTTATTCTTAAAAACAATCGCACCACAAAGCTTTTCATTACATTTGACAATTATAACTGTCGTCAACAAACGATGAATTCAAACTAGTGCTTTTTTCAATTTTGAATCAATTCTAACCGAAAAAAAAATATGTATTCAATAACAGAAATAACGAGATTATAGTAATACTAGGGCAATGAGTAATTATAAAATTTCCAGATTGTGTCAAATTTCTAGTTTTAACCAAGCCTTAGATAAGTATCCTAATTATGTATCTCAGGTTTTCTTGTTCTCTGTTTCATACGAAAAGAGTCTAAAAACAAGTTGGTTGTTGGTTTTTGTTGTTGTTTTTTTTTTCAAGGTCTTTTTTAGTTAATTCCCTTTAATCATTCGTTGTTGTCCAACAATTTTTGTTGATTTTTCCTTCCGACATTAAAGTATAGGTATAATTTGTATTTGTAAGGTACAATACTAAAAAAAACAGTTTAGATTCTTTATCAATTCTGCCAAGCAATCAAATACAATAAATAGATAAATAAATAGATGTTGAATAAAAATATTCAATAGTTAGAGGTGTCGAAAAATACTGAAATAATCAAATACATTAGTTAAGGTTGTTTTATTAAAATAGGCGAATCTTTGTTTACATTTTTTTTTTTTTTGCTCGTAGGCATACATGTATACTCATCATTATCTGATCAGGCTAATATGATAAAAACTCGAAATATGAAAGAGCATAACAATTTCAGTCATCTCTGAAAATTTGAGCCCGATATATACTGAATGGTTTCGGAGAAATTCTCCTTGTTATACTACTACATGAGAAATTTCTGCAATTTGATTGGCTTAGAGCAGTGGTATTTCAGCTTAATTTGAAATACCTACATGTGAAAATTACAAACCTTTTGCAGGTAGTAGTATAAACAAATAATAGCATGATTTGCACGTGATATTTGGCATAAATACCACTTGTGATATTTCAAAATTGTCTCAAATCTCACTCGCCTAACGGCTCGTGAAATTACGTATAACAACTTTGAAATATCACTCGTGGTATTTATGCCAAATATCACTACAAATCATGCTATTACCTAATACAAAAACTCGAAATTTTGCAAGGAATTTATGACTCATTTACTTTTATTAATTTTCTGTCATCCTATAGCAATTTCGCGGCTTTTGATGGCTGATATTTCCCTTAATATTCCTTGCAAAGAGCTGAAAATTTCACAAGTTGGTCAAGTTTATCAGCTATTTCAACTTTTAAATTTAGTTTTTATTTAAATGATTCAATAAAGGCGGCTTTTAGGATTTGGAATTCAGCCTTAGAAAGCTATTGTTTGGTGTTGACACTCAGGCAAATCATTGCATTGTTGTGTATGTCCAAATGCCTAATGCTTAAAGCAACTTTTAACCCATATACGGCCACGGCTTCTACGAGTTAAGTCGTAGAGTGATGAAAAAAAAATGTAAACAATGACGTCAGCAAAGACTCGTGATTACTAACCGTATAAGAGCCGGGCTAATGAGAGACCTTAAAGTGCGCAAAATTCTTCACCACGCAGTCCTCATTTATGATTTTCATATATTCATAACTACATCATCATCCTTTCACGGGTTTATAAGGAACCAATTCAACGACCTAGAGCGCTGCACCGGTATCGCAGAGATCAGGGGTTCGAATCCCGTACAAGCCTGAATTTTTTCAGGCTTTCTTTAACCAACTGCAAAATTTGCATCTATAACTGCGATGATCCTCTTTCATATGATTCCATAAGTCTTTGTTTGTTTGTTTGTTTTTTAATTGCCGAGTCCCTTATTTTATTTTATTTCTTTTTATTCTTTTTTTTTTTCTAAAATTGGATACATCTACAGTTCTTGACAATTCAATTACCAAAAGGTATTGAATGGGGTGGAATAATGTTATGTGAGCAAAAATTTCACCATATTATAATTTTCTCTGTAAATAAGCAGTCAGAGTATTTGCGAAGTGAAAAGAAATCGTAGGAATACCGAAATCATTTTTTTCCTCTTTCTTCTTTCCAGGGAGACAGTGGAGGTCCTTTTGTGTGCAACGAAGGTGGGAAATATGTTTTACGAGGTGCTGTAAGCTGGGGACATTCTCAATGCAGAACTGATCACTTCACAGTGTTCGCTCGAGTGAGCAGTTTCATTGGCTGGATCAACAATAAGATGTCAGGTAAATGACAGAGTTGATTCTTTTGATCTTCGGAACAAGAAATTATTGCGTGCAGTTTCTAAGTTGCCGTAAATCCTCTATTAAGCTCGCCTGGGGGGAGGGCTTAATAGAGACTGAAGATGGGCAAAGACGATGGTATTGGTTCTCCATAAAGACCTAGAATGTATAGAGGATTTACGGTACGATATGTGTAGGTACTTCATACATTCTGAGTAGTGAAGTATATAGAGTACACATAAAGATCCGACCACGATTCAATCGGTTGCTTACAAGAGATTAGAAAACGATGGAACTGTTTCTCCAACAAGTGGTGCGAGGTGGTGAGTTTCTTCATAACTAGCTAGCGTTGACCATATTTGGAAGACGTTTACGATATTCAGTAAAATGACGTCAATAGTACAAGATATGACAAAAAAAGGACAGCAATCGAGAAGCTGCGGACGAGTTTGTTTCGGTAGAGCTATAAAGAGAAAAGCGAAAAAATTAGCACGTTTTACGAAAAGAAATAGCTAATCCAATTGCTGGTTTTCAATGTCACGTTATTCAAAATAGATTAAAGTCAACATCAAAACTGTTCAATAGATAAAGTTCAGAACCTGGGAAATGAAAGGAGGTAAATATGCAAAGACCCTGGCCAAGATTGAGGTCAGAGCAATATTTCATATGCAAGATATCCGGAGAAATGTACAGGTACATCATGCACCAGCATGACTGCTGGAAACCAACAGAAACGTCTGTCAAGGAACTCATAAACGTTGAAAGTACATGTAATACCTTTTTCTCATAAATGAACTGTTCAGAGAGCAAAATTCCCCGAAATCGGCTGTCATGCAAATGCCGCATTCACGCAAAAGCTTAGAAATTCAAGAATACTCTATTACAAAACCAAGAACCCTCTTAAGGCCAAATTTGAATGAATATTTATAGTTTTTAGCTGCTTTTATACAACATGAAAGTAAAATCTCGGTAGAATCGATAGTTTTGTTAAGTTTGAATTTTAGTGACGTCATGTGAAAACCAACAATTATCATTAAACATGTATTTTTCTTTCTTATACCCGTAGGTGGAGGTGGCGGTGGTGGTGGTGGAGGAGGAAGTAAGTAAATTTTAATAGTAATGATTTAATAATGATAATTAAGGGTAAGATAATAATAATATTAATAATAATAATAGTAATGATAATAATAAAAGTGATAATAATTAATATAATGATAATAATAGTGATAATGATTAACAATGACAATGATAATGATAATGACCGATAATAACAGTTACGAGTGGGTGGACCGCACAACTTGCGATCCAGATTTAAATTTTTGTTTTGTGCATGTTTGTTTGTTTTGTTTTGTTTTTTGCTTTTATATAAAACCTTTTTGGACATTCCAACGCTCAAAAGTTCTTAGTCTTCTGTGTCAATAAACTCAAAAAAGGCTTGTTCGTTTCTTTTCCGGTCTGATATTGTGTAAGTTGTGTCCCATAATGTTTTTTTTTTACTATATTAATCACGTCAAGTGCAAAGAGTCTTCTTGTTTTGTTCGTTTGTTATTAACGCGTTCCCGTATTTTCAGATTATTATTTCAGATCTTGATTTCGGTTTTTAACCCTCTAGTCCCATATGTCAGTTTGTTCGTACAGTATCAGTCCTGTCTTTTCTATGCTCATGCGCAACTTATTTTTGTCAGTTTGTCCAAAAATGCACGCTTATGGAATTCACTCATGCTCCTTTTTAAAGATGTCACGAAGTGTCTCCCTTTCGCTTTAACCTCACCTTATTTGTCAAACATGAACAAATAATGTGCAATTTATAAATTATTGTGTCTATTTTGAAGAAGGCAAAAAAAGTGCCATAAATCGTCATTATTTTGGAAATAGTAAATATATTTAATTGAGTTGGCTTGGCCGCATATAGTATTTAGTGTTTTCGTCCATTCTCTGAACACCAATCGTTGGGTAAGTTTAATCGACTTTGGAGGTCCTGTCGGTAGTGGTAATTATCGTGCTTTTACACTGTTTGCTTTTACTGATATGTTATAATTTACCGTTTTTGTTCTCCCAGTTTACAAGGAAAGCCCAGGAAAAGCAATTATAATAGCTCTTAAATGTCATGGTTATTCATACAGCTGTTTTCTGGTAACAGCCATGGCTCTTGGTTCTGGTTAAAATTACAGCAAGTTTTAACTCTCTCTGTAATTTAGGTTGTGCAGATAAAGATAGTAGATGCCGGACTTGGACAAGATACTGCTCTTGGCACACTTGGGTGAGGGCGAATTGCAAGAGGACGTGCAGACTTTGCTAAAGCGTGAGGTATAACAAAATAATTACTGTCAAACCTCCCGTAAGCGACCACCAAAAATGCAAAGAGTAAGTAGTCGCTTACGGGAGGTTGTCGGTTACGAAGAGGATCGAACATTATTATCTATACATTTGCGTACCTATTGCAACTTTGAATCAAAACGAGCGATATCGATTACACTATTTGGGCGACGCCCAAGGGAAAAAACGTACGTAAACATTAATTGGTGATGGCGACTTTAGAATACTCCCAATCATCGGCGGCGTCCATAAGATGACGACTTCTGCGCATGCTTATGTGTGAAATGATGCGTTCCGAAGCTCCGGCATCTTCTCCCGCTTTTCTCCCTCGTGAGCCCCTTTTATTTTCCCTATGGGTCAAAAATTTAACTGACAACTGACATTTGTACCAGCTCCCCCCCTCCCCCCCTCTCTTAAATCGCTAGAAATGCATTCTAAGCGGCGCTATAAAATTTGTATGTGTTAGGTCACCCTAGGAGAACTTGAGTCTTTTCGAAATTACAAGGGCTTCAGTATTATTACCTCGAAAATTTTAGATGCAATTTAACGTTTTACGAAAGAGATAAATTTTCTATTTTCCTCTCTCCAATACATTTTTGAATCCGAACATTTTAGTTTTCCCTTTTCTACGGAAAATAGCCCAATATGGGGAGTGCATGATGTGAAAAAATAAAGTTCAAAAAATCTTACAAAAGTTATTAGACAAGCTTCGAAAATTGTTCAAAATTACAGTGTTTAGAGACGTTTTTGGTGTTTTGGATAAGCGGTGATAAGTGTACGCTTTATGCGAGGTGGTCGCTTACGAGAGGTGGCCGCACATGGAGGTTCCACTGAATTAAGAAACAGAAAAAACGGAGAGTTACATATTCAGTTTTCCGTTAAAAACGATTCCAAGCAAACGCAACAACAACACCATCATAAACAACAAAAGTCCACGCTAAGAGAGCTATAATTTTGGCTTATTATTTTATTCAATAGCAAGCCTGCCTTTTTTTTTTTTTTTTTCCAGTAGCCGGTTGCGAAATAAATCAACCCTTCCCATATCGTTTTAATGCATCTCATTTACAATGCCATATGCCATCCTGCAGATTCACTGATAATCAGCCTTCAGTCTTACTGGTGAACAGAAAGCCGGCTATAACAACAGTATGATAAAGGATTAAAGTAATCCACTTATTTATTTGTATTTTTTTCTTTTTTAACTCAGATGTTTGCTGCCATGGGCACTCGCATCAAGAAGGAAAGACTATCCTTGTAATGATAGTAAAAGTAATTAGAGTCAAAATATAGAGCATTAGATTATTACCACCTTTGAGCGTTGGTTTTTAATGTGGTCTTTGCTTCTTTTTTTGTTTTGTTTTGTTTTGTTTTGTTTTTTCTATTCTTTCTTTCTTTAATTTCTTTTCTTTTCTTTTCTTTTTTCTTTTTATTTTTTTTTAATCGCTGTTTATCAGTAACCTCTTTGACTTAACTTCTGTCACAAGGAAAAATGTATTTGAAGTGACGAACTGTAGTGGTACCTAACTGATTCGATTTCTTTCAGTGTGGATGTCTGAGACCCTTTTGCACTCCCGCTCAAGAAAAATCCTAACGCCATCTTGGTCTAAATGTGATCAAATGTTTTTTCAACAAATGTTAAAATTCGGTAAAAAGTAGAGCACATCACAGGAGAGAACTTCACTACGAGCGCCTTACGACAGATACTCTATCTTTCTCGAAAAAATGTCTTAGGTTGGACTAAAATTAGTCAAGTACTTTTTGGCACCATCCTACACGTACCCCTTGCTTGTTTTAAATCCGAACTTCCAGTTCCCGAGGTGGTCCTCATTTGCATGTTTGCGCGTGCTAATAACCGTGAGCAAGCCATGCTTTAATTCATGTGTTAAGCCTTGACCTACCAAACGGGTTCCACGGATCAGACCCAAGATTATGTTTGAGAATCACTGTTCAATTAAGCTGGCATGGTTGAACAATGTTTCTGGGCTTTTAGGGATTTGAATCCATGTAAAAGCCACTTCTAAACGCATGATACTTTTAGATTCCAGACGACTATGTAAACTTGGCTCTCGTTTTCCCATTGGGATCCAAATAGACCCCAACGATAAAAACAACAGCAACAGGAATTGCAACAAACAAACACATCTAGCTATCAGGGGAACCCAATGACTGTTTTTTTTGTAAAATATCTGTTCGGAGAAGCGAATATTGCCTAGAAATATCTATTACTTGAGGACAGCTACAAATTGCTAGATGACCGCCGCGTTCCATTCATGTACGATTTTCGAAGCTTATCTTATAAATTCCCTAAAATTTTCTGAAGTTTAATTTGCACAGTTTACTTTCCCAAGTTGGGCTATTTTTTCGTCGAAAAAAAGGGAGCCTAAAATTTTCGGATTCAAAAATGTGATAGCGTTAGGAATCAGAAAATGACTCTCTTTCGTAATACGTCAAATTTCATCTAACATTTTCGGAAAAACAATACTCTTGAAAGCAGTTGTAATTTCGAAAAGACTCAAGTTCCCCTAGGATGACCGAACAGATACAAATTTTATAACGCCGCTTATAATGCATTTCTAGATTTTTAAAAGTACTCGAAGTAGCCTAGACAGTTTTTTTCAATGTATTTAGGAGGAAACCATCGTTGGGTGCCCCTGATCTGTGCATCCTATACCACAGTTGATATTTCCGTCTCCTATCGTGTGTCTCCCGCGTGACTTCTCGCCACTTCCCCAGTAGAGAACTGGCTGCGAAAAGAAGCACCTATTGACAGGAAATTAGCAACCAACGTAACAATCCTGAAAATGGCACAAACGTCCAATATCATAAAACTTTCGGCAAGTAAGGTTATTATTTAACTTAGTAATAGTAATGTAGATTCTTCTCCCACTGAATACTTAATACTTACTTAATGTGTGCAACTGAATAAACAGCTTTGCAGGCTTTCAGAAAATTTAACGCTCACTTCTCTTTAGAACTCAATGCCAACTTGGGAAATCAAAACTGTCACAGTCAGTCTAATCACCTAAAATTCTGACATTCTTTCAACTGCGATATCAGAATGACAACATCATCCACAACAAAATACAACGTTACAGCAGCGTCATGTTCAAGTTGAAATGGGTTAGCGTTACTGCTGAATTATTAATTTCAATCAGGTGCTTCAAAAATAAACTACTTGTTAATTGTCCTGTTTGTTATCACAGACACAAACTTTTGCTTCCAATGATCTGAGTCAATGGACGAATAAATCAATGTTTACATTGCAGTTACAAAAGAGCTGTACCCGAAAGGAAGTCTATTGAATTTAAAGCTCGTCTCTTTTCAGAACTCAAAGCCAAGTTGAGAAGGTAAAACTAGCACAGTGTATGACACTCTAATTACCTAAAATTCTAACATTCTTCCATTGGCGATATTATCAAACAACATGGCAACAGCAACAACAACAACAACGTTACAACAGCGTCATGTTCCACAAAATGACTTTTCACGGATATTAAATTGACAGAGTTGGATCAAATACGTTTTTTTAAAACAAAGCATAAAAGTTTCTCTTAAAATATTTCGAAAAATAGCCTCCAGGAATACCTTAAGTGGGTCGCTGCTGTTAGTATTTTCAATCAGGTGTAAAAAGCTCTACTTGCAAGCTGAAACGATTGCCCTGTTATATTATCGCAAAAACAAACATTTGCCATGCATGATCTGAGTGAATGGACGACCAAATCGATGTTTACAATGCCATTACAAAAGAGCTGTACCCGAAAGGAAGCCTATTGAATCGACGCCCATGATCGGCTAACATTTAAAAGACCGCCTTAGAATCCCATTCAAACGACTGTAAATACGAAACCTTTAGAGAAGATAACAATGAAACAGGTGAGACCGCTGATAAAACATTGCTCTCTATAAAAACAACTATGTACTTGAGTTTTTAAGCACTTTCTGAAGATGAAGTTCTGGATCGGACTTTCAGTCTTTCTGCTTGGGATTTCAAGCACCCAAGGTAGGAAACAGCCCTAACTACTGAGTGTGAAAAATATTATAAACGCGTATAAGTTTTCGATTATATGAATTTTTCTGTCACTTATCCCCGGTATACATGTATTGGCTGACCCCTTTTTGCTTCTCTGAAATTGCTCTTTGTAGCTGATGAAATCACACTGTTTTTCTATAAATAGACAAGGAAGGCACACATCCACAATGCCCAATTTCGATCAGTTTATGTTTTTTTTACACTTATGCAGTTATTCATTTTATAATGCCACATTTCAAAAAAGCGATTCCGTTTTTCTCTAAAACTTCTAAAGAGCAATGTTGCTTCATTAAAACACATTTTAGGCTGCGGAAACAAGCCATATTCCGCGCGAGTGGTGAATGGAGAAAATGCCTCCCCACACGCCTGGCCTTGGCAGATTTCTCTAAGAGTGAATGGTCGCCATATTTGTGGAGGATCTCTAATCAAGAATGATTGGGTCGTCACAGCGGCTCATTGCGTAGATCGAAATCCTAGACCAAGTGGCTATACTGTCGTTGTAGGTAAGTATTTTTGTTTTTGTTTCTTTTTTTTTTTTCTGCTCAGAAACGTTTTTCAACAACGTTTAAGGCATAATACACCTCGCGTTTATGAGCTAGACTTGTAAAAAAAATAAATTGTCTTTACTCCCCTTCGCGTAGCTTGTTGTTATCATTATTATTTTTCTTTCTTTCTTTCTTTCTTTCTTTCTTTCTTTTTTATTATTATTTTTAACCATGCGAAGGCTAAGCTTTTTTTATTATTACTTTTTTGGGGTAAAAGAAATCGCGATTAACTTAACAACCTCACTTACGTTACAAAGAAACAATGAAAAAATACAATAAGTAATGGTAACAGGACTGAGTGGAGTCCAATTCGGTCTGTAATCATACGAGTGATTAACAAAATCGGACGACTGCGTAGCGGGAGTCCGATTTGTTTAATCACGAGCATGATTACAGACCGAATTGGACGACACAAAGTTCTGTTACCAATTAATCATAACTTTAATAAAATTTGTGATATAATAGGCTATTTTTTAAATCAAAACACAAGAAATTCGAAATTTTGTTTTGCATTGAAAAAAAAAAGCCATTTACGCGCGCGTGATGGCGCGTAGTGTCCAATTACTTAGGCATGACGCGTACTGTCCTATTAAACTGTCCAATTAAGGCTGAAATCAGGGCAGTTGATAGCCAATCAGATTTGACAATTTTGTTATAGTTATGATTAAACTACTAATATGGGGATTGTAAATACATTTTATGTAGGGGCCCATCTGCGAACTGGATCAACTGCTGTCCAGCAAACCTTTCGTCTAAAACAGCTGTTCAAACACGAGCAGTTTAGCATGAGACATCTGAGAAATGATATCGCCCTACTGCAACTGGAGAGACCAATTTCAGCTAGTGCTAAAGTTAACACTGTGTGTTTGCCGTCATCTGGAAGCAGGATACCTGCAGGAAGCCAATGCTATATCACAGGTACTCCAGTTCGGAATTGGTTGTGACTAGAATACCTTAAAATCAGGTTGGACACCCGATGCATATTACACAATGCTATACTCTTAAGTGCTATACTATATTTGTGCGAATTTATTGGGCAAATTTTTGAGAAAATTAGGGAAATCAGAGTAATCAGAGTTGAGAAAGGAAAAGAGTTGAATACATGCAGGGTTTAGCACCGAAGTACAGTACTAGTGATTAGGGTTAAGCACTACATGTTTTAAAAACGGTTAGCGTTCAATAATGTAATAATCAATGCCATGTAAAGTACTTTAAAATTAACCGGCATCGGTAGTTAGCCCTTGATGGTTTAGAGCATACGGATGTGGATTATACATCAAATGTGCGGGTTCAAGTTCAACATACTACCTAACTTTTTCTTCCGTTTTGTTTCTTCTCTTATTTACCACATTAAGTTATAAGAGTCCCATCATGTATTTTAAGTGAAGATGACAATCTGACTTTAGGATATCCATTCTAGTCACAACCGTTCGAAATGTAATTTCACTTAAAGTAACTGAATTGCGAAGGTGCTGTCTTAGGGTGTGTTTACATGAAGGCGGGGGACCCCAGGTAGATGAGGTAATCCGAGGGAGGGTCACCCCTACTATAATATAAGCTTGATCAAATTAAAATGAGAGATTATATGGACAAGCGGGTTACGTCACCTATCTGAGGTCCCCCAGCTCCCTGTAAACAGGCCCTTAGATTCTTCCCATGTAAGGTTAACCCTGCACCTGAATCCGAGAACTTTTGCTTGTGGAATCTGGAATCCGGGAAATTCTGAATTCGTGGATTTGGAATCTGTGATCAAAGTTTCAATGAAAAGGAAACCGAAATCCAGTAACCGGAATCCGGAATTCAATGCGTCAGTGGAATTCAGAATTCAAGACTGTCCTGGGTTATCCTACATGGTCACAGAATATTCTCATTTCCACACAAATGAATGGAACAAACAAGAGACAACATCAGATAGCAAAAAAGGGGCAAAAATGATCGGGGAAGGATTTAAAACCTAGTTTGGTTATAATTTAATGATTGCTGAAAGATCCAATAAATATTTATTTTTACTGTTTTGTTATCTTTTTTCCATTCCTTGGACTTTAATTGTCTTATTTGACTGTAATTCTAACAAACAACTTTGTTTCTTTGTTGGACAATTATAGACTTTCTCAAAACTCCTTCTGACTTGCGTCACTCGTCTCAGTCGTGACTTCTTCGTTCGCTTTCTCTCTTCGTGAGCGTTCCTCGCGCCTTCAGCGATTTCCCGAGGCCGACTAATTACAAGTCTAAAATATACCCAGCCTTTTAACCTTTATTATACCGAATAAGTAACTGAATACATAGAAAACAAACACAACCACAACCACATAAACTGCATTTCTGATAATTTTCTACAGGATGGGGACGCACCGTTGGTGGAGGTTCAGCTGCTGATATTCTACAGCAGGCCATGTTGCCAGTTGCAGCTCATAGCGCCTGTAATCGAGTCAACGGAAGGTTAATTCCTGTTGATGAGAAATCTATGATTTGCGCTGGCGGGCAAGGAAAGGGTGGATGTCAGGTAGATTGACTATAGTATATTCTTGATTTTAACTGTCTTTATTTTGACCTAACGACTGAATAATCAAGGAGTGAAAGTCCTCAATCGATAGGAGACTTTTTCCACTCATTTATTCCTCCATTTCTTCCCTAAAGGGAGACAGCGGAGGTCCTTTTGTGTGCAGTGAAGGTGGCAGATTTGTGTTACGAGGTGCTGTTAGCTGGGGACATTCAATGTGCAGAACTGATCACTATACCGTGTTCGCTCGTGTGAGCAGTTTCATAAACTGGATTAACCAGAAGATGTCAGGTACCCGAACAAAGTTATCTTAGTTTTTCGTTTCGCTAAAATGATTTGCCCAAAATTCTAAGCTATCTGAAGAACAAAATAGATGAATGGTGATATTTAACCCTGTTAGCCCTTAGAGTGATCAGCATCAAATTTTTCCTTATAATAATAATACTTTGTAAAACAGTGTGGTCATGAGAATTACGGACCGACATGATCACACATTACAAATAAAATTTGCTTGCTATTTTATCAACTTCTCTCCACTACCTCTATAGTGAATGAAGATAGGCGAAAAATTAGAATTTTAATTTTTATCTTATGGTTTATAGGGTTGACTAGAAACTAAGATTGGTTTTTCCCTTCACAGGTGGAGGAAGCGGAGGTAACGGTGGAAGTAAGTTGAAATAAAAATACTCCATAATTATAAAATGTTGATATTATTATAGGAGAAAAATATTTGTTGTTGCTATATCCCACGAATTTTTTCCCCATATTCTTATATTTTCAACTCTTCTTTTTATATGTATTCATGTATCCTACTTCTACAATCGTTGTCATCATCATTCGTCATCATTATCATTATCATCATCATCGTTATATCAACATAAGAACTAGTCTGCTACACAGCCGTTTTTAGTGTCGTCACGCAAAGCTCCTCCCCAGGCTGTAGCAGACTACATAAGAACCTTTGACGTTTATACATAAATCATATTTAATAAATTTACAGAATACTCACTAATTCATTTATAATTTATTACTAGTAATAGTTGACACTACAGCTGCCCCCGTTCTGCATATTGTCGGTCAATAGTATTCTTGCTGATTGTGTAGCTCTTTGAGATACACCGATTGATAATGAAGATTTTCACACATATTCCATACAATAGGTGAGATAAATATACAAGAAACGCAAGGTCACGCCATGCACAGTTTCAGCTCGATTTACACAGCACACAGCTTTGATCAAAACATTCTCAGTTTCGAGAATAGTTAATTCTAAACCATAGGAAAAGATTTAATTAGAAGTTGAATTTTTCGCTATTTCTCTTTCACTTTTTACATTCAGTTCATTTTATTTGCCGGAAAGTAAGCCTTAGAAATTAAAAGGACGTTTGATCGATTCACGCTCGCGCATTCTAGTCTTATTTGAAACTTTATAACGGAAGGACATCTGTGAGCAGGGAATAAGTTAACACAGAATATGATTGTCGGCGAATTTCTGTAATTGTCCATCAATCTGCTAGTGATAAGCTAGCCGTTGTTCACTCGTCTTGCTGGTTTAAGGCTGAGTCTTATTCAGGTCAAAGAGAGAGAAAGAGTGTCTGGCAAGGTTTCCAATGTAAATCAAAGATTTGTGAACTCGTGTCTGGCAAACTCTCCAAGTGTTTATATATACACAGTTAAACGCACCTTATAACCTCATCTGCGCTTAACGAGTGTCTTTTGGTCCATAACTTTCTAAACAACTGCTCCACAGAATGTCACTTCGTAACGCAAAAGAGTATCGAAGTATGACTGCACAATAAATGTCACAAAATCTACCTGAGCGGTCCTTTCGGGATTTTCTGTCTTTACGTCATCCTAACCATTTCGTACTTGCGGGTGCAAACAATAGAAACGTCATCATTACCTACCGATTCCTTGCGGCCCCTGTTCGAGCAAATCGAGATTTTTTCTGTATATTTGAACTGTAAGTACTGTCCTTAATATACGCGCGAGTTACTAGGGTGCCTCCTCGGGATTTCGTCTCTGGGCGAAATCCCTGCGGGGGCAACTAGTCATTGGACAATCAACGTTTTCCTTATATTTTCTATTCATGATCACTTGTAAAATTACTCTGTTTTATTAAGTATAGACATGAGTGTTTTACTGGAAAATTTACCACTCGTAAAATTCATAAGAACTACATCCGGGACCCAAGTGGTTTATTTTCCATATTCTCACACGTGAGTTTATCGATAACGTAATTTCCCTCTATTATTTCATCGATGTCTCTTTGTCTCTATAATAGAAAGAACATTACACGGCGGCTTGAAGAAATGAATTTTATTTCCTTGTGGCAAAAGCAATATGTTTTTGCCACGAGAAAATAAAATTCGTATCTTCGCGCCACCGTGTAATATCCTCGCTGCGCTCGTTCGTATTCATACCATTTATTTATATAAGTATATTTGATTAATAAAAACAAATCTAATGTAAAGAGGAATTCTCAGCTATAAGACTCTCATGGCCTGTTGAGACTTCCTCGCCTTTTGTATACTTTTTAGCTTCGTGTGAATTTCATGCAATTTTTCCCTCATTATTTGCTTTCATTTCCATGTAAAAAGGCATTAAAAATCAATAAATCAATAATCTATAATAATCAATTATCAATATCAGCATCAGTATCTGTATCATTATTATTATTATTATTATTATAGTATTACCATCATCATCATCATCATCATCATTATCATTATCGTTATCATTAATACTTGTTTATCATTTTCATAACATTTTTCGTCTGGTCCGTGGCACTTTTTTCGTGTATAGATTGTGTGGATAACAATCCAAATTGCCGTTACTGGACAAGGTACTGCTCTTGGCACAATTTTGTGCAGGCGAATTGCAAGAAGACGTGTAAAAAATGTTAAAACGTGAGTTCCAACGAATTTTCAATATTGAGTGCCGAAGAATTGTACTGTAAATAAGTGAATCATGATTTATAGGGAGCACGTTGGTAACTTAATTAAAAAACACTGAGTATTGTACCTTGTTACAAAGGCGTTAGTCCTTTTTTCATATCTTTTTTTTTTCTTTTTTTCAAAGAACCTACTTCCCACTCCAGCAAAAAAAAGTAGACTGTTCACAGTTAGATTACAGTAAGGCTTTACCTAATAGGTGTAGTCTGCATATTCAGTTAGCCTCAATTTTTTTTAAAGAAAAATCATCATTTTGCTTTATTCATTTTCAGGTCATCCTGCCTGCAATCAAGTATAAAACCTTTACCATCGCCACTACATTGTAAAAGTAGCCAAGGAATGGCACAATAAAAGTATTAAAAACGCGTGTTTGGATTTTGTCAGTGACTTTAAATGGTGTTTTCCTTTAATTCCCCCGTCTTTCTTTATCACGAACCAAATGGATAAAAAAATTAAAAACTCCAGTCGAAATTAAATGCTGACCCTCCAATGTAAGTTTGAAATATTTGTTATATCTGAGTACCGGCAGTTTCAGCTGCCGACTTTGCAGGGAATGAATGTTGAAAACAAACTGACGCCAAAAAAATGTAGAACAAAGGCAACAATATATGCAGCAAGAAAAAACGTTTGATTTTGTAAATACGGGTGGTTGTTTGACTGAATTATCCTCTGTTTGAAATTTTAGAACATTTTTCCCTTTATCATTTATAAGTATAGCTCACTCAATTCAAACTTGATCAAAGGGCTTTAAGAGCCAATGTCTGTAATTTTCGAGAATCGGTTGACAGTCGTGAATTTTTGAATTTCTTCATATTTTGCTCAAATAATCTCTATAGTACACTAATTTCAAAAATCAAGTTAAAACTTGTAACAGCTTTTTATTTTTTCAGGAATCAGGCAAAGTTTGAAAAACTCTAAATCGGCGCTCTTTCGAGTATGAAATTAGCGAAAATTAAGCATTTTCTTCGCGCTCGTACATAAAAACGGAATAATATCTCTAGATGAAATCAAGTCACAAAACAGACACACATTTTTACTCTATAATTCAGCAGTTAACTTTAAATAAACCGTTTAAATGTGACTGTACCGGCCGCAAGAAGAATCACGGTTTCAGCACTTTTCAAAAATGGCAAATTTGACCTAACTTCCCCATCGTAAAAACCCAGTTGGTACATGGAATTTCAATATGAAACAAGAACTGTATTGAAGCATATCCTTTGCTGTTGTTTGTCTTAAAATATTTCTGGCGGCATTCCAAATGCACACCGTCGAGAGACCAAAACCTGAAGGGTATTTTGACACCGGACCGGGAAAGCGCGTGCAACAAGCAAGTTTCAACGCTTGGAATATTAATCCTTCGCAAACCTAAGTTACTTCGACATTTAAACCCTAGTCAGAGTTGTAACGGTTTCAGATTATATTTCGGCGTTTCTGTTCGGTTTAACATGATTCCTTTCAACTGATTTTTGCGATAAACCATAATGAAGAGACGAATACGCAGTTCAAATCACAGTTAGTAGAGGGGAATATTGTCGAAATACTCGCTTGCTATAGTTTTAATCGTATTGAAACCTTAATATCAGAAAAGTTATTTACTTACCTAAATTTAAATGCTAGACGGGGTCACAGTACCGCTAACTAAATTCTGCATCACGGCAGAATCGAAGTTATTAAGTCTGTATATGTTTCCAATCTGTCAACACGAGGGAATATGACATTCTGGAAGTGCGTGACGCGTAACGCGCCGAAAAAGAAATTCCTGGTATAAGTGTTTTACGGTGCAAGTCTTTGTTGTATGTTCGTATAGCATCTCGCACATATTCAGACTTGGTTTGTGGCCCCTGTGGCCCCAGTAATGCTGAACGTATTGCGATCATAGAAAAGATGTCGTGAGTGACTTGGTATGCTCCTGACTTGTTAGTCACGTGAGTATGCAGGGCAATAACCAAACATCGACCCTACCATGCTAATGATAAAAGTAAGGTTTTCTGCATTTACGTTAGGTGATCTTTGTTTGATCCACAAAATTGGCGCATGAAAATAAGAGTTTTTCCTCACCACCTCTAAATGTTTGGTTCCCGGTAGCGGTGCAACAAATCACGTGGTACCGTTCTAGATCAACCTACTGGCTGCTCATAGAGGGGTCCATAAAGGTTCATTGATTGATAACTGCGTATGGCCTGAACTGAAAATGATATACGCAGACGTTTTCTGAGCGACGAATGTTCAGCTTTTACACTCATCTTTCGTTTCGAAAATAGACAAGCACGCGAGCGAAGCGAGCGCGCGAGAGAGAGCCCCTTCTCTACTGGTCAATAAATCCCCCGCGGCTTTTATTTTCATACGCAAAATCGACGATC